CATCGGTGGTAAGCGACCCCTGTCGTTACAGTGCGTGGGTCTGCTCGTATGGCAAGGAGCTTGGGATTATCATTCCTTTTCTGGTCTTGTGGCCTCTCCCCTAGGAGCCTTGCTCTATCTGGGCAATCCTTTGCCATGTGCTCCTTCTTGCCACAGCCCAGGCAGAGCTTCTCCTTGAAGCGGCGTTCCCCTTTCCCTCAGGGGTAATATAGTTGAATGCACTCTTGCGTTTCTTATTTAGTTGTGTCGTCGCCGGGTCTCTATCCTGGTTTTGGCGGCGCTTGTTATCGCGAGACCCTTGGTATATTGGCTTAGGCATATCCCTCATAGCCCTGTTCCCTTTATCTTGGTCCTTCTTCCGGAGCACCGCTTCCAGCCTATAGGCTTCGGCTTTTAGCTCTTCCATGGATCCTGGCTTGCTCTGGAGTCGTTGGATTTCATGTTGCAGGTCCGGGAGAAGCTTTCCAATGGTCGAAGGCACTAGGTACTCCTCGGGCAGATCCGCTCCGTGATCGTTGCGCAGACCCTCGATATAATTAAAGAAGGACTTGACGTCTTGCTGGGGTCGCTGTCTTGCTTTATCGAACCTAAGGATGGCATTAATGCCTCGGTTGGTAGGGTGTTCGATTTGGTCTCGGCACCATTCCTTGAATCCTTCCCAGGTCCGGGGCATTGTCTGGCCAGCCTCCGCTTGGTTATGCCATTCGATCATAAGGTTCGATTTGGCCTTCCATCCTTGCCTGGCCCAGACTACCTTTGCTTCGTCTGGAATCTCCAGGAAGGTATTCTGTAGGGTGTCCTCCAGCTGGTAGAACCAGGTAGAGCATCCCCCTAGGGTGAGGTCGTCCCACGTCGGGGTCTTCACCTTTGGTAGGAGCCTTTGGTACTCCGGGCGTCGAGCCCCTTCGTCGCGTCGTTCTGGTGTGGTCTGGCGGCTACGCGCCTGCGTCTCATTGGTGAGTAACCTCTGCAGTTCCTGTCGTTCCTCTGCAGTCATGTTCGCAATTTGGTCCACCAATGAGCGTGGTTCAGCCTGCATGTCGCCTGCAGGTTGTGTCTCACCCTCCTGCAGGTGCGCACGGCTCCTTGTTGCAGTCATGTCTCCCAAGTCGTTGGGAACGGTTAGAATGTTAGACCTCTGGTACTGGGCGGTATCAGAGGTTGGTTCTCCCGTACTTGTTGGGAGAGACTGCAATGGTCCTCGATGACGGATGGGGGAATACTGTAGGGGTCCTGTTGTAACAAGACTAACCGTTGGTCCTTTCAACCCTGGGTCCCCCCAGGGTATCTATAGGACCCGGTGTTCGCTTAGGGTAGTGTGCCCTATACCCTCGGTGGGCATGGTGATTAGTCAGCTCACGGTAGCTGCTGCACCTCGTACCCTTGGTTCGACCCATGGTCGGTTCTACCAGGGGTCGGTTCCTAACAGAGAGCTTTATTAATTATAAAAATAAGAGAGACCTTAGAGGAGAATTTAGGAAAGGCTAGAGAGAACTAGATTAAGTACTATAATAGAAAATATAACTTTATAAACTTTAGGGTAGGGGACTAGGTTATACTCTTAATAAGGAATATTAAAATATAATATTTAAATAAAAAGCTTAATAGTAAAATAATAGGACTATTTATAATTAAGGAGTCTATTAGTAAATAAGTATACTACCTAATATTATGTCTATTCTATAAGATATATCCTATGTTCTACGTCTCCCTACTAGAGCTATTTAGAGAGAGGGAAGGGGAGGAACCTAACCCCCCTCTAGTAGTAGTTATAGATAACTACGAGGAATAGAAGATTAAAAAGATATTAGACTATAAAATAAGGTATAGAAAAACTTAATTTAAAATTAAGTAGCTAGATTACCCCTTAGAAGAAGCTATATAGTTTAGTAAAGTAGACCTTAAGAATATACTTAAGATCCTTAAGAAATACTAGAAAACCTTTAGAAAAGAAGATAAACTAATACTAGAATAAGAAAAACTATTAGATTATATTAACTATATAAGCCTATAAATAAAAGAGAAGAATAAACTACTTAAGGTATTAAAGGAGCTAACTACTACTAGAATACTAAGAGAAGCTAACTATTATTACTTCTTAGAGGTTTAAATAGAATATTTAGAGTAATAGACTTTATAAATAGAGGAAGGTAAATCCTCCTTACTAGAAGTAATAGAAGAAGAGACTAGAGTACCTTTAGTATAAATATTCTCTAAGGACTTAGTACTAAGGTTACTACTAGTAGTAGAGTTCTAGAACTAAATAAAGAGGTTAGTATCCCTCTATAAAAGCTAGTATTAGAATAGATTTAAGGAAAAAGAGGTATAAGGTAATATATACCTTAATAAACTACTTGAGTTAAGTAGACTAAATACTAGAAGTAAATAAAGTAGTAGAGGACCTATTTTAGTATTACTTTTTAGAGATAGGAGTCTTAATAACCCTAGTAGTAGAGCTTGAATATTTACCCTTATTAGAAGGGATACTAGAAATAGAGGAGATAATAGCTTTAAGAAGGCTATCTCTATATCTAGTAAAGGAGTTAAACTAGTATAGAAGAGGATTAAAGCTATATTAGTAGTAGTTAATAAATCTAATAAAAGTAAAAATTCTAATAGAAAGAATAATAGAAGTACTAACCCTTGTAGAGGGATAACTCTAATAAGAGGAACTAAGGGTTATAATAAAAGTAGAGATTAAAATAATAGAGGTTAAAGTAATCTAAATAAAAATAGTTTATTAAAAAAGGGTTATAAATCTTTAATTAATAGTAGCTATAATATTAGTAAAATTAGTTATAAGAATAACTTCTAAGTACTTTATATAGTTATTAAGGTCTTTATATAAGTTATAAATCTAACTAAAAATATAGCTAGTACTAATATTAATATTCTTAAAGTAGTAAAATATACTAACTTATATTAGAGTATAAAACTTATTAAGGTTATTCCTAATCTCTATTTTAAATTTAGAGGTAGGAGTACTTTTATTATAGATCTAAGAGTATAATAATATTTACTATAGAAAAGAGATATTCTCTCTAGTAACTATCTTTTAGATAGTACTAGTATTTAAATAATTATTAATCTAAGTAAGGATATTAACTAGAGTCTCTAGAGTAGTAACTATAGAAGTAGTAATAGTAGAGATAAAACTTGGGGTAGCTATAATAGAGATATTAATAGTAGTAGTAGAACTAGTAGTAAGGGTAGAATTAGTAGTAATAGTAGTAGTTATAGAAATAATAGGGCGCGAACCCCTAATCTTATAGTTAGAAAGAAGATAATTTATAATTTATACTTTTAGATTAGAAAATATAAATAAGATTAAGACTACTTAAGTAACTTAAATAAGGATAGAAATAATAGACTTAGTATCTATAATAGCTAATCTAGAGATAGTAGAAATATAACTAGTAGCTATAGTAGTAGGCTCTTTTATAGTAGAGGTAGAGGCTTTAGAGATAGTAGTTTTAGAGGTAGTAACTCTATAAGTTAGACTACTATATTTATTTTTAAAAATCTACTAGATAGTTTATAACTTTATATAGAACGTCTAAATTAATTTATCTCTATCTTTATTATTAATACCTATAATATATTTTTAATAAGCTTAGATTAGAGTATTAGCTAGTAGAGTAAGTTTAGGGTTAACCTAATAAATAGTAATAAAAGGTTAACTAAAGTATATATATTAAAATAGTAGGGAGTATCTAACTTATAATATTATATAAGTAATTTAAATATATATAATATTTATATAGAGTATCTACTTAATATATATAATTAAGCTCTAAAATTTAATTATTAGAGGGGTTTATAATAGTATAGATATTACCTAGGTATTATATATAAGGTAGGGGGGTACTATTAATAGGAAGGGAAGATATAATAATAGTTAGGAGAGAAGAATAATATAGAAAGAAATAAGGTATTAATAGTAGTTAAAGAAAGAAAAGAAGGAAAAAGGTAAAGGGAAAATTTTTAACTATAATAAAAATTAGAAGAGCTATTATTAAGTTACTACTAGGGAACTAAAAAGAGAAATATAATAGAGGAAAATTATATAGAGTATAGTAGAAGCTCTAAGTTTTTACTCTACTTTAGTATAGTTCTTTATAAAGTTTAGAGACTAAACCCCTAGGGAGAGGAATACTATTAGGAATTAACCCCTAGTAGAACTAACTATAGGTTAAACTAAGGGTATAAAGTATAGTAGCTACTATAAGTTAACTAATTACTATATCTACTAAGGGTATAGGGTATATTACTCTAAATAAATATTAGGTTCTATAAATACTCTAGAGGGATCTAGGGTTAAAAGGATTAATAATTAGTCTTATTATAATAGGACCTCTATAGTATTCCTCTATCTATTATCAAGGACTATTATAGTCTTTTCTAATAAGTAAGAGAGAACTAACCTCTAATACTACCTAGTACTAGAGGTCTAATACTAACCTATTAGAATTCCTTACCTACCTATGCTAAAAATAGGCTCTATTATATAATTCTTAGTATTCTTAGCGCTTATATAATATACTAGTAAATTCAGATCTAGTAGTATTTTTTATAGAATTTTAGCTAATTTATTCAATTTATTAGAGAGGTTTTTAAAATAGGGGTAAATATTATCCTCTATTTGACTTATAATTTTAAAAAGGCTCTAATAAATAGAATAAATTAGATAAAAATACTAGGCTTGGCATTTTTTATAGATAATTAGTAAGCCTACCTAACTACACTAGTGGATTACTAATCAGGGCTTAGCGTAGCTTTTAAATCTTGGCGTCCAATGGGCCGCCCATGGGTAGGCAGATTTTTAATTTTTGGGCTTTGGGTGGGTAGTAAAAAGGTATTTTGGGTTGGGCTATAAAATAGGCCGGCCCATTAGGGTACCTTGCCTACCCAACCCGTCCATCCGGAAGTCTACTCAGGAACTAAGGTAGGCTTTTAAAAACCGCTCAAACCCACCTATTTAACCAACCCAACCCATTCACTCATGGTTTTCACCCGCCTATACGGAAGTCTAGGTGGTTGTAATTTTTCACCTTTGGGTCTTGGGTAGTTTTAAAAGAGCTCTCTTGGGTAATAGGTCTTAGCGGTTAAAATCCATTAGACTCTAATAACCGCCTCATCCGCCTATAAGGAAGTTTAATATAAGTGCTAAGAACTTCTAATAAGTACTAATAAAACTATTAGGTAGATTAGGTAGGTAGATAGATATCTCTAAATCTACCTAAGAACTAAGATAAGTAGGTTAAAAACTACTTTTTAAATTAACTATTTAACCAAACTAACCCATTTAACCACGGTTTCTACCCGCCTATACGAAAGTCTACCGTCTGCGAAACTTGTTTTCATCCTTATATAAGAGAAGAGTTATATACTTCCGCTCTCCTTTTCAACTCTATATATAGCTAAAATTTATCCCGTACCCATATTTATACAAAGGTCTCCGCACAGGGTTGCGGCGTTGAGTACATAGATAACGATTGTAGTGATAAAACCCGCAAACCCTTCAGCATGTATTTGAAATGCCAGCGGCTTGAATACCCACAGAGTATTTTGTTTATTACGATTAAGCCTGCATAGTATGATATTGCTGCTGCCTATCTGAAAACTCTGACCCCGCCCACTGAGAAGATACATTCTTTTCAGGGATATTTGTGTCCTATTCATTGTTCAATTCAAGGCAGTTAGTGTAGATTCTAGACCCCTGGAATGATGCACCTCGTTGCGGACACGTAGATGAAAATATATGCTATTTCCTCCTTGTTTGCTAGGCAACATTCATCTTCAGCCAGCCACAAGCTTTGAAGTACCAACGAAAGACAAAAGAGTCCATACTATACTAAGCGTGGGTGCATTAAGTAGATGTTTCGGTCTTACAATCAAAGCCATACCATTAGTATACCTGGCATTATTGCCATGACTGCAAGACAAGATAGCTGCCACCAGTTTTGAAGGTCCGCAGCGCGACTGTTACCGGCACTGGCACTCCCTCCATATTGCGACACTGAGGGAAATGGGGATGATGTGGTGGTCGAGGGGTTAAATCGTGAAGTTGTTCTGGTCGATGTTCTGGATGCCAGAGCAGTTGCAGCTGGGGGAGTATAAAATGACATTGTCTCGGTTTCTTCAGCAAGTGAAGAACTGGCTTCCGCGCTGTTGGTGGCATACACTGAGATCAGGGTTGATGTTTCATATATAGTCGACGTGATGATGGTGATGTCGGTGTAAAAGTAACTCCAGTACGACCTTTCTCGGCTGTCAGCTAACTACTCCCGTTCATTCTTTAGCTTGTAGAAGCGAACTCACCAAGTAACGGTCCATGTATACCACTCATACTCCACAGAGGTACCACCTGTTATCGTAGCCGAGGTAGTGGATTCTTCTGTAGACGGTGTAGGTGTAGGTGATGCAGAAGATGGCGCAGGGGAAGATCCATTGGTCGCTGTGCCGCCATCTTGCTTGTCATCGCCGCCGCCAGAGCTCCAGTCACAGCTGTCATATCGTGGGTCATTTGGGTTGTAGCACTTCTTCGAGTCGCCGGGGCATTCTCTGTAACCGCTACCGAAGCAGCTTTGGCAGGTAACACCTACGCCAGAGCAATAGTCCGTGTTTCCGCTAGAGCTCCCCACAGGAAGACATCCCTTTTCTCCACTGTCATATTTGACACAACGCTGGCCTTTAGGACAATACTTTCCACCATTGCAGCACTCGCCGTCAAGGGGATAGCAGTTGTTGTTCCCGCAGCAGCCATATCCACTTGGGCAACTTCCATTTGGGCAGCATACTTCGCTTTCGTCCCTCAAGCAGTGGCCATAGGTATAGCAGCAAGTTTTCCCGGTCGGGCAGCATCCAATGCCTGGTTGATGGTGGTGGTTAGTCCGGGATAAAAGACGACTGGCATAACTATACAGATGGTGAGACGTACCGGTACAATATTGCAAGCCTGCATCGCAGGTAAGCTGACGAGGAAGCAGAATAGCACGGTCTTGGAGCACTGGTTGCAATGGCTCCGTCGCTGGCATCAAAGCGGCCGGTAGAGGCGCAAGAGACTTTATACCAGGTACCGGTGACCTCGCGACGAGATCCAAGGCAAAGCCCAGAGCTGGGAGAACCAGGCAAGACACCAACAGTGATTGTTTGCGCGCCATATTAACAAGCAGTCCTGTGAGGGATAATGGATATATTGAAGGCTCTCTGTAGGATAACTATGGGTGGGAATATTCCGCTTGAGCAAGCCGTCTATGGGCTGGGTATAAATAGGTCTGCGGACACACTCTGGATATTAACTCCGCGGCCCTCCATGAGACGCGATGCCGCCATGGCCATTATTACTCGCACAAGCCCAAGCTGTGATTTCGTATTCTCCGGTCACATCTCGCTGTTGTCGTTCAAAGAAATACGAGCTCCGCCAGCCCAACTCATAGCAAAGAGGCTGTGCGGGAAACAGACAAAGGTCGCAGAGTTTCGAGCAACAAAACTACTGTACGGAGGTAGTTACAATATAGAGCAAGACTATTTCTCATTGCTCCGCGTATAAAACTCGCGAGTTGTTTCAGCTGGGTAGATTCGAGGAGGCTGTCCTGGTGTTGCTCATCTTTCTGGTCTCCCTCTGTGACGGGTCGTTCGCAGGCGGAGGAAGAAGTGGTGTAGCTGGTTAACTAGTACAGCCAAAGAGCAAAGCAAGCTGCTGCAACACTTGGGCGTGAATACGAGCATGAGGCTGCGGCTCTGCATGGCTGGCCTTGGTGGAATGGCGGGATGGTCGTATCTTATGGCATCTTGCATGCATCCAGGGGAGTTCGGTGTAATATTAACTAGACCAAGCGCCACCATCAGCACTAACTAGTCAGTATTCGAGAGAAGTAACAAGTTAGGTAGCCTACCAGGAGATTGAACGAGAAAAGAAAGAAAAAGAAAAGATCGAAGAAAGATAAAACAACTCATACATAACTAACCAACTACCATCCATGTCAGCGTCTCTCTGGCCGGATATGGAGCAGGGTTGTTTATATATAGATATCTAGGCACATGGCCAGTGCCCTCCCTGTCCCCGTTCTCGAGTCCCTCGAGGCAGGATTGACCATTTTCCAGGCCTTATGTCACAGATACAAGTTGATCTTCTGCTCTATGTACAGCAGCTGAGAATAGGTAACTAATGGGGGAGGTCTACAAAAGACACACAAGGCTAAAACATATTCAAAGTTATCTCTTGGGTTGAACAGCTTCTGTAGACGATAATCGTCAACTTCTATTTAGTAGACACTGGTATTTACAATCCCTGGATTAGCTTTTCTAACAAGACTTGTGGTGGGATACTCCCTTATTGGTTCTGGTTACGGGTGACCCTTTGGCAGGTGAAAGATGCCTCTTGCTGCGGGAAATGCCATCTTCCATTATCTACTAACTAATTTCAATATATAGTTAATTAATTACAGGTTGGCAATAGGGGCCAGGCGTACGCCCTTAGTGATAGTTACCATCTTAATCTTCTATAGTGTCTTGTACATTATAACTACTCGTGAATAACGATTATTATATAGGGAGCCATATGTGGTAACCAGGTATCTATCCCAATCCACATCCAAATGGTAAGGCACATACACGCCTAAATTTTTAAAGGCTATTCTCAACCTCCACCTTTTCTATTTCTAGCACGCAGTCTACTTCTATTAACTGAAGTTGTAACTACGATAAAATAGTGGATAAAAGGAGGTAGTATTTATAGATATTGACCCTAGAATATATCTCTGACTAAATACATGCATTCGTTCGTAGTTATGCCGCTACAATATCTCCCTTTTTGAACGGCCTTTTCAAACCGAGGCGGATCCTAGGTAAAAAGTGCATTCGAGATGTGCACTGTGATTGCATGCGGAGAACAGTCTCGCGATAGAATGTACCGGTTGTGACATCGTAGGAGCAAGCAATTGCGCGCTTCATACCTCCTTCAGAACCTCCAATAAGTAGTACAGTTGGAGGATGGACCGCTTTGAATAGTGTAACTGTCATTGATAGAGTGTCGACAAGGGTGAAAATCTATAGAGACGTATTAGGTTAGTAATCTCATAGAAATCACGTTCGTCTGAATAACCACTAGTTATCCTTGACCACAAGGCAATATAATTTCATCATTTACAAGGGAGGAAGACTTGCCTTCATTTCGCCCATCTCACTTTTGCTATGATCCTTTGCAGACCTTGGAGTTTCGTGGTGACGACAAACTCGGTCAGACTCTTGCATATCCTTACAATCCTTACAGCTGCTGACAGGATCAATAGCATGCACCATATACGTGTTGATTGTGTCATTTGCGAATTGTCTCTCTCGGCTTCCATGGGGGGCATGAGACCGCCTCTCAAAGCATTCCTGGCCCTCCTGGTGACGGGACAATGGTGAACCGATAACACTCCATGATAGCCGGGTAGGCCTACCCCCAAACAACTTCTTCTCGATCACATCGAGAGGAACATAACCTTCGATTCCGAATAGGCATGGCTCAACATTCCAGACCTTGTCACCGTAGGCTTTCCAGATATAATACGGCGACGGAAGTTGAAATAAGAAGAGAGACAGGGGAATAAGCACAGGCCCTATTGTAGGAATACCAGCGAGAATGAGGGCAACCAAAAAGAAAATCGGCCCAATGAGTGCCAAGAACTTGAAGAACAAGCGTCTGAGTCTTAATCTATGGTATATCTGAACGGGGGTAAAACCGGACCATTGGATTGTGGCCCCCTTGCAGTTGTCAACGATAACAGTGTCGTTCTCCCCGACTCCACATATTTGCGTCTCTGGATGAATGTCCCATAGGGTTGATTTGTATTGATCTGTCATCATCTCCCATGGCTCATCTAGTTTGTTTGGAAGAAGGCAGATTAGACGCTCCATAAAGCGGTCATTATCCTGAGGAAGCGATAGTCTAAAGGTACCATTAGCAGAGTGAAGAAATGAACATCAGAATTAAATCTAGCCTATCCTTACCTAGCGAATGCCTGAAACGAGGTATCCTCTCGGTTAATCGGGGGCCGGATCCTGAGCAGGCCCATCATTGCATAACTGCGATCACCTGGGTAACACTCGCCAAAATTCCTGTCCATAAGACATTCGAATATAATCTTCACTAGCTCCAGGCGGGAAAGATGGAGGCTGGAGTAGTGCTCAAGGAGCTGTCTTGAACATAAGGCGTCACTCCACGCATGATAAGGAAATTGGCTCTTCTGAATTCTCTCCAATAAGACCATATCGGAGAGCGTTTTCGCACCCAAATCATAGCGCGTGACAGAAACGAAATCCCCTTTGCTAAGTATAATTTCTGGCAGTGTCCAGACTCGCTTGCCCCATTCTCGTAATGGATTTGCTGTCAAATGGCGTGGGTTGCCGGCGATCACGATTATATGTTCTGCACCCCGGATAATATCACTTATGCTATACGTCTGTATCGAAGTGTTAGTAAAGAATATGCGGCACTATACCCTAGTTGACCTTACATCGTGGTCCGCTAAATAGCCTCGTAAAACGTTATCAGGGTCGCTTTGGTTGTTGAGAATTTGGTCTTGTCCATTGTGGTCAACGTAACAATTTATCGGCATACACATTTGGGCAAGCCAAAATGCCTTCGGCTTTCTAGACGGTTCCATAATTGTATCACGGTACTGAACAGTAGCTTCCCTAGCCAATGCAGTTAGGAGATTTTTTGCCTTCTTATCTTCAGAATCGAAGTGTTCCGCAGTATAAGCGATAAAGACATAGGGCGGGCAGTTCTCGTCCTAGCCAGATCGTAAGTAGCTTTCTAAGTGCCTCCACAACGTGAACTCAAGAGACATACATGCTTTACAAAACGGGTTTCATAACCTTTGCTCTCCTCAGTTAGATAGGCCAACATTCGAGGCCGAAAGCTTCGATAGACGGCGTGCGAACGAGACCTCAAAGGGTTTTGATATTCTCGTTCATGGTAAAATGGAGCCCAAGACGGATCATATTGCCGCTCCCGGGCAGTCGATGGCTTATTTTCCAGAAAGTTTCGCGCTAGACGAGGGTAACGAAACCCTTTATAAGAACAGTTTGCGTAAAAGGAGGGGTGTTTCCCATCCGGAGGGGAGGGTTTGGGGATGAAGACCTATTTGTGGCTATTTAGCATAAATTCAAGCTTAAATATAAGAGCAAACTTACAGCACCCAACAATCCAGCGACGGCAGGTATCCATAGAGCCAGCAGAGAAGCCCAGTCATTAGTTGTATACAATGCCGGATAGGGCCTCCGCTCACTCGGAATCCTGCTGAACGGGAGAAGTGCTACAAAAAGTGACTTCGGAGCAACGTTCCGAATCACAGTTCGATCCCATGTACTGTTTTTTAGTTCGCAGACAGAGTCTGGGGCCTGGACACATAGCTTCTCCAACGTCCCTGTTGAGGGATTCATTATGCATTCGAAAGGTTGGGATAGGTTGAATGTCATGCCTAGGCCATCGACTGCCACAAACGGTTGTTGTGTTTTCTTGTAGGCTTTACCGGCTGGATAATATAGACGAGGCTTCGGTCTCCATCTCAAATTCCAAGTCCCACTGGCTTGCACAAGCGCCGACCAGAATCCACGGCTGTCGTCAAATTGCGTGCTTGTGGTGCTTTCAGACTGCAGGCTACCAGGATTGATAATAAGACCCTCTTCGTCCGTTTGGGGGATCATCTTGCTGCGGAGTCAGGCTTCTCTGTGAGTATTATTAAGACGGGAGTCCTTTACGGCGGTTCGTAGCTTCGTGGGAGCGGGATGAACCTCCTGAAGATGGTTGGGTTCCTATTAATGTATGGTCAGTCAATGATAACGTCGGTGCAGGGCGCCTCAATGAATTGGTTTACCTCCTTGCGGACCTCTCGTGCTATGACCTCCTCCCGTGCTATGTCCTGTAGAGCCACCCGAAGCAGTCTTTTCCTTCGCCAAATTATCTAGGAGGTCTTCCTAGACGGAAGGATTAGCCACTCGAGACTCAGCTTGCCTATACGGCCATAGGAATGGGGGAGTATACAAAAGCTTTTGCTAAACTCTCCGCGTTAGGGTCGTGGTGGCCGCCGTGATATGGGGGCTTGTCCGCCTATTAAAGCTGATTAGTTTCTGCATCAGATACTCTGGCAGTAGGTAGGGCAACTGACCATATAGTAAATGTAGAGATAAACACGTCGTTGTCAACAAATACTTGGGCTCCAGAATATTGAAAGAGTCTGAATTGTCTATCTATAATTTGGTCGGACAAGAGATCAGGTAGGAAGTATATATAGTAATTTTCTTTCCTAGTGAATGGCACGTAAACGGAACCATCTTGAATGTGTGCCCCTTGGATCATGGTCCTATATTCATCAGTAACTAAATTAACCGGTTTAGCGTTCCCGCAAGCCTGCAAGGCATCCAAGGCGTCCAGAAAGATGGGAGATGGTAGGGAAAAGAGGACAAGGGTAAGCCCGATGCGGCCAATATACTCGACGCTGTCATGCATGAAGAAGGACATGATAACGGTGTTAACGGATAGCCAAGGCCACGCCTGAGCATGATAACTCCCCAGCGGCGTTCAGGCACATTAGAATGGTGTCAATCTAAGAAGCCTGTTCCAAGACTTCGTGCTCAAGCCTTTGATGTATGCAGGGGTTTAATGTCACTTTTCTCTAGCCATAGCCATACATATCACCCTCCTAGCTATTAGAGCCATGCGTGCAAAAACTGGCGCCGCCTTTGTATAGTCTCCTGATTAAATCCAAGAGACTTGTGGTCCTATAGAAGAAGAAGAAGGACTATTTGCACATTCGTGCTTGACAATTGACACTCATATGGGTATGCTTCCCCTGCTTATGCGCCCAATTCGACCCTTGTCACTGGGACCATGTCGTTGTTTGGGGCATGCCTGCTGGTGGTGATATATGTATAACAGCACGGTACGCACACAGCTTGAACTTGAGGATCGTCCCGTGTATCATGCATGCACCTCGTATCAACCATGCATCACAGCCAACCTGTCCGTTTTAACCTATGAAATCGTTTATTCGAATGTGATCAAACGCGGGAATCTCGCGGCCTCAGCCTCGTCAACTTGACCCTTTCTTTAAGGACGACGGGGACCTACTTTGCTGGCTGAGATTGAGGTAACCTAGGTTTCACTGTGAATTATCCTTAGTATTAGCTACGATCACTTGTTGCTGTCCTTGGCAGAGCAAGAAGGGGCTTGCATGGGGAAGCAAGGGAGGCTAAGAATGTGAAGCAGAGACGCTAACCATGACAACACTCGCAGAAAATCCTACCCATATCGAGAAACTGGAGGCAAGAGAGGTCGCTGAAAAATCTGCCACCTTTCATGTGTTTCAGTGGCATCAGGGTGAGAGAGCAGTAATACATAATCAGCGCACTCGAGAGCCGGCTTAACCAGCTAACCCGATAATAAAGGACGGGACTTCGAGTTTTCAAAAGTCCATGATGTAACGGATTTGCCCCTGCTGGGCAATTGTGACTTGACAGTGATGTGAGTTGAGTGCACAGCTAGCTCCGACATAGGCAGCCTCAATGTAACGGAGCAGAGAGAACTAACAAAGGCCCCAGCGCGGCACCCTTCGATAGCCCCAGTACAATCCCTGATTTCCGAGTGCTGGTAGAACGGTATGAAATTCCAAGCGGATTTGTGTTGGAGAGACTGCAAGGAGTGACGCACTCCTTTGGTGCGTCGCTAGCCAAAGACGGGTCGCAAAGTGAGTAGCCAAATAACCCTCCAAGACCTTGAAGAAATTCATTCTATGTAGCCTGGCTTCGGGGACTTGGACATCATCTAAACTCTTTGAACCAGCGGTATGGATGCATTTCCTTTGCACGGCGTCTTCCCCCGATGCCGAAAACGCAGAGTGGCTCAAGTCCGCGGCTGTCCTAAAATGGTCAACATCAACAGCCAAAAGTCAAAAACCCAATAACCAAGATGAAAAGCACGCGAAGGCTCCTGTTACTCTCATATGTTTTCGGCCGATGGAGGGTATCTGTGAGCGACTGTTCCACCTCGCACGAGAATCCAATTGGGGAGATGTCCTTCAAGATCCGTATCTATTGCTAGATATGGTGTATGAATCATGGTATCTCCGTCTGGACGAGAGTGCGTGGAAGACGAATAATTTCTGTCAGAATATCGAAAAGGTACGCCGCCGGTCACTCCCTCGCTGTGAGTCGGTAGCAGATGAAACTGATGAGCATGAGCGCCTCCAACTCGCCGGCAGGATGCTTTCAAAGGCTCAAGAGACCTTGACGCTACTTTCCCAGGCCCACCAGTCGTCGATCTCTACTATGTCCACACCATTGCCAAAAATGCGATCTTCGTGCTAGAGGCGGTTGATGCCACGCTTCGGTCGCTCGACGCAGCCATCGCACATCACCAGGAGCTATCATCTAGCGTCTCTTGCCCACAAAAGAAGAAGAAGAAGAAAAGGAAGAAAGGTTATCTGGTGGATGGCATATCAAATACACGGCCCCCGATATGGAGAGCCACGCAAGGCATCCTGTTGCACCGCAGGGAGCTTTTCCAGGCGACCAAATTGCGCACCATTAGTGTTGAAAAGCGGCTGACGAACATCATAAACCTTGTATGCTTTTTTTTTCTATGCCCAAAGGCTCGATCCCGTAGCTAAATAACTAGTAGTTACCGGCTGCTGACTTATTGTTGATCTTAACAGGCTTTCAACGTTGATGCTATGCGAAACAGCCGCATAACACAACGCGACAGTTATAGCTTGAAGGCACTCTCACTGGTTGCCACCGTTTTTCTCCCTATTTCGACCGTGGCCACAGTATTTAGCACGCCGTTCTTCGAAGCTTCTGGTCCGTCGACATCTCCCCAGTCTAGCGATATTCAAGGAGGGGAAACCCTTCTTGTCAACCGCAAGTTTTGGCTTCTATGGGCTATCTCGATGCCTATCAGTGTAGCCTTGATTTTCGGCTGGTGGTTCTGGGTAAAGGGGGCTCATACTATGAGGACAAGGCCGGAAAAAGACGTTGAAAGCGGATAAGTAGACCGTATCAGAGCCCGAAATGATAGTTATCAAGGTAATATAGTAAGAGTACGAGGTACCTAGGTGGTTATGTACATACGGGATCGAACTCTATAAGGAAGCTATATTATTTGGGTAGTTACTTAGCTAAAGTGATGGCTGAAAACTTGATCTCTTCTTTACCACCCTTTGCTTTTCCTCTTACTCTTGTTGTCGCGCTTGATACCAAGGATTTTTGTGGGCGTCGACCTCTGGCTGCTTGACATGCTTTCCGCCCTAATACACCAGCGCCATCAGCTCGCCCGCCCTGGCTGGCGCCAGCGGACCAAAGTGTACGATACGCAGTTGTCTATCTAACGGCTAAGATGCCGGTAAAGTTAACTATAAAGCCCTTCTCTAGCTGCAAGGCAAGCCCCATATAACCACTAGTTAGGGCTGGGTGTAGCTTCTCAAGCAATGGGTTGGGTTTGTATTGTATTTTGACCAAGTTTCCAATTCGCTCCAACCAGAATTCATTCAGAAGCCAGCCGGAAATTCACCCACGTGACTGCGAACGTCGGCTGTGATAGAAGAGAAAGTGTACTCCGTAGAATCTTCCTATTTTTTGAGCTCGCCTACAACGGCTTTGATACCTTTCTTGATGCCTCGTATCAGCTCAATGCCGCACTCTTCGCTCGTATGAGCCGTGAACTGGCCCTGCTTGACTGTTCCCAGCTCAGTAATCTGCCCGTTGCTCTTCACTTTCACCAGCGCGCCTCCCGACATCAGAGCACATATTTCCAGGGATCCATCTTCCTGTGGGATGGCGATGAAGCTGACGATCTGTTCGCTGCGATTGGCGCTTGGGTAAGTGAAGCAAACGCCTTCGTCTATAGGTTGGCCGCTTGTTAGCTTCTGCCTTCAAAGTGGAAGAAGAAGGGTCGTTGGCTTATAGCTGGGTACCTTTCCATTCTCCGAGTCCAGGGCTCGCTGCAACGAGATGATGAATTCGCCCGTCACGGTGGACATACAGCAGGTTCACGGTGCCGTCGCCTGGCAGCACGGCCTGATGCGGCGTCCCAGGCTCCAAATCCGCTGGCAATGGAGGTAGGGGCTCAAGTCTCTCCCCGTCCGTTGCTCTGTACGCTTGCAGTCCATTTTCTGGACCCTCGAATATCACGATCTCACCCCACGGGCTGAGGCAACCACTTATTCGGCCCGATGGGTGAACGGTCAACTCTCCTTTACCATTATACTCAACCTCGCTCCATTCCTCTTCGTCTGGGTCGTATCGATACCATTGAAGGACGTTCTCCTTGCCGACGAAGAAAATGTTTCGCTGAGACTTAATGTTGAGTGTTAGGACATTATACCATTCTGCCTAGCTACCTATGTGAGCCGGGTCTGTATGCTCACCTCCTCTTCACCCAAAAGGTACAGAGCTGGTGTATCTTTCCGCACATCACTCGCAACAAACACTTGATCTGCGATCTCAGTCCCCGTCCAGAGCTTTTCGACCAAATCACTGTCTTCCTCTGATACTAGGAAAACCCCGAGCTGGTCATTTGCGAAGGCTCCTGCAGCGGCAAGGAGATAGTGAACGAAGTCTTGGGGCGTAAAGTCCATACTTCTTCTTTGATCGTACTTAGCCTTAGGAGTCAACAGAAGAAAAGGCTCGAAACTGTCTCTTTTGTTCCTTAATCCTGTCCCGCTGCGTTCTTAGCGCGTGCTTGGATCAGCTCAGCCTCCCCACCCGTATATATTACAAAGGTGCGGGGACTATTCTCCTAGGGGATGCCCATGAAGAGCTCCGCGGGCTCCCGTTGGGCATGAAACAGGGCTACCAATCGTACCCCACGATTGTCTTTCACTCTGAATACAACTGTAATACATAGCATAAATAATCGCGAACCCGAGCGCAAAGGGTTCCAAGTTGATTTGCCTTTAGCACGAAGTGATGAAGATACTATCACTTTTCTAACCATGCCAGCTATGTCTCCTCCTGTGTCTCTCCGCTTGGACCCAGATCTCATTGATCCTGGCTGGGATGCTCTACCCAACGATGGGGGTGTCACTGGCGGGCTCTCGTTTGCTTCAACACAGATACGCAATAGCTGGATTGTCAGACTTGATTTCAGGCAAAATTCGAGTTCGTCTCATATTCATTTTTTCTCATTTCGCAACATAACCAATCTCAGGTCGCCTCATATACTTGCTTACATTGGCCCGTATAGCACCGAAAGGAGAGCAGAGCCACGGAACTGGATTCTATATCAATATCCCAGATACCAGAGCCCACGTTATTCTTACTGCTGCGCATAATCTTGTTGATAAGGGGGGGAAGCGGTCTCAGGATCTGCAGTTTTACGATCCCTTCCAAGCGGCCATTATTAAGCCCGGAGATCTGGACATCTTTATATCCCCTTCATATATGTCAAGTATGCCACGGCCACAGACCGGAGCTGATTTTGGAGCAATCCGTGTGCCCAGCAGCACGTCCAATCCTCGCGGGTTTGGGTTTTCTTTGAAACTTGCTGAAGAAAGACTGCGTGATAAAAGCCTACAGGTTTGTGGATTCCCCTCGGACTCGACTCGACCTGAACCAGATACCAGCTCTGGGGAATGCAAGCGCTCGGATCCGACTATCCTGGAATACAAAATAAACACGGCAAAAGGGTTCAGTGGGGCGCCAGTATTCATGCCGTTTAAGGACCATGATACGGTTGTTGGTATTCAGTGCGTCTGGCTTTAGTTATATAACTACCACACCGAGTCAAGCTGATGAATATTTCTTAGCACAAACGGGAGTGATCCTCGTTATGGAAATAGCAAGGCATGCCGGGTTAATGAGAGGGCCTTGGAGCAAATCTTCCGCTGGTTAGGAGTAGGCTATGAGAAGAAGGCTCTCAGAGTCTTTCCCTCCAAAGACGCTCCTCCTGAGGGTCTATATCTTCGTTTTCCCCCATACGAGCGCTATGGCTGGGTCCGCCTGGGAGAGAAAGGCCTTGAAACAACTTTTGATATCTTCCCAGCCTACGCACCCACATCGAATCTACCCCAAAAACCCACTTATGTATTTCGGTTCCGACAACCACGGGGATGGCCTCAGGCCAGAAAGGACGAGCGATGGGTACTCTGGGATTTTGTGAGGGACGTCGTGACACTGACCGATAAACTACAAGACTGCTGTTTCCCCCGTATCGAGCCAAAAAAGAAATCAAAGAAGAATCCGACAAATAATTCCGAGGTGTTTCGTATTGTGCTACCGAGTAAGGATCCGGATAACCCTGCGGGTATAGGCTACCTTGTTGAATTTTGCATGAGGAACAATATGCTTATACCAGAGGATATTGCGATGGGGGAGATGGATACACCAGAGGTGGGGTTTGTGAGGCGTAATAAACCTGTCAAGGTATGTTTCAAGGAAGTTATTTATCTATTTCATTTTGGATTTAGACTAACAAGGAATGTTTTTAGTTCACTGATATGTGTTTCGAATGAACGGCTTTAAACCAGGAACCGTGCTTAATGAACCTCCATCTACATACAACCTCAGATCCTTTGATTTTGAATTATGTGTCATTTGTACATGATATCGCCCGACATTGAAGATGGACTCAAATGTTTACTCTCTATTCCGTCAAATATTATGGTTACGTCTGGCCGGACCCCCTAAGTCCATGGGTTAGGCTCCCCATGTATCTCTTGAATGAGCGTATTCCCCTATGTATTATAAAGTACTGCAAATTCTGCAAACTCCGCAGTTTCCACGACCCTATTATCTTGTGACAGCGTGGAATCAGTGCACGTCCGGCAATGAACCCACTGTCTATCAGAATCACAATCCCCGCGACAAACGGGATCAGCTGGCCGGGGACCAGGAGGTCGTTTAAAGGTGATAGGCGGTTCCAGTGCAGCGTGAGTTCCACCGCCAATATCACCAAAATCCAAGTTATCCATCTCAAGGCATGGATATATGGGCGCATCCCATCCTTTTCCCATCCAAGGATATCCTCTATCCGCTCAATGGCCCTCTGAACCCCCTCCCCCGTCCTCCCATCTATATAGCACTCCCACACAACAACCGTAATCCGCAAGATACTCCACGCAAATCGCAATGATGTGGCTGCATCAATCACACAGTACACCAGTGCAAGATACCTAAACCATCCATCGAGCCTTACCGGTGCAAAAAAGAACACCAGGTTTTTCGTGCCCAACAGTGGCAGCCTTTTCACCAACACCGCGAACGTCCACAATAGCGCCGCACATACCCCTAGTTCTGTCAGTAGGAGGGCCATCAGTCCTATCAGTTCCCCGACAATCGTCCGTGAATTCATTAGTGTCGATTTGGCTGTAAGTGACAGACTGATCACCATCAGCAGTATGATGATACTTTCCGCGGCACTGAATCTGGCATGCGCCGCGAATCCGAACCACGATGCAAGAATAGCGAGCGTGATTGAGCCCGAAGCTATTTTGAGACCCTTGCCATGTTCGTTTTTGGGCTTTTGATCATCGCTAGTGATGATATTGGTGTCCTCAACCTCGTCGGGCCCGTAGTTGTAGAGTATCATCCCCAGGCCTTGTAGATAGAACCCGACACGCACGCCCAAACCATAAAGATCTTGGGCTGCCTCAGGGCTGCCGATTGTGATTTCTCCGCGGTTCGACAAGGCTGACATTCTGGGTAGAGGCTGGGTATATGCCGTGTGCCAGAGGTGAGGCTTTGAAGAGTAGGGAAAGTGGGAAGTACTTTACAAAGAACTAATATACAGGGTGAGGGAGGGAGCAGGGGGGTTGTTACATTCAATAGGGCCGGTGGAAGATTTATTGGTCGAACAAGTCACAAACGAGTGCCATCTGGCATATATTCTAGCAGATCATGTCGGCTAACGGTTAAAGAGCCTCCTACTCCAAGGCTTCGGGCGTATAACTGACGTGGCGGACAGCATGGCGGGCAGCCAGCCTGGCATGCAATAGAATAACTAATCAGACTCGATCGATGACAGCATGGATGGATGGATGCCTGATAATTAACAGCACGTCACCAGGGCCAGTCTTAAATGAATTTCAATCTTCTCTGCAGGCACCCAATCTCTTTCCACCCATTTATGCAGCGTGACATCAAATAATGAAAGTATGGTGCCTGCGACCCCGAGCAGCCATGAGCTTGGTACAACCGTGCTCAACATGAACACACAGCACAATCCACCCTTTCTACCTAAGTAACATTGGTAGGTGAAGAGATGGAGGGGTGCAACTTTTAGGGGCTAATAGTGAGTGTTGAGGAAAGGGAAAAAGAGTGTGCCACATACCAACATGATTATAACTATATAAGAGGGAGATGTAGAAGACAAAGAGCCTACATCAACCACATATACCCACAGAGCCCTACTACACATTTGGCTATACGCTTCTACTACGTCTTCGTTTGTTATAGTGATCTACATCAACACGCAATTCACTTATTCCTTGATACTACCAACGACAATGGCAACCCTCTACAAGTTAGCACAATTCGGCAAGCTCACCAAGGAGGATATGACCAACAAGCAAATCATGCACGGCCTGAATGCGGTTGACCCCGTAACAAAGCTCACTCCCCTCGGCGTTGCAGTTTGGTTCTCCCATGTCAAAACAATCGGACTGCTGCTCAAGAACGGAGCCAATCCCGACGGAAAAGATCCCAACGGTACCGCTCGCGATGTACGCCCGCCGCTCTGGGTTGCAGCCGCAAAGTCCAAAGAGAGAGTAGGAACCATGATGCAACTCCTCCTGAACGCTGGAGCAGACCCGAATATAGTCTCTCCCTTCGATGGAGACTCGTCCCCTCTCCTCAAAGCGGTGCAGACGTACAAATACCCTCCCTTAATCAGCGCACTGGTAGACAAGGGTGCAAACCCGGACCAGGCAAACGGTCTGGGACAAACACCCAGGCGCATCGCGGAGGACCGCAATGATCGTGATACGGTAAAGGCGCTGCGGAAACGAAAGGAGCGCTCGCTAGGACGGCTCCACTGGGTTGGCGTGATTGTTAGCGTCGTAGTGGGCGTGGTTGCGTGGGTGAATGCATTCGTCATGGTCGCTGTGGTTGGCGCTGGGGGCGCTGTGGCTGCTGCAGCCCCGTATGTAACGCAGGTGATTAAGAGGAGGTTCCAGATGAGTGGGAGTTTTGTGAAGAATGTTTGGCCAGAGGTGAGTATGTAAGTCGGTTCACATCCGGCGCCTTTTTCTGAGCCTGATATCATATGATGATTATGAAAGGACCTGGGGTGTCCAGGAGTCAAGCTATAGCTGCTGAACAATCGGTTGGTATAGAATCTGAAACAACGCGAGCCCAAAGAAGAGTTCAAGAAAGATGCGAAAGAATTCATCAAGGAGAACAAGCTGAACGAGTTCTTCCCGCCCAATGACCCATTTCTGCAGACGGTGGTTGATAAAGCCACGGAGCTGGAGGCCAGCCCGGACAACACCCTAGACACAAAGGACTTGGCCCGGTTAGCCCTCTACCAACCAGTCATGTATTGTGGTGGGTATATCCCGAGTCTAGATAACCAATTTGATAAATTGATGGCTAACCCCAGAGACAGATGACAGTGGTTCCATGAACAAGGATAACCGAGCCAAGCACCAAATCGATATCGTCGAGCGTATTGCGAGCATTGCCACACGCATTATCCCTGATGATGAAGGCGTAAAGGTCCGGTTCATCAACCGCAACACAGATATCATGATTTATAAACGGAATCTTGATGAGCTCGGACCAATCATGGGAAGGCAGTCTCCCTACGGACCAACGGAGATGGGCACGTATCTTAGAAGCAAGGTCCTTGATCCACTTGTGTATCAGCCGCTGGCAACAAAGAGCCTGAAGCGACCAGTTCTTGTCTCCATCATCACGGATGGTCGTCCAGAGGGCGGGCGTGAAAAAACTGATACACTAAAGAAAACGATCCTTGAATGCGGAAAACGCTTGGAGGCGGCTGGGTATGATCGAAAAGGTAAGGAGAACGAATGAATGAACCAACAGTCATCCGGCATCTTCAAAAGCTCCTCTGCTAACGAACGAGCCGAGCAGTGGTCCGCTTTCAGATTAGCCAAATTGGGTATGACGAGAATGCAAGAGACTTTCTGGAGTCTCTAACGCGTGAAGATGAATTGCTGGATGTTTTGTACTGCACAACTGGTGAGTAGGAGGATGTTGGCCCGTCTTTCTCAGCCATGAGTCCTAAAGCGCGAATTGACACTCATTACGCAGACCGATTGGACGAGGAGTTTGCGAAACTCCAGAATAATGAGGCTCGGCTTGAGCAATGGGTAAGCCTGTTCTTCCGTATGTTAGAAAGTAGTCTGCCTGCCACTGACAATGTTTCCTTCGTCTCTTTTCCGCCTGATAGCTCCTCCGGCTCTTGATGGGGCCGATCACGAATGCGCACCAGGGTTAGACGGGACTTGCTAGTCACTTCATGATCATTAGTTATGGTTAAATTTTCAAATCATGGTGCTGAGGATGCCGCATGTGTGGTGTGATATCATCGCCAGTCACTCACCCACCTGGGTCTGCTAACGAATTTTCCTTTATTTAGCATGATTTTGTGTATGCATTGCCTATTTTTAAATATATCCATGAATATTATTCCTTGCGAAATTCAGTTGAAGTCGCGGCGATAGGGTAACTATGGAACCGTGATGAGGATCGATAAATAAACCGCAACCTTGGTATAAAATCGGATGTCAAGGGCAGAGAGTATAGGGTGTATTGCGTAGGTGTGAGCCCGTCATTCTCTTGTATCTCTCACGTTTACGACTTCAGATGCTTCAATATAGCCTGAATTGCTCCTCGACTCAAGGTACTGGGAACAAGAATGGCAGGCTGACACCAGAACACGCGAGGCACCTAACTACTAGTTATCAGGAAAAACTGCCCTGGAATGGCTGCGCGCTCGGTATTCGACTCTATGGAGAACCGAGTCAGTATCACACGTAGAGCCTCGTAAACAACCGATGCAGGCACCCCGTAACTCGATAACCGGAGAAGTGAACTGACATGGACGGAGTTGGAGAAAGATGAAGAAAATTTGAGGTGTTGTCCAAAACTAATAACTAGTTAACTAGTTATTTGAGCAGCTCGTATTCAAAAAGCCAACATCCTAGCAATTGGCCAAGGCAGATAGTTAACTAACTGGACGCCTGGCAGCCTCGTTATCTCGTACATGTACATGGGACTTGATGCTTGCTTTGTTGGCTTCCTTGCTGTTTCTTCTTATACCGAAGCAACTGTGAGGATCTTTAGTTAACTAACTAGTTATTGGGCAAGTTTGCTTGCCACGAATTCAACTGTTTACGGAGTACCAGAGACAACCTGGACAATAGTTATACCAACAAAGACGCAGCTATATGAAATAGCAAGCAGCCGCATTCTGACTTATTCTACGGAGTAACTAATGACCTAGACTCTGGATAAGTACGGGGTGGTCAGACTTCCGTATATTCCCTGCAAATAAGTATCCACTTCCTGGCCATGTATCACAGCTGCGCTGCATCACAAGGGTAACTAAATGCTTACTTGCTTCCTTTTTCTATGCAAGATGCAGAGATTCTCCGCGGCCTTCTATATACTGTTTATTCAGCCTCATGCTCATTCTTGCCATGAGATGGTATTTATATCAACCCAGCGAGTGGTTATAGTGGGTGTCATCTCTATCCCGTTGTGTCTCTTTCGGGATAGCAAGTTATTGTGGTAGGAAGACATGCGTTCCATTCACAAGGCCATAACGGTGCTGGTAGCAACCTCTGTCAGCTTGTCTGTCAGCTTGTTTGTAGCTAGTGTGCGCGGGTCTTATCTAGAAGGTATGTTTTAGCCTTTCTTGCTGCTTTGGCCATTGAAATGACGCTGGTAACCAGTTATATTACACCAGAGCATGGCGTTGAGCATTGATATACTCATTAGTTAAACCACTGGACCTTGATAAACCACACCTCTACCAACCCCAGCACGAAGATCTTCTGGGGATTACAAACCTCGCGAACCAGCTTTCCAGCATAGATACCCGCACATTCAGCGACAGCAGCCTTAATAGACGGCAACAGCGCACGTGTGAACCAGGATACAGCCTCGTCAGTTTGATTTCGAGAGAGGGAATTACTTCAATAACCAGAATTTCCATATTGCTAACTGTAGCCCTAGTACCCTAATAACGTCCATTACAAGCAGGCCAGTAATTTTTACTACCCCCAAGGCCTAGTATCATATCCAATAGGGTCGAAATATTATACCGATACTAAAACTTGTGCATTAAGCAGATATAACTGCTGCCCGGGTCAGCTATTTTCTTATCCAAATAGAAGTAAATATTATCCTCAGGGGGTGTACGTTTGTCTATTTTCTTCCTTAATACTATTAAAGTAGCTCTCTCTCTCTATTTGTGCCGATTAACTGATTTCCTATAAGGCGAAACTACGCTCTCCCAGGAGGCACTTATTGCGGTATAGGGTCCTGCAGAGCTAGTAAAACATACTATAGGGGAAAGGGTTACGCATCAAAAAATAATACTTATTGCGGAGACAAATATCAGTATCCTAAGAGCTCGAAGTACTATATCGATAAGGATAGAGATTATTATTATACGCCAACCTACGTTCCGTCCCTCATTTTTCCATACCTTAAAGGCTTCTTTAATAAGGTGTGTATTCTAGCTTTGCCTTCAGAATATTAAAAAATGGGCAGAAGCTGATTTTAACTACCCCTTAGAAGATATATAAGAGCATGTATAGAGGTAAGACTATGCTTACTAAAGGAAGAAAAGCAATATCCTACTTTCTGTATATCTAGTGGTTAACTTTGTACTAGGTCTCGCTGCAAGTAGTCGTACTAACAATGCCTACACTAATATCATGACACTAGAGACAGCAACGGGGAGAGCATTAAGGAGGATCAAGGCCCGCAGAAGGAGAGATGCACGCTATACAGGGAGCCGCAGGATTAGTATATCCGACCCTCTTGCCTCCATCTTTATATATAGCTCTTCTAACAAGTGGACTATTTATTTCCTTTCATTAGGATACCCACCCGGCTATAGTTGCGATGAGGTGAGCCCATCAACTGCTTTATAGATAGGAAATATTATACTTACTATAAAATCGGGCGTGCGCAACAATAGTATCCCTTTAGTAAACATCTTCCTCCTGTGTATACCCTGCGAACTTCACTAATATCTCACACTTTCACAGCCTTAACTATAGAGGGTAGCAGCGGTGCCGGAGTTATATGTGTGCCACGCGAGCAGAACGACTAGCAAGGAATTTATTATAGCTCTTAGCTCCAGGAGAGCCTCAACAGTAGCCAACTAAAACGCGGCGGTCAATTCAGGATAAAAATAAAAGGACTAGACTATTTAAAGTTCTCTCGAAGTATTAAGAGCCCTATTCTAAAAAGCGATAGTAATCGTGAGTAGCCTCTCATCCTACCTATTCCATGCTTTTTTAGTTTATCAATATCTAACCCAATTTGTTTGACATATATAGTCACCGTACTCTCATCTAAGATATTTAGGAATTATTCAGATAGAAATAACGCTCTACTCATTCCAGTTACTACTAACGATAGTATCTCGGGGCAGTAAGTTAACCTTAAATCGCCATCTAGGGGATATTCTTTTCTCGCCTAATACCAAAACTCTTATAGGTATAAAATTGACTATACCCTGGCAAAAGGGAGTTTGATCTCTGGCGCAGTGATCGATAGTGAAGGAGAAAAACTCACGACGTAAGTTTATGTATCAGTGATATATATACACCCACCCAATCATATCCGGGCTAACCAGCTAAAATGTCGATATATCTATATAGTATTAGCTCCCTCACTGCCAGCAGCTCAGGTTCCACATCATTTAAACTGGATGAGGAAGACCTAGGCGACATGACTTTGCTGGGCTGGATTAATAATACTGGCGATATACAGCTAAATTACACAGTCTCATTACCGCAGTCACAGCCATCGTCTTCTCCGGGTAGAACCTCGCGGCCAACGGCAAGTGCACCGGCCGCTAGCGGAGCTGTCCGCCCGTAGGTACTGCAATGCCGGCAGCCCACTGATATACTGCTGGTAGGCATAGGCATGGCTATTACATTGATACTTCTCAAAGGATTTTAAGAGAATCTTTAGATGGTAGGAAGCTATAATATAAGGTGCCGGTATTAACTCTCAATAGCTTCATTGTATTGCTTAGTAGGTCGGTTATTAGTTAGCCCTGTTGACTAATTTGTTACCGTAGCTAGACCAGGTTATCTCTATAGGGTCCTGCGGCTCCTGCGAAACCGTCAATGATTGATCTATATAAAGTTTGTATTATCTATTTTGTTAGTTAATTTATATCTTAAAGAAATCTCTATATAACTATTAACTCTATTTCAACGTTTTACTATTCGAAATTTAATATTGGTATATTCATAATATCTTTTGAAGTTACATACTCGAGATGTATTGTGTAGACCTAGGTGGGGTATCCCGTGATCTACACCCCGCCCGCCCGCCCGCCCGCCCTCCCGCAAACCTGAAGCTAACTACTTAAACTTCCCGAGGCGCCACAAAACGCAAAACAAACAACCTGTTTTAAGTTGTTAGCCGGCAGGCGCCAGACATGATGGAGACCACAAAAACTCTGTTAAACTGGTAGGAATCTTGAATCATACGTGAAACAGCTGCTGGTGTAGGACATGTTCTAATAGTTACACGTTCTCTAGGTACGCGTCCCTAAGGTCTCGCACTATTGACCTGGTGGGGGACTATGCCGGTGGCGAGCTGTTTATCATCGAAGGAGACTCGCTGCTTGTCCACACCTTCTCTGATGCCAAACTGGACTTTAACCCGGGATTCCAGCTGCTTCATGCCACCTACATTCTGGAGAACTTCCTACGCGCACTGTCCCAGCGAAAATGTAGGTTCCATATCGTCTTTTTTAACGAGCATTCTGAGTTATGCCTCCCGCGTAACACGCCTAGCTCCCTTCGTTTCCGCTTTTTGCTTGCACGGGAGGCGATAATTCAACACCTGCAAGCCAATCTTCCTGCATCTTCGCCGTCGATTGAGATCAAACTTTTTGACGCCTACCGCTCACGCGACTTTGCAAGTTACTTATTTACGTCCGGAGCTTACTTCATCATGTGTCACGATGGCGTCTTTGCTCGCAGAGAATCTTTCAGTGACCACAATTCTGAGGCTGACAATACCTCTTCCGAAAGTGATCATGAAGAGCCCCAGGCATTTAAAGATAAGGATGACCTGGCCGACGAAAGCAGCCTTGAGGAGAATCCGCCACGATCCGCCACAAGTAACAGTGACCATCATGCCATCGGATTCAGGTCTATGATAAACTGGTTCATTCGTTTAGGCTACAATATCGCTCTTATTAACGCCATAGAATGTCGAGATACCAAGGTATGATCGCCGGCCTCTTTTAACCATGTTGTGGCAGAACTAATTCGACGAGGCAGGTAATGGCAATGATTGTCGAAGGCAGTGCGGTAAGGGCTCGGGTTGTACCCCTGTATAAACCTATCGAAAATAATACACAAACTGGGACTTTCTACACCGACCATGTTGGGGACTCTGGATTAAACTCGGAATCTAGCGAGTCTGAGTCTGATGAACTGGAAGATGCCAAAGAAGAAGCTACTGAGAAGTTTAATGAGCCGGAGGAAGAGCCCAATGGGCTCCTGATACCAATCACAGCAGTGCATGGGTTGGAGAACCTCGAAATACCTGCAAAAATTCAGCAAGATGCTCATAATCTGCAAGAACTTTGGGATACCTTAAAGGATTCTCATTATGCAGACCATAGTCATCGCGATGTAGTCCTCCTTCTGGCACTGGGTTTAATGTACCGATCTGCCTCGCTAGATCAAGAGAATACGGCGGAACTACGGTCAATGCTTTTGCAAAATGCCATTTTGCACGAGTGCCAATTATCTTACCGGGCCGTCCCGGGCGTGGCTGTGGGTGGTACTTTTCTCAGAGATTTCACTAATGTAGCGTGCCGAGTTCTAAGGTCTGATACCTGGAAGTCGATAATTCGCGACAGGTTGTCGGCCTGTGACTTGGCAGATTTCCTAGACGGCCGACTGTTTTGTCATCTCCTAAATGGGGATGTCGCACATATTATCACTAACCCATTAGTAGCTTCCAGATTTAATACCCTTTCAACCTGGTTGAAACGTCTCTGTGGTGTTGATGTGCAACTTGGCTCGTTGAATTCAAGTAAGTTAAATACCTTGCCCCCCCTTCACCTTATCCTCCAGCAATTCTGACATAATAACAGGCGCAAAAGTACACTGTGGCGGAAAACTAAATACGGTTGTGAGGGCCAAAAAAGGGGTTAACTCTGGATTGTCTGTTCTCCCATTCACCCATCCCGTCTTCAACCCCCATTTGGAGCCTGTTCATCTCTCTGTAGATGATAGTGATTCCCAGAGTGTTCGGAGGGATACTTCGCGGGTCTTCCTGGAGCTTAGCCATTGGCATAACCACCGTCGTCCCATTGGTAGCAAAACTTCCAGCGTGAAAATGACTGAACGAGAGGCCTTTCGTGCCAATCGTCGCAACCAGTTCTTTATGGCTGAAATGGCAGATTACTCTGCCAGCCTGACTAATGCTTCTGGGGGCATACTGAACCCGGAGACAGTCTTTGTAAATTCAGCTAAAGACGAGAGAAAGCCAACGTCTTCGAAAGGTCCAGGTCCCAATTCCAAAGCTAACGAGAAGTACCCAGCAAGGTCTAATGGGAAATCAAAGCCCTCCGCGAAAGATCTCGCTCTAGCGGCAAATGAGAAAAGACGAAATGAACTAGTTGACAAACAGCTTCGGGCGTGGCGTACTGTGAAGGCCAATTTTCACAGAGAGAATGATCTCGCCTCCCGGTTTACCAAGGTAAAAAAGTACTTGTCTGATCGCCCAGGCGACTGTAGTGTCGCCTTGCAATCCGAAATTTGGACTTACTTGTTGAGTATTTTGGTTAAGCTGTGGATTTCCAGATGCGCCGCAGGCGAACGGGACAGGTCCATACATATTGCAGCATTTGTTTGGGACATAGTCTACCGTGTCAGCAGGATGAAGGATGGATTGACACCAGATATAGCCGCAGATATTTTGGGGACTACGAAAGCACTTCGGTTACCAGATGTGGAGCTTCCTGTTAAACCTACCCAAGCATCCCTAGCGGTGAGTAGGTCCGATATACTAGCGTCCTTGGGAATGGGATCCGTCGATATTAGGCTGTCAACAAAGGAGTTTCAGTTGGTCCACGCGGCTCCGTTCTTTGATCGAAACATGGGCTCCGCACCAGATTCTCGAGTGCGCAACTTTGAACCGGACAAATGGCAGCGAGATGTGTTAGATGAGATCGATGCCAACCGAAGCTTATTTGTGGTTGCACCCACTTCCGCGGGAAAGACATTTATCTCGTAAGTGGCTTCTCATAACGTGGCTAGTAGCTACGATATGCTGTGGATATTAGAACTAACCCCAAAGCATAGATTCTACGCAATGAAGAAAGTGCTCCAGCAGGATGACAACGGGGTCTTGGTATATGTTGCTCCAACCAAAGCCCTCGTTAACCAAGTGGCAGCCGAAATCCAGGCCAGATTTTCCAAATCTTTCAAGCATGGCGGGAAGTCTGTCTGGGCAATCCATACGCGCGATTATCGCATCAACAGCCCTAGGGGTTGTCAAGTCCTTGTCACCGTCCCGCATATCCTACAAATAATGCTACTTGCACCAGCCAATGCGACCTCATGGTCCTGTCGAATAAAGCGAATCATCTTTGATGAGATACACTGTATCAGCCAAGCCGACGACGGGGTTGTATGGGAACAGCTGCTTCTCCTTGCCCCTTGCCCTATTATAGCTCTATCAGCTACAGTGGGTAATCCTCAGGCATTTTATAAGTGGCTAAGTAGCACCCAAAGGGCAAACGGTATCGATATCACAATGATAGAACACCGCCACCGTTACTCAGATCTACGGAAATATGTGTACAAACCACCAAAGAAATTCAACTTTACCGGTTTACCAGACCCCATTCCATTTCCCCCTCTAGGCCTTGATGGCGGTATGGGTTTGGCATTTATGCACCCAGTGGCCTGCCTTGTGGACCGCTCGAGAGGAATGCCTGATGATTTGACCCTTGAACCACGCGATTGCTGGATGCTATGGAAGGCTATGACTAAATATCAAACGCCTGACTTTCCCGTTGATACATCGCTTGATCCACAAGTTGCTCTCCCAAATATTATTCGCAAAGTTGATACTATTAGCTGGGAGGAGAATCTGAAGCAGCTGTTGAAAAACTGGATGGAAGACCCAAAATCACCATTTGAACTTGTTTTGGAGGAACTTGAGCTTTCTGTGCGGAGTGCTCAACGGCCTGAGATACAAATCTCGCCGCCACAGACGCCTAAATCGCCTTCGGGGACTCCCCAGGATATTGCTAATACCTACATTGATTCGACCCTCCCTTTAATATGCTCACTACAGGAGCATGGGGCACTTCCAGCGTTGTTTTTCAATTACGATCGAGCTGCCTGTGAGACTATCTGTCTTAAATTGCTCATCCAACTAGAGGAGGCCGAAGAAGCCTGGAAAAAATCAAGCCCAATTTGGAAGACTAAACTCGCCCGGTGGGAGGCGTGGAAGGCATCACAAGCCCGACAAGTCAAGAAGAATACCGCCACAAATGCGGGGAAGAAGAGTAAGAAAAAAAAGCAGGATAGAGAAGATGACGAGGAGGTGTCTCAAAAAGATCGTGCATGGGAAGCCGCAAATACTGAAACAAGTCTACTTGATTCGTTTGATCCCCAAGATCCAGTGGATGGCTTTCATCTCACGGACGTGAAGAAACTCACAAAGTCAGAATTTGAGGAGCACGCAGCAGAACTAAGGCACCGCCTTGTTCCAGAACGATTGATTGGCGCACTCCGGCGTGGTATCGGTGTTCATCACGCTGGAATGAATCGTAAATACCGTCAGATATGCGAGATACTCTTCCGTAAGGGTTACTTGCGTGTTGTGATAGCCACGGGGACCTTAGCTCTTGGTATCAATATGCCCTGCAAAACGGTTGTCTTCTCTGGTGACTCTATCTTTCTCACAGCGCTTAATTTCCGTCAAGCTGCAGGTCGTGCTGGACGTCGAGGGTTTGACATGCTAGGGAATGTTGTTTTCCAGGCAATGCCTTATTCTAAGGTCTGCCGTTTGCTTAGCTCAAGACTTCCAGACCTCAATGGCCATTTCCCGGTTACAACAAGTCTAGTTTTACGACTGTTTATATTACTGTATGAGTCGAAGCAGGCCTCCAGTGCGATAAAGATGGTAAACTCTCTTTTATCTTGTCCACACATTTATCTTGGTGGAGTAGAGGCGCGGGATACTGTGCTGCATCATCTGCGGTTTTCTATTGAATACCTACGCCGTACCCATCTTCTTGGACCAAATGGAACCCCTCTGGGTTTTGCAGGTTGCGTATCCCATCTTTACTTCGTCGAGAACTCCAGCTTCGCGTTTCATGCTTTGTTAAAGGACGGTTACTTTCACCGCCTGTGCAGAAGTCTGGACCACTCGCGTGAGAATACTCTCCGTACGCTGATGCTGGTTATGTCCCATCTTTTTGGACGTGTACCGCTCCGAGCAGCAATCCTCGAGAACCGAAAGAGGATGGATAAGAAGTCCACATCGATGATTGTCCTTCCACCCCTACCACCACACGCAGTGAAGATACTACATCGCAATAATAAAGAAATCCTGCTCATATTCAGCGCATATGCCAAAACTTATGTGGACCAACACGTCGCAGAGCCTGATTGCATCTTACCCCTAACTGGTATGAAGTGCGGCGGAGACGAGGACCTGAATGTAGGAGAACCTAAGTCTCTGGGTCCTGTGCGGTACACCTCTGCATTTTATGCCCTATCAGGGCATCATGACCAGTGGAAAAATATATCCGACCTCTGTGAAATGATGCGACGCGGTGTTTGGCTTGAGAAAGCTGTCGTTCCTTACCTAGGAATATACCCAGCTGAAAGCCAACTTCCACTCAACGCCTATCTATACGACTTCTTCAAGCATGGTAATGTAGATGCGCTCCACCGGGGCAATGGGATTCGAAAAGGCGATGTTTGGTTTCTACTGAATGATTTTTCTCTGGTCCTCGCAACAATCGTAACTAGCCTTGAAAACTTTCTGAAGCTTTCTCCTGACACAGATGTGAGCATTTTAGATGCCATGGGTACTGGCGATACTCAAGAAAATGAGCTAGACGCAGCAGCCATTCAGGTAGCAGCAGAAGTTACGAATTCGAAGAATTTGAAAGTTGTCGAGCGAGGAGGTGCAGCGAAGGGACTGCCTAATTCTAAGGCTATCCCAATTACCACTACTCAGGCTCGCAAACAGTGGGTGGCCGATAACTGGGAGGATGGAGAGGAAAGTGATGAGAGCGATGGTAGATCACTCGAATCCACAACAAAGAAGGGGAAGTTGAAAAAGGAGAGGAAGAGCGAGAAGAAAAAGGGGACCATAGGAAAAGAAAAGCAGCAAGCATTACGGGACGAATCCAGCTCCACAGCTGTGTATGATGGACAGGGGTCCGATATAGCCAATGTACTACAAGGATTCAAACTGCTACAAGAGGAGTTTAACAGGAAATTCAAGGCAATGTGGGCGTAAACCTGAGGTATTGAGATAGAAACAAGAAATTGGGCTTTTGTCAAATTAGAGCAGCAGCAAGCAGTTGAATGATGAATGTCAACCGTCCCGACACGACACTAAGTATGAAAATAACGATAGAGTGTGTAATTCTCCGACCTCATCTTCTACAACTAGTAAATTCATCTCCGTCTGTAACAATTTGCTTGAAGATCTCCATACGGTCCTACCGAATCCCAATAATTTATATAAAGTTTGATTAATCTATTTTGCTAGTTAAATCACGCCCCGAAGATATAGTCTCTACCTCCGGCAAACTCGAGAATACCGTTGGTCACTTCCTTATATAATGCTTGGAGCGAATTGCCTGGTGACCACTCGGCACGAATCTCAAACTGCTTGTCGCCCAAATTTCCAACAAACAAAAAGTTCAGCGGTTTGCTGTTGACCAGAGCATGAGTGTGGGCTGCAACCTCAATTTTCTCGATATGAAATATGTCCACCATATTTTCAAGCTTATGCATACCCTCTTTCCAGTTTTCTTTGAGGGTCTCTAGACTGGCCTCCATTCCCTCAATAACATTATGTACCTCAACGTGGATTTTGAGCTGACTGTCATAGTACCGTTGGAGATTTGCAAGCTCTGCGTCTTCCTGGAGGCGCTCTATAGCCTCATCGGCCTCTGCAATCTCCCTTTCGAGTTCCGGTCTATCCCTGTCCAGTATTCTCTGAGCCTCTTGGACTGCTTTTTGCAATTTACTGCTTTCGTTTTGCATTGCATCCAGCGCTTTTATTGCTTCATCAATCTTTCTTTCCTCCGTGTCTATAAAAGCTCTGACAAAGCCGTCGAAGCCGTCTCCCGAGATAAGCTTGTCAACCCCGTTTACTGCTCTCTCTACCCCCTTCTCCGCTTCTTCTATGCCTGACACCAGGGTTTGAAATGCATCGGAGTTGGCAGTGGCCTCTAAACCGCTTGCAGCCTCGTGATAGACAGCAGTTGCTGCCTTGACAACTTCGTGTGCTGCTTTTGCTACTTCGAGTCTTACGGCCTGCGATTTATACAACAGTCAGTAAACTACTTAATTACTTGCACTCAAGACGTGGCACAACGCGAATAAGAAAACTCATAGTAGTTGTACTTACCCAGTATGCCACAGTAAAACTAGTTGATTAGAGTTAGCATTAGTTAGCGGGAATCGACAGTTGTCATCAACCTAGGGTTTTGCAACTCACACATCCGCATGTTCCTTTTGCCAATAGACCCACACAACGGCGCCCCACGAGGCCCGTTCCGCGGCTTGTTTCTCGTACCAAGCTCCCTTGGCAAGATCCACCTTTTTGAGGAAATCCGTCCCATATTTTGTTCGTTGTCGATACTTCAATTCCTCCAGCCTCCTGCGGTTGTCAGCCTCTTGTTGTTTAACTTGCTGCAGCTTTTCGTCGTACTCCCGTCTCTTGCATTGAATGAGAGCAGCCCTTTCCAGCCTGGCCTTCTCAACATTCTCTTTCAGCTTCTTCTCAACACGGTCGCGATCAGCTATCTTGCTAGCCAAGACATCCTGTAGGCGTTTTATTTCCTCCCTTGCCTCATCTTGCTTCCCTTCCTCGCGTTGCATGGCAGCCTGACGCCTTTGCCGCTCTCGTATGACCTTTACCTCTGCCTCTTTCACTTCCAGGGAAAGTTTGTTCATCTCACGCTTTCTTTCAGCGATTTTTTCTCCTATGAAGTGTTGAAGAGACTCAAGACTCTGAGTGCCTAATTCCTCGATTGACTTGAGCATCCCCTTGATATTCTGGTAAATCACATTGAAGAGATCTCCCTCAATCCTACCCTCGAAGTAAAGGTCTTTGAGTGCCAGATCTTTGATATCCCGGAAGTCCGCCACAGTTGCCGCAATTCTGATCTTGAATGCGGCTGTGAACTGCACAGCCAGATACGCCCTGAAGGACGGGGTGTCGGTGCCCATCTGGATGTCCACAAGTGCCACCAATCTAATACCAAAGCAGGTTATCATTCCGTCAACCTTTATCACCTGTTCGTCTCTGGTCATGCGCATAACCATGCTTGCTCGTGGATCTCCTCTCGCGGAAGATACAGCCAGAGGTCCAAGGCTGAAGTTCTCAATATATCCCTGAAAGGATAGGCCACCTGCACCAATGCGAAGGTCGAACCTGGCAGTTTTGCCAAAGGCTGTTATACTTCCACCGGCTGAAATTCCTCGGGGATACTCTGTTCCCCCGATGGATGCTCCGGTGGAGACATACACATAGGCTTTGGTGAAGACAAACGTATCCTCACCCCCACTCATATTTTTCAAAACCTCAATGTTAGCTACATGCCCAGCAACGCGGATTATCTGAATAAGATCAACCCTCGAAATATTTGCCTTGAGCAATTGCTGATCTGGGTAATGACTGATAGACATGCCTGCACCTGCAGTCAATTCTCCAACTCGAAGGGCACCCATAAGAGCCAGTTGGCTATTTTCGATTTCAGCTAATTAATGTCAAGTAATGGCCGGATCAGACTGTTAACTTACGATGGACCAGACACTGCCAGTGTTGCATAGGTTACTCCAAGGAGGACTTTGAAATCTACAACTGTCACCTCCTTGCTGATGTTAAACGGGTTCACCCATGGCGACTTCGTAGCACTAATCGCAAATGTCAGCACTGCAAGTCTTTTGAGGATGGAATGGGCTGTGCCTCATACACCGAGGCTGATGCACCCAGCAGACCAGCTTTGATTCTGCCCTCCAGTAGAAGCGGATCCTCTCCTGATTCCATGAGGATGTTCAGAACAGAGGTAACCATCAAGCTAGGGTTTTTGCTAATCTCAATGCCAACGCTGAAATCAGTCAGTTTGACGGTCTTGGTGATTTCGACCTAGTGGATTGGACGTGATTAGTGGGAGCACCTTTTCTATACTGTTACAGAGTATGCGATGGAAATATAAACCCACATTAAATGCATGAGGGAGCTGAATCTGCACTGCTAAAGCTCTCTCTATAGTCGCGATGAGGATCAAACCATCTATATCCCGTTGAGCAAAGTTGTTCAGTTCTTCCATTGGTGAAATAGTGGCACAAAGCGATATACCTGTCGTCAATTTGTCAGATTACGAACTTCAAAGGTCATGGATAATACCCTATTTGCTCACCCTTCTTAAATGGATACTTGAGAGTATTCAGCTTTTCAATTTCAGCCATTTCTCCAGACGCAGCGATGAGGGTAATATTTCTGAGTTCCAGATCGCCCATTTTCCCTTCTATTGGACCAGGGCACATATCTCTCAGGCGCAGGTTGCCTTCATATCGGCCAAACAGGGACCATTTCTTGGCTTGCCTTTCTGATATCTTATTCTCACCGAGCTCAGGCTCTTTGCCACCTATCATGAAGGCAGCTGTGACGGTGATCCCACTAAAGAAAACCTTACCAAGAATCGAAAACCTCGATACGCATGTGCCTTCCCTTGATGCTACAAATACATCGATCCTGGCCTGTTTAATCTCGATTCCAGTGTCTTCGATAGGAAAATCGGCCACGCCACCCCTAATTGAAATGCCGTCCTTCCCAAGCTCCACATAGCCCTCTAGGCTGGTACGGCCATTGAAATGGACTTTTCCTGCGATCACCACACTCTTGGTGGACAGGATGAGGTACATGTCTTCGAAGCTAATGTCATGGCTTTCCGACTGGTTGTCAACCGATGTTCCTGTCAACTGGCTGTAAAAGTCTAAAATCGTGGACCAGGATAGCTTGCCAACACTCGCTTCCAGATATGTCTCCGCTAATGATCAGAAATGATTTAGATGACAATGTGATAATTGAGGGATATACCGTAGGAGAGTGCTGACCTTTTGAAAAGTGACCAGTAAGCACCAGATCTGCATCACAAAACTTCATTGACGCAGATATAGCAAGAACCAAGGAGTCTTTGATTGATTTACTAGTGAAGAAGGTATAGAAATTCACGTCCGTGATCTTTCCGCCCATGTTAGTAACGCTGAGCCTACCCGTGACCGTGCCTTCAAAGAGACGCAACTACTAAGATCGAAACTCACATTTAAGCCACTTATGCCAAAAACGTCTTCCCATTCAGTTGAAGTAAACTGCATAACCGTCTGGTAGCTATGGGTAAACTTGGTCATCTTGCAAGTGACTCGAAGCGGAGCTGCCGTGCCAGGAATCTGATGAATCTCAAGCTCACCAAAAAGACCATAACCCCGGGACCAAGTGTTTCCCGTGCCTGTTAAATCGGCAACATTGGTGAATGCGATCTCGACTCCAACAGTTTGGATTTTCAGTAAGTCTCCCACCATGAAAGACATCTTTTCAAAGGAGCCTTGCAGAATGAGGGAAGAAAAGCTCGGATAGGTAGTCCAGTCTCTTGTATGAGATAGGTGGGCAGAAACATGAAGCGCATCCGGGGGAGTGTTGCCGGAGACACTGAAGAGAACACCAAGCAGATCTGCTACTGGCTTAAGGGCACCTTTAAGCTTAATATCAGCATCCAACCGCAACCCAGTGGTATGTTGCAGTTCAGTATTTCCCTCTGAGTAAACGAATTCGACGTTGGATATTGGAATACTCTGGGCCAAATCCTTCCCAACCTGCGGGAACAGTCCAGCAAAAGGATCGCTCCCAAAACCGTCCAGCTTTATCTTGACCTTTTCCGTTGTAGGCATGGCATTATCCCGGCTGTGGAATAGGTAAAGATGGCCGCTCAATCCGGAGATACCCAGCAAATCATGTATATCGCCCTTGAGAATATATTTGTGAACATCAACTGTGCAAAGCTCTGAAGGAGGCTCTTTTATTACATCTTGGACAGTATCAGCTCCTGATAGATTAGTGACGTGAACGCCTGATCTAGGAGCAGAAGACACTATAAGTGTTGTTTTCTCGGACGACGCATTAATGGCTGTCACTTCGGTAACAGAGGGAAATAAAATAGTCCCCTCTGTCGGCTGGACAGACACTGAGCAAATTGTGACAGGAAGGTCGGCAAACTTGTCTCGTTCAGGACCAACAACAATCGAAGTGTTATGAACAGGCGTCCCCCCAACAAAGATGGGGCTTTTGCCGCGACGGGCCACATCGTTGGCTAAGAAGTGCTTCGCAGCGGTTTCTACGGAGGAGCGAACTGGCAGGCTGTTAACTGGCAAAAGGTTTGTAGGCAGATGTTGTTTATAGTAGGCGGGCTCCGGTATGTCCACTAGGCCGGCTTGTCTAAGAGATCTCCTAGCAACGAGACAAGCATCAATATTTGACCTTTTCAAAGTATACGTCATTAAAGAACGCTCAAATGGCATGGGCGGTACCTCCTGCAACATAATCGTCTTAGTATTGTAGGCAGTCATAAGCAGACTCATATCCACTGTTGATTCCCCCTTCGTGTAAAATGGCCGTGAGAAAGGGTAAAAGATGGTGCTAAAGGTTGGTTTATGCCAGTTAAGAACATTGGAATAGCCGTCCATATCCAGTGTGTAATGTAAAGCGAAGCACATCCATGGACATTTCTTAAAGCATTTATTTAACCATTTATCCCGATCAAACTCAATTGGCCTCACAACATGCTCCCCGTTACTCAATTGACGACTCCAGATGGTTTGGTCAATATTATTGACAAACGTCAATTGGCCTTTGACTTTGCGATCGCTTTCTGATAATTCCATCAAACCCCTGAGTTCCTGCTCCTTCAGAAAGAAGGCCTTCCAGGCCATCTCATATCTACCATTCAACCTTTATTAGCTTCTATATCCATACTCATGTAGGGCTTCCATCTGTTCGAGTCTTCTTACCGCAGCATTACTGAGTTCGTTTCAGCTGTTCCAAGCACAAAATTCATCTTCATTTGGCTTGTCTGAGTGCTTTGTGGTACATCCGCTGGGCCACCGTATGCGAATGCGGATATGTGAAGCCACTGTGATGAAGTTGGTGAGCATCGCTTAACAAACAACTAGAGTCGGTAGACTGAACTCACCTCAGCTATCGAACTACCTGAAAGCTGCTTGTCATCTTTGTCCCACCCTAGTCCGCGAGCTACCTGTAGCTCAGCATAGTATTAGCTAGATGGCCCTGGATCTTCTTCACTCGGGGAAGGGAATCTCGTCGTTGTCCTTTTGGCTGTCTGCGTAAGGGCGGATACAAAGGGTGACGCCCGAGAGGGGAGTACTCCTCGTATTTGCTACCAGTACGCTCTTTGGGCGCTTAGGTAGTGGCTGGCCATCAACAGCAGGCCTTTTGGAAGACTGATTGATCGGCTGTGACATACTGAAAACTTCTGCTAAAAATGACTTGTAACTAGTTACTATTCGAGGTGAGATCAAGGTCAAGCATTGCCAGATTCTGTATAACTACAACACCAAAGCAGGCTGTGAGTTGTGGGACGAAACTTATATGCAGAGAGGGACACATCGCTGGTTACTGGGCAAGAAGAGCCCTAGAGATATTGTTGCCCAACATGGCAGATCCTTAGGTATCCATACATCTCATCACCTTCATCATGAATAGGTATGGTTGCTTGTTGCCTGCTAAAATTTAGATTTGGACTTGAACTTGGGCATATCCCACTGCATGATGTTCTCTATACAACACTCTTTGTGTTTCTCCATGCCAACATATCGCCCCGTCAGCTTATAGACCTTAGCAAGCCCGCTCTATAAGATCCTATTCAATATAACCGTCGCCTAGAGCCCCAAAGGGGTGGCTGATCAGTTTTTCAGCCCCTCTGTTTACTAGGAGAAGGAGGAGGAGCTGGTATTTTTACAACCTTCTTTTAGAGGCTCCTACAGGATCACACAGAGTACTTCATAAAAGAGAAAAAAACTAGATAGTTACCCAAATCACAAAGTGCAGAAACCCAATACACAAGTAACTAAGATATAAAAAGTGCGCGAGGTATGTGCGAAAATTGGCAGAACTCTAGTTCATCAGCTACCGACAGGTCCTTCGAACACAAGCGCAGATCCATCCTTCACAGGAGAATCCTTCGGCCCTTTTCGAGCCCTTCTATTTCTTTCCTGAGACTGCCACGTTTCCTTGCCGTGCTCGGGTCTTCCCCTGCAATATTTTCAAGCTGCTCTTCAGAAAGACTGAGGATATAAGACGGTGAGAGTAGCCGCAAAGGCGTATCTGGGCCAGTCACGAGCATGTAATGTGCAGCCTGTAGCAACACATTATCAACAAATCGCTTGCGGGCAACGCTATAATATGAACTGAGAATGTCATTCAGCTCGTGGATAACATGGTCTGAGTTGTTTTTTCGAGACATGGGCTCAGGTGATCGGACCGGCATCCCGTTCGTGTATGTTGTCGGAACTAGGATTACCTTTTGCATTAACTTTTGCTCTTCCGCGCTGTTGAGTCGTTCCTGGCGTCTTTTAGGGATACAAGTTAGCTTTTGCTGGTGGAGAGAGAGTTAAGGTTGTGTAACTGAAAAGCAGCCCCACATAACTTCACTTAACTTACCGTGTTTGCAGATCGAGGCTGAAACCTTCATTTAGTGTGGCAGGAAGGCCTGCCCTCTCAATGCTGAGTAGGAACACGACCTGGTCCCTTGCTTTGCTATGCCTCTCGAGGAGGCCATCCATAAGGACGGACATTAAACCGGACTTAATTCGTTCATCGATGCAGATCGCTTCAAGGAGACAGAGAACGTATGAATGCGTCATAACCATAATGTCGCTGATGTAGCCTAATGCTAGCAAGTCCCACTTCTTGGACTGTTCTTTCATAAGAGCTGCTAGAAGAGTTGACGCAAATGTTCCGAGTTCAAATCCACGGTAATCCTTGTATAAGGTGCGTAGCCAGTGGGTGATACCTGGAGAAGGTGGGAGTACGCATTCCTGGGGTTGTAAAATATCCTCCAAGTCATCTAGGTCGGCGGTTTCCCGAATCGTGATAGTATCCTCAGGTGCGTCCAAATCATTGCCATCGTTGGACATATCAGTAGGTCGCTCGTGGCCCCAAGATTCCATGTCTTCAGAAAATACCTCGTTCCTTTGAGTGACCTTAGTTGCTATTCTCAGTTCTTTATGCTTGTCGAAGAGATCATCCGCCCCATAGTTAGCAGACATTGCGTGGGAAGTCACTCTTTCGTACTGTGTCGCTAAATCAACTAGGAATGCTCGCTGCTTCTCGGGAGTATCGCGTTCAGCGCCAAGGGCTTGAAGCATTCGGCGGCTGGCTTGAAGGCGCTTGCTAATTTCCGCTTTGACCTAGTCAAATTAGTTAGAAATGCAACAATGTAGTTCTAGTTTTCCAGCTTTGTACCTTAGGAAACTCATGGCGAGTCCGAGAAGTGATTACTTCCTGTAGGCGCTTACGTAGAGCACTGATGCCAACACGGTCTTGGTCCAAGGTATTCCAGGGCGACACATCGCGGAAGAGACGCATTTCCGCTTGCCGGTCTGTGTTTTGATCACACAAATCCTTCTGCCCCGGATTCCGCACCACGCTCCATTGTACTCGGTTTCCTGGTCGTTTCCCACTGATCAGGTCAACTATGTCGCTCTCCGCCCCCCTATCCACGAGATCCGGCTTGGTGAGTACACCAAGAGTTCTCTCACCTTCTGGGTCGAGCTCCCTCGCCATCTCGACAATTTCCTGGGTGGCGATATCGACGTTCGCTGGCACGACTATGAGCATAATAGATCTAGGGTTTCGCATGTAGCTATACACCATCTCGCGCACCATTTCGATATCACTTTTGGTCGTAATGCCCTCAGTCGTATTCTTGAATATCCCAGGGACGTCAATAACACTCAAATGATCCTCTTCTGGCCCAGATATTTCCAGCTGAAGAACATCGTTCGAGAAAGTCTTCCCGCCCGATTTGCCCTCGGGCCCCGATAGCCCCATCACTTCATAGACCTACATAAGATCAGGTTAGAGTGGTGGCTACTTGGATTAATTAGGAGTGTAACTGACCTCTTCCATTATTTGGCCAAACGAACGCGCCGATAAAGTCTCCCACTCACTCTTCCAAGCCCGCACCTTTGCGGCATGCTCCTTGTCTGAATTCACATGGGGTCTGATAGACACTGAGATACGCTTCGCTTCTGAACGGCGGAAGGTGATCAGGGTTGCAAATCTCGTACAAAGACCGCTATTGCGCGGAAAAGGTAGCTTCGTCAGTCCCTCCAGGACCGAACTCTTGCCGCTTGACTGATCGCCAACAACGACAATCTGCGGCAGATCAACATATTCTCCTACCCCACAGGCTAGAAGAGCATCGATTTTGCTCAGCAGCGCGGGATCGCCGAGCTTTTGGTAGTCTGTATTTTCGACCGTCATGATCTGGCTCCTTGATGAGTGGGTGGTAGTGCTTGAATGCTAGTTGCAATCTAATGAATGAAATGAATTCGCTTTTATATAAATTTTGAACAGAATAACTAGTTATGAGATCGGTGTTATCGTGGTGGGCTCTAACGGCGTATAAAACACTCCTCGACGCAGCGCCGCCGCCCAAGGAATCAGAAGCGCCCCCATTAACAGTTGGTATATTCGCCACAAGGCTATGTATGCATGCATGCTGCTGCTGGGGTTATCTGTGCCTCATGCAAGATTACCGGATATGCAATCCCCATATCCGGAAACTCGACTAGCTTTGAAACGTCTCTTGCAGATGCCATCACATCGAGTTATATGTTGGATATGTTTCCAATTGGCGGGAAGTTAAGAACTGTGGCAAGGAGTCATAAGCTCATAGGCAACACATGTTGTTGTATGGTCTGCATGACTGTTGGTTTGCTGGCACAAGTTATCATCAATGCCAGTGGCTATGGATTCAAGATTCAGACTCGGCGCTTCGCCCCAGGAACACTAGTTATATATTACAGTATCGACTCATCGAGAGGGCTAACCAGCTGGAGAATAGATTATAAGTTGTATGAATCCCAGGTCTGGAAGGCAGCTATATTGATAACCAGAACTCCGTACACCCTCCACTTTCGCTTCAAGGCTCAACGGCTCATCATTCTAACAAACACAGTAAGTGGTATATACTCTAGTCTAAATAACGGTGAACATCTATGCTTACTCTTATATGTATTTAGATGGGCCAAGCTATAAGCTATGTCGCCACGGCCACCAGAAGACTTGCTAGAGCCATTCGAGACAACTTCAAGTTCTACTATGCCGTGCCTGGTGCTCTTCTTGCGCTTGCTCCAGTTCTCGGTCCGACGATATTAGGGGCTTTTGGTTTTACAGCAATAGGGCCAGCCGCCGGCTCGCTTGCAGCATTATGGCATGCGTCAATAGGAAATGTGGCAGCTGGGAGCGTTTTTGCGTGGTGCCAAAGCGCAGCAATGGGCGGTGGTGCTGCGGGCGTGTTCAACGTTGCGGGGGGTGTAGGAGCTGGACTGCTCGGCTCGGCAGCAGTTCAAGCAAGGAGAGAGAGATCAGCCTAGATCGTCGCTCGGGAGGGTTGGGGGAATAGGGAGAATAAGGACGAAGGCTAATCCGTGTATCTTCTATGTTTGTTTTTGTTTCGAGCCATCAACTAGTCGGTTATGAAGGGAAGACTAAGGCCAGCGCCCTCCACGTATAGTATGGTCCTTTAACCAATTAACTATGCCTGTCAGTCGTTCAGTAGGGCCACCAGCGGCGCAGCGGAGTGCTGACCGCATGTCAGGTGCATTGATAAAATGGCTGGTGCGGCGGCAAGCTTCATTCTCCTGCGCGGGGAATAAACCAGGTTAAAGGAGGCTGAGATCCCTGTACGGACATCTGTACGTACTTACAACACCCCTGTAGAGCCAGGGGTCCCTACAATGAACGCCGCGCCATGGATACAACTACAGTGCCTTGCCAGAAATCATTAGCCGGCTCCACACCAAGATGCAACAACAAAAGTACCAAAAATATATCTCCCACCTAGGTATATAATAGTAATTCAAAGAGCATGGGCCGCCCGTCCGTCTTAGCGTTTGGGTGGACCTTAGATCGTCATGTCATCTAAGCAACTAGTTAGTTGTTCCGTCCTGGAACCCTGTTATCCATCGGGAGTATTTAATCTAGGGATGTTCCGCAGCCAGTCTGTCACATGTTTCCCGCTCCTATCACTTCCAGACCCCCAGTTGTCCATCCTCTCCAGGCTTCTCCATCAGCGGCCATCTACCTCCTTTCTGTCAGTATCAAAACCCCAATCATCTTTCCATACCCTCTCTCCAATGTCAACCCGCAAGCCAGCAAGACAACGCCAGTATGAAGTTCTCTGCCGTTCTCCTCCCGTCTGCTGCCGTTCTGTTAAGCGCCAATATGGCCATGGCAGCAGGAGGCGACTGCGGAGGCTTTGTAAAACAGGGCTTTTTTTGACAATCTTGGTGCGGGAGAGACGACAGTGTTTTGGGGCAATGCGGCCCCGGGGAATACTGCAAGGACAAGGTGTGCCACGCCAAAATACCGAGAGGTGGCGACTGCTCGAACGGAGGTGTCTGCTTTGCCGCGGACTATTGCGACGAGAACAACATCTGTAATCTCTAGAAGAAGCAGAGTGGCTCATGTGCCAAAGACAGTGACTGTGCTAGTAACGTTTGTGTCAGGGGCAGCTGTTATACGAAAAACCTGGCATGCGGGAGCGATGCCGACTGTGTGGACGGGAAGGCTTGCCGCTATGAGACCGAATCATGGCTTCCTAGCATCGAGGAGAGCATTCGAACTTGTCATCCTCCGGTGGAAAAACTGGTCTGAAATGTTCCGCAGACTGCCAGTCTGGAAACTGCGAAACTACGACTCATGACGATGGAAAGCTCACCTTGAAGTACTGCGGACGCCGCAAGGTCTCTTCTCGAAGACGTTGATTATGTTATGATGGTCGATATGCAAGAGGCACTCCGTGTTGCTCTCTATCTACTAGCCTTGGTATTTATGTTTTACACTGTTGACTTGTAATGTTATTTAATGCTCTTCTATTCGTACCAGGCTTGCCCGATATAAATAACCTTCAAAAATATTCCTCATTTACTATATATTATCCTAGTCTACCCTTAGTATATTTATGGTGCTGTATTTGTAGAAATATATCTAGAGTAGATTGACCTTATCCACAAGCACTACTGTAGTTTTGTGAACAGGCCTGTTGATTGATATAGATGAGTGGCGTTAACTGGTGACTTTGAGGCTTATATACGCCGTCCAATAACTAACTACAGGCTTGTGTTAATCCCTGAAGCCCATGCAGCTGGAGCCGACAACCGTTCCAACCGTTTCCACCGTTCCACCGCATTAGCGAGCCCCAGCTTCTATTGTCTTTCAATCCAGAACTAAGACCTTAACAAGCTTAATGGTTCCGGGAGCAAGGCAAAAAGCGATGTATAATCCATCACCCTTGACCGCAGTCTCAGAACTCGCCGTGGATCAGTGTTGCTATTCGCTTCCACAGTGAAGTATAATTGGTTGGCCGAGATCCGGTAGCGGAGAGCATCGTATGGGTGAGGGTCTGATATTACAAGGACCGTCGCAGCATTTTTGCTAAGCTCTGCTGTTGCATTCTCTGCTACTCGAGGGAAGGAGATGAATCTATTGCTGTCGCGGTGTCGTATGACGACGTATTCTCGACTCCAACCAAATGATTCAATGAACCACCGATCGGTTGCATTTGGTTTAATTTCAAGGAGTCCGTCGATTGGGCTGATAGACAAAACGTGGTTATTGAAGTTTTCGAAAATAGTAAAGTTGCCCATGATGCAGAAGCATGTCTGGGCCAGGAAGGCTAGCAAGCAGGCTGCCGGTAAATAGATGGAGTGCATAGCTGGAAGAAGATTCAATTGTAAGGACAAACCGAACACGGAGCCAGAGAAGGTGTTAGTTTTGAAAATTTAGCAAGTAAACAGATGGTGATGGTATCCAATTGACTATTTATGCAGAGGAAAATGCGCTCAAAGCCGGATCTTCCTCGGCTTCTTCTTTTGGCTTCTTCTCTCTGCTGTCAAAAACTTCTATAGGCACATCAGGGTTACGTACGCTTGCAAAATGTGAGCTAATACTGGAGCTGGTCAATATCATACCCAGAACCCTAAGCAAAAGATATGGACAGAAAGCATGTAATTACCGCTTTAGTAGATAGTAATTTCATACATGCCGCGGTAAGAGTAAGCTTACGCCCAGAGAGATGTAAGCTCTAGTTATTGAACCAAGTTATAGTATAGTTATAGTTAGTTATCCCTACAGTATAAGATTACTCTGATAATAACAATGCTGACGGATGTTGAGCACGCAATGCCGCATACATAAGGCATTTTTAGGCTTGAGGTTAGCCCCGGAATCAAGGGAGATCCCTCTATATCAAAACAATTCCTATATCTAGTCCGTAGAGAGATATTCCTTTCTAGCTTCACTCTCCAAATTCTACAGCCTCCTCCTCTTATTTATATCTACCAACTAGCTAATACTTCCGCGCCCCAATCCCACGGTTTTGACAATGCAGTTTACGCTATTTACAATCGTCATCTTGGCTTTTGTTGCCAATACTTATGCCCAGTACGAGTCGTATTATATACGCAACGAACCATTAGGACTCAATGTTACCTCTGATGATGACGGATACGTATACATGGAGAATGGCACCTTAAAGTATACTTCTCATGCATGGAACATATACCCTGTCGCCAGCGACATCAAGAACTGGGCTGTCTTTGAGAAGCATTACGGATATATCCGGTTTTTCACAGACAGCGATGGAGGGGTTTCGGATCTCGGTGAGGCAAGACTCTATGAGATTGAAAAAGTTGGAGACTATTCCTACGTCATCGACCTCCAGTCAATAAACGAGCGGCGGCAAACTCTGGCGTGGACGGTCGAGAAAAATTCAACAGACCCTCGGACATACCTAAAACTACGGCCATACAAGCGCTTGCCGAGCCAACGTTTCACAATCACTCCCATCAATTAATGATGGCATGATGTGCGTCTCAACTTCAAAGCTGCGGTGCCTCATCATTTCAACAATTCCTGCGTTTCTCACCGGCGTCGAAGTTTTGAGTGTCAACAGTAGTATTGTTTATATCGAGGAAGTGGAGATGGATAGTTAAGGGAAGAGTTGAAGAAAGGGATCGCCGGTCAAATTGTATATATGTAGCTGCAAGCTGTCTATTAGTTACATGTTGCATAGCCAGAGGGATTGCAGGTTACAGTAAGCCTTCAACCCGCTAACACCAAATTCAGACCCAATGCCACTCCATTTATGTCCTCCAACAGGAACTTTAGGGGAGATATCGAAATGCGTGTTCACCCAAACATTCCCAGCTTCCAGCTGCCGGGCTATCTTCTCGGCACGGGCCGAATCCTTGCTCCACACGGATGCCCCGAGACCCGTCTTCGTATTATTTGCACGAGCAATGACATCATCTTCATCCACCCATTTAAGGAGTGGAAGAACAGGGCCAAAGGGTTCCTCGGTTACAATACGTGACGTTTCAGGGGGGTTATCAATGATGGTTGGTGTAATGAAGTAGCCCTCTGAGTCTTTAACCTCTCCACCAAGGGCGGACTTAACCCCCTCTTTATTAATATCTTGCATGAGGGCTTTGACCTTCTCATACTGCATGCTATTTTGGATCGGGCCAAAAAATACATCAGGTGTGTGGCCCTCGCCCGACTTTAGTGCCTTGACATGATTGACGAGGGCGTCACGGAATTGGTCATAGATCTTTTCATGGATATATAACCGTTTGATCATCATGCAGATCTGGCTAGAACATAGAAAGGAGGCAATAGTAACCTATATATGGCTGGTTAGTATATACAAGAAAGGGTAATGTTGCTTTCTTGGTATACTTACCTTTGAAATGATGGTATCAATATCAACGTCTTCACACACAATTGCTGCATCATTCCCGCCTAGTTCCAGTGTTACGCGTTTAAGCGTCTTTGCGCAGCTTTCCATAACCTTCTTCCCAGTCTCGATTGACCCTGTGAAGCTGATCTTATCGATCCCCGGGTGGACTGTCATCATGGGCCCGAGGTCATCTCCACCACTAAGGACTTGGAGTACCCCAGGCGGGAAGTACTGTATCCCAAGCTCGCCCAACTTCAGGTCGCAATAAGGGGTGAAGGGCGATGGCTTGATTATGACTGCGTTACCCGTGTAAATAGCAGAAGCAATCTTCCCGCAGGCTAGGATAACCGGCGAGTTCCACGGGATAATCCCGCCAACCACGCCTAGGGGGGTATAACGGCCGACAATCCTATGTTCCTCTGTAACCTCTAGAACCTCTTCAGGCAGCTCCAGCTGGGAGAGAGTCTTAAGATATTTGACAGCCAAATCAACCTCCATATTAGCTTGGAATAGCGGCTTTCCCTGCTCGAGAACAAGGAGGTCGGCAAACTCCTCCTTGTAGTGATCCAGGCCATCTGCAAACGCATGAAGAGCCCTCCTACGCTCTTCGAACGTAGTCTTAGACCACTTTTTGAACGCAACCTGAGCGGCAGCAACGGCATTGTCGACATCTGCCAGCGTCGAAACCGGAACCTCAGCATTTATTAGCTCTTTGGTAGCTGGGTTAACGCCGCGGCGTGTGGTAGATGTCGCAGTCAGCTTGCCATCGATCGTGTTGTGGAATGTCTATTAAAGAACAGCACTTGCATTAGACGGAGGGAGGCTTTGGATCATGGCTAGCACTGGAAGATGCGTTGTCAACTACCGTGAAGTCCAGTTTGGGGCTGTCTACTGAGGCCATGTCGATAACTTGAGGCCACTTAAAGGAAGAAAACACAGGTGTATTGCTATTAACAAAAGCTGTCAAGACGTCGTTCGATGTACTTCGAGGGCTATCGGGAAGTCCGCCTTTCTCTTCTTACTGTGACCAGGCGCAGGCGGGAAACAAGCTGCTTTAATCGTTCACCCTGAGTCGCGGCGGAGTGCATATAACTATCTATCCAGGTGGAGAGAGGATCGCTGTGGCCGAGTGAGTTTAACTACACTTTCCTAGGATCTGCGTAGACGGGGAGGCCTTAGTCTGTCCATCAATGCAGAGATTAGCATTGTGATAGCTAATATATTAGCCATCATATATGCAGGACCCTGTCGAGTTCATTTCCGTGGCGCGTTTAGCGTTTGGCAGACGTCGATGCGCGTGGGATTTCACTTTCAATAGTCGGTCTTGGTCGAGGAAGATTTGATCGAATAGAGGCCAGTTAACTGGTTCATCAGCCATATCCTTGAACCCGCTAGTAAACGCCTCTCTTTATTATACATCAAGCCAGATTCGTTCCATGACTTATTACGGAGTATCTTCGGAGGCATTCACCTTAAATCGACGAGAAGAGAGCCGCTGACACCAAGTATCATCCCTGGGGCGGCAGAGGTGGAACTGGTTACATCTCAAGCCACTTCTTCAGATGCATGAACGAATATTCCTTTTGACGCCACTTCTCGAACGCCAGCATGACTGGTAGTTAGTTAGCTGTCTTCGTATTGAGGGGTTCTGCGCCTGCTCTGGAATTGCGCTTCCCGGGATAAGCACCGATCCAACCCGCGGGCCGCGTTTCAAAAGCATCAATGAAAGCGAGTTGGTAGCTAACGGGGAGCCCCAGGGATACGGGAATACGGGGAAAAAGCGCCACCCCAAGACATCGGAGCCCCTGAAGGGCCTGACCATCCTCCCCAAGACGGGTTGATCGGGGAGTTAAGGCTCGAGACTTGGAGAATGCCGCCTGGTGTGCTCTGCGCAAACCATCCAACACTGCAAGCGAACATGCCTAGGGCCTACCGAGGCGGCAGAGATGGTGCATTTTGTTATATTCCTGGCGGTTCCCACCCAGAATACCCATGTTGCTCTCCCCGTTTTTTATGGAGAGATGGAAGCCGACGGTCTGCGATGTCAGGAGACATTTTGATACTCGTTGGTCCACATTTTGATACCGTTTTAACTCTCCATGGGTCAAGATGATGTATGAAGACGTCAACAGCGCGCAGAAGCTCGTTGTCTTAACATGGACTCTCCTCGCCATCACAACCGTCATTACATCTGCCAGAGTATACACTCGCTTGGTGCTTATCAAGGCGTTCGGTTGGGACGATGGATTCATGGTTCTCGCCCTGGTTAGATTCTTCTCCCCCCCTCTTCCCTCTCCAGTGGGTTTATATATATATTCTTCCAATGATGTAACCGCTAATATATTGTTTCCAGGCATGTTCTGCGGTCAACTCGGCCTTGATCACTACCAGTATCTCGCATGGCACTGGGCGCCATCAGGTATTCCTTAGCGAGGCACAGAGAACTCAGGCGGATAAATATAACTGGATTTCCCAGTCCTTCCATGTTATGTCCACGAATTGGGCAAAAGTCTCCATCATGTTTTTGCTTCTACGTCTTATTCAAAAGGCGAAGTCCCAGGCGCCTTATATCTACGGCGGTATGGTCCTACTTACACTTAGCAATGTCATGTGTGTGTATACGATCTTTGGCCAATGCACGCCTGTACAGTCGCTCTGGGACCACAGCATCCCAGGGAAGTGCTGGAACCCCAGCGTGCAGAGGGACTATGCATTCTTTCAAGGAGGTCAGTTCAACCCATGCAATCTGAATATAGCTATGAGGCAAATCTAACATAGATTCGTTGACTAGCTATCTCGGCATTCTCTGACCTCGTCCTCGCCGTTTATCCAGTACATTTAGTTTTAACGCTTCACATCCCCGTGCGATTGAAGCTTGCTCTTGGGTCAATCCTTGCCCTCGGTTTGATGTGAGTCTCCTACTTATACATGTGGGCCTAACTCCCACTCGTTTTCTGATGCAATCGCTAACGTTTTCTCAGTGCAATGGGCGCCGCCATCGTCAAAACAATATTTCTTTCCCGTCTCTCTGCCCGCGCAGACTATTCCTGGAATACCATTGACCTGGTCGTCTGGGCATGTATTGAACAGTATCTAATCATTATCGCCGCATGCATCCCTACCCTCGGGCCACTGGTTAAAATCATTCTCAACGAGACCCTGTCTTCTGCTCCAAGATCAACACAAGCTTCATCGAAGCGATGGCGCCATACCCTACGTCGAAAACCACGCCCAGGATACGACATCACTCTACCGAGCGTGGGTATGGATACCCTGGCGGCGGCAGAGGCCGCAGGAGTGTACGGAGACCAGTCAAAGTTAGAGACGGGGACTTTTTCAACCCCGATAGGTAATAAATTGGACAGTGATGCTGCGAGTCATGACCCTATAATACGCAAGGAGGAGAGTTGAGGGCGGTGTCATTAAGTTATGCCACTAAGAAAGGTGCTTCTACAATAGCATGTAGTGCAAGCCACAGGTTAGTTATATCCTACAAGTGGTTTAGCCTTTGATGTTCAGAATAAATCAATATCATTTGCATAACTACATGTTAGACGCTTCTATGAATCCCTGTGAAAAAGGGCTTAGCTTCAAGGGGTGAAGCTGGATGATGGCCAACTCTATCCTTAGTTACCTACCCCTGTCTAAACCCTCATCCTCCGAATGGATTGGAATTGAGCTCGTCCGTCTTCTACCTTCAGAACATGAACCGGCACTTTCGCTTTGAGTGACTCTTCTCCTGGGAGGTTCATTGGCGCGGCAAATCCAGCAACATGAGCAACGTCACACCCACATCTTGGACACTTCCAACAACTGTCGCCTTCATCTCCCGACGAACGCGAAATCTCAAGCTTCTTGATGCATATGTTACAGAACTGATGATCGCAGGGTCGGATACTATGCGCCGAATTAGATGATTGTTTTCAGGCTTTGGGTGACGGTGGAGAGTATTCAGAAGATATTATCCGGTACTTACATGCAGTCACATAACCTCAACTCACACTCTGTGCACATCGTAGGCTTGTTAGGATCAAAGGATGGCTCTGCCGTGATGCCCTTCTCAGCATTGATGGTACTGATGGACTTGACGTCGTTGAAGTCTCCACCATCGACACGATTGTCTACCTGTTCGTCAACCACGAAGAATGGTAATCCTTTCTTGATATACTCAGCTCCATCTACTGGTGGAGGTGGAGGCACTATATGCGTGACTTTCTCGCAGCTGAACGGGTCGAGGAAGTGCACGTTCACAATCTGAGCAGCGCTTGTATTCCAGATCGTCGAGGGGTTGCTATCGCGATATATATCCTGAACTACGATAGCACTTTTATCAGCTACTTCGCTTCCATGTTGCAGTCATGGATCATAAGCAAGGTGAATACCTACTGAGCTTTCCGCCAGCAGCCAACCCCATGGCGGCCACGTTCTGCTGTTCGGGCGTTACCTCTCGGGCCTTTGATAAATCTAGTAAATCTTCCATCTGTACGGCCAGCTCACCCATACCATGCTCCTCATAAGTAGGCCGTCCCCATAAGAGCGAATCTGCGGATGGCGGTAGGCCGTATACTGTACAACTTAGCCCTTCGTCTGATTGTAGATTTCTGAGGATCTCGCGTCGACTAGCAGAAGCAAGCATCATGCCGTAATATGCCTACTTCCAGTGTGAGCAAATGTTCGGGGATGAATGCCGGCCGCGAGCTGACTTACAGTAACAGATATCTTAGCGCCCACAGTGCCCTTTGCCATCTCCTGGACTGTAGTTGGTGTATGATATATCGGATCTGCTGGGTAGGAGCGGATTTTATCACCTGGCTTGAAACCGAGTTCAGCTGGCGTTCTTTGCTCATCGAGAAAGGGTCCGTCATCGAAAAAAAATTCGTCTACCCTCTGATTTTCGTCGAAATACCACTTCCTTAACCCTGTCCTGTAAGCTGGAATAACTTCGATTTGAAGGCCGCCGTGTCTGTCTTCGCCAGTTTTCTGGCTCTCGACAGTGTATCCAGAGCCCACTTCGGGAACCGTCAGTAGGGGCAATTCCTACCCTAGTTATCTCTAGCTATTCACAAGAAGAAGTATACTTACAAGGCATTGCAACAAATTGCTTCACCACCCCGGGGGAGGTGCAAATCCCATCCAGCCACTTCTGTCCGGGGACAACGATATAGTCTTGAACCGGCTCCTTCGCATCATTCGTCTCGTCCATATGCTTCCCTGAAATGGCGTTCACTTTGCCAACAAAAACTCTGAGGGCAAATTTCTGAGGATACAACGTATCAAAGTCCATCCACATCGCCTCCCGTTGAAACATAGGCAGGAAAACACCCCCCTTATTGACAATCTTAGCCGGTAAGCGCTCTGCATATTCACTCACGCTATACAGGGGAAATGGCCCCAGAGATGCGGGCAAATGATGCAATTTATCATCATCTGGCATACGAAGCGTACGATGAAATTTGACGGACAGAGCTTCACCAATATGGAGCACATCCTGATTGGGCTGGTTGATACCTTTATCTATCACGAAGTCGAGCTTGACCTGGCGGTTAGCATTAGCAATAAGAGGCTCATCTATGAATATATGGCTTTCGCTAGAGAGCGATTCATCCGAAACCACCTCTACTGTCTGATACGGCTTAAAGTGTGTGATCATGTCAGATTTACACCAGCGCTTAGTGTTATTTCGTTTGAGTTCCAGCGGCTTGGAATACCCCAAAGCTATGTAACCTCGTGTGAGAATCCGTGGGCTAACTGGGGAAGAGAAGGTGTGAGATGCTGGGCCAGAGTTACTTACAACATAACTCGTTCCATATTTCGGCTATTGGGGTATCTTTATGTAGCCGAAGCAACTCCTGGTATTTTTTCCCAGGCTTATGGCTTTTTGGAAACACTTTCTGCAAGCCTTTGATGAGAACGGTGATATGGTCTGAGTTGGGAGCTTGTCCAGCATGTATATACCGGGGCAGATTGTTCATTGTGGCACACCAGATGGGTAGCTATCGTACTAGTAGGAGTGATGAAGTAGCCGTAGACTGGTCAAAGTCGCAGGAGAAGATAGATGTGAGCGCAGCTCTAGATAGACAACTCCCGAATAACCGCTCTAAATAGGTAGTTATATGCTACAGGCTCGCCTCGCGCACCGCTGAGGGGTAACTATATAGCTATATATATACGATGTCCCCGTAAGCCCCAGCCTCATCATGAACAGGGGTTTCTCGTCGAGTGAGCAAACTAGTTAGTCGGTTGACTGGGTCTTCCAAGGCTTCCTCATGCAGTGTCAGATCGATGTCAGCCGCCTTTAAACCCCCATGTCACAGCCTGGTCTGGCAGACGAGAGTGACAAGACAGATTGCAACATCAGTTGCAGTATCTCCCCTTTTCGTATTTTGGTAGCATGATGGTCCGCCTTGAAACAACATGTCCTTCGGTTTCTCAGTAGGAGACATAATCCTCCTCGGCCAGATCAGCTATCGGCTCTACACTTCCTTAACGACCGGCCGTAAAGCAGCCTCAAAAGATCTGAAAGAGCTCAGCGATGTCCTCTTCAGCCTCAACTGCGCTTTAGACCGCCTGGGGAAGACCGCAACGGATATCTCATCCAGAGCCTCAAAGCAGCCAAGTGTAGACGGCGAGACAGCGAACGGCAAGCTAGGCAAAGTCATCAGCACCTGTGCAGCCACCCTAGCCGAGCTGGAAGAAGCGACCAGGAAATATAGAGAAGCAGAGGCAAACAGTCAGGATGGAGGCTCACAGACGTCAACATCTTCGAGCAGCTTACAACGTTTTCGACAGAGATTCAAATCACAGCTGAATAGAATATCCTGGGATCTGAATGGGGAGTCGATCAGCGCTTATAGACAGAAGCTGCAGTTGCACACGGACTCAATTAATATCATTCTGACCACTTTTGTCTGGTACGTTAACTATCATCATCCGCAGTATAGAGACTTGACGCCACTGTCATTGAAAACCCGTCCCATGTCCAAATAGTTAGCTTACTGGAACAGGTCTGCAACCGATCGCATAGAAAATGACGGCAAAAAGTGGACGCAAAAGCTACAGGAGCTCCAAGATCAAACCACACATAGCAACACGCAGCTACTGGACCTTCTGCGAGATGTGCACAGTATGCTTCGTGTTCCCACCAGCACAGCATTTGCAGCCACGGTGAGCATGCACCAAACGGCAGCACAGCCGCCGGGGGGCAATCTTTGCATAGGTGAATCCAACGCTACTCCCCAATATGGCTCCCGTAATACCCCTAAATTGGTATCCAGGTCCCTTCAGGTGGATAATAATAGAATGCCTATGAACTCCTACCAGAGAGCAACTGGGATCTCCGCCCATGCTGATCCACCCGCGTCCCAATTAGAGCCTTCGTCTCCGTTGAAGACTCCTGAGCCCTGCCTATTCCCGAGCATTGAAAACATCAACAAGAAACGTCGAATCATAGGCTCGAAGGAGTTTGTAGCGTTCGGGCACAAATTTTCCGCATTACATAAAGCGCCCTCGATGGCGCAGCTGCAAGAAGGAATCCACGAAATATTCGATCAAACTGCTGTGTCTGCAATGGGGCGTACGGTTGTAAACCCAACCACAAAGAAGGCGAAAGTGATTCATTGGGTCGACCAGTTGGATACCTTTCTCAACTCCTGGACGTCCGACCAGACCTTTGGCTCGCGCGGCCGGAAGTCAAGCAGCTCCTCTGCAGATCTTATCAATTTGCTGGTGTACATGAATTATCAGATTGAGCAGTGTGGCGATGAACTCAAGGGTATATTCTATCGCGGGGCAAAAGATGCTGGGTTCGACCGGATTCTGGAGAAATTGCAAACGTACTCAAAATCTGTTCGATGTTGTAAGGAAATTGAGGAGTATAAGGATACACGGGAAGAGTGGGAGGGAATCAGTGGATCACAGTAGAAAATACCCAAGCAGATCTCTGGAGATTTGTGAGAGCGTTGTCAAGGTTAAGACAATATACATCAAAGCAGTGATAACCCCCGAGATAGGATTGATACGAAGCTATCTATAGCTCCATTGCCTCTTGAAAGGCATTACTTACTTCTTAGTTATAGCTAATGATATTCCACTATTATAGTGATATTTTTCTATAATTCGTCAACTATTTACAAACAAACGATACCATATCAGTCATTGAGCTTGTGGGACTTCCTTAATGCTATCATAACGCACCATGAGACAACCTATAACTTGACCAATTAACTAACAAAAATAATACAATATCCATCATATATGCCCTGGTAAGCATCAGTGTTTGAAGAGATATTAGTATTTATCAAAGTACTCGTAGTTATTGGTCCACATTCTGATACTTTTCTAGATCAGAACCTCAAGCAATAATACGTCGTTTCATTGGCCGCTCCCATTGTATAGAAGCTTGTTGGTAGTATTAGCGCCAGGGTTCCGGACTGCGCCGGTAGCCATCTTGATAAGCTCTGCACAGACAGCAGATGGAGCAATGTGCTTGGAAGCCATGAGAGTGGCACCAACACCACCAACATGGGGGGCGGCCATGGAAGTTCCGGTCATGACTCCGGTGGAGTTGTTAGGCGTGGCAGAGGTGATTCCCTGACCGGGTGCGTAAAGCTTGACTAAATAAATTGTTAGCTCTAAAGTTGCAACCCGATGCCAGAGGTAATATGGTTAAGGGAGAATTTACCAACTGATCCGTAGTTAGAGATACTGGCCTTCTCGTCCCTGATGGTGGAAGCAGCAGCACAGCAGACATTTTCTGCCGAAGCAGGGCTCTTGTTAGTAGCGTCTTGCTATAGTAGAAGGTCAGTATAGAAGATAGTATATATATACGTATATGGTGTGAGTTGAGACGTACGTTGTCATTGCCAGCAGCGACAGAAACAAATATGCCAGCATTTGCAGCATTGGTAATGGCCTGGTTGGCAGCAACCACCTTTCCGCCGCTAATCGACAGGTTCAAAACGGCTTTCCCAAGGGCATTTTTCTTACGAGCATCATCAACACACCACTCAAGGGCTTTCATAATATTGCTCCAGAGTCCAGCGCCGTGGTCGTTGAGAGCCTTGACTGCAACAACGTTGGCTTTCTTAGCAAGGCCATATTTAGTTCCTGTCGCAGTAGCAGCAGTGTGAGTTCCGTGGCCATGACGATCATTGTCGCCGGTGCCACTAACAACATTGGTACCCCAGACCGCACGTCCACCGAAGTCAGGGTGGCGGATATCGATTCCGGTATCGACGCCATAGAAGGTTATACCGCTACCAGCGGTTTCATCGTAAACATAATCACGAGTGCCGTTCATTCGGTGAGAGACCCTTCCAAGTCCCCAGGACGGGGCATCCTTTTGCGTGACGAGCCCATCAATGTAAACGTAGCGATCGTGCTCGACAAAGTCGACCTATATGCCATTTGTATTGTTAATATACCCAGGTAGTTCTCCCTTGTCTCAAGAATCTTTGCATGTATCCCCCACCTGATCGTTGTCAAGAATGCTAGCAAGAGTCTCACTGTCAAATGATCCGCTGTATGCATGCCATCCGTTGATCTTATAAGAATGTTTGAAACCATCGAGGTTTTTGACACCTGGCTTGGTGATGCTCTCACTATGGAGGTCTGTAACCCAGGACACATGGGAATCCAAATCAGCGGACGAGACAGAATCTTTCATAACAACAAGGTAGGAGTTTGGAACAATGTCCTTGCTGTTTGGAGACCTTAGAAGCTCTGCAGCATCGACAGCTGACAAGGCAGCGATTGCCGTAAATACCACCGTAAAGAGACCCATGGTGTAAACGATGAGGGAATTTCAGGTTGCAATAAAGGCACCTAGAATCGAGACAACCATTGAATTATATATAGCCACTAGACATCTCGACTTGAGGTCCAAGGTCCACAGTCCAAGGTCCAAGGTTCAAGGTGCAAGGTTCAAGGTTTCACGATCCACGGTCCAAAATCCACGGAATAAGTCCTTTGATAATAATAATAATAAAAATCACATCTATTACACTTTCTATAAAAGATAATAGACTGCTAAATCCAACCATTTTTCTTGCTTCTAATAAACAGTTACCAGTACGCACCGCTCTTAAATCCTAGATCCTAAGGTGGTTAAGTCTTATCTTTCCATCCTTTTTGTATTTATATAGGACTTCTCATACTCTTTGACTGCATAGGAGTATAATGAAGAATAATAATGAGAAGAAGAATATCCCTATACTATCGACAATATCTTAGATTAATATGCGTGATTAGCCGTTAAGTATGGTATCAGACGCTCCATGAGGCACATTGAATATCGATAGCCTCAATCCTTGTAGCCATTTATGCAGCTGAATCTCAATGAGGTAGTTCGGCAACTCGTATCTATCCCCATGGTCGATAGCCGGGGCACTGGTGGTTACAGGGGTATAATGTAGATATGACTTCATTATCTGCTAACCAAGCGCTCGCCGTCTTTCCAAGATTAGCATCTGCATGCCGAAGCAATGGCCTAGCCTGCCGATTGATAAGGAAGAAGTTGGATAGGTATAGTGCGCCCTGCTTCATTTCTTCCTCATAATTCTGTGTCTGTTTCACGAAACCAAGTATCTATTCTGTCCAGTCAATTATCTGTTGCTTGGAGGGTATCATCTTGGTTCTGCGACATTATTCCAACAGGGAGGCGGCCTTGGAGTAGCCGTATCCGTGACTTGTTGCAGTTACTCTTTGTCAAGAGAATCGCCTACTGAAGTTGAGACCAGTCGTTAGGCTAAATTAGCTATGTGTCAAACTAAGCTTCTCCGCCACTGGCCGCCACTGTGGAGAGAGAGTGTGGATGAATATCTGCTAGGCGCCTTCGGACGAACGGAGAGATACCGTAAATATATATAAAGTGGTGTGCGAAGCCTCAGCGAGTTCCTCGTGATAAAGCTGGAGGAGCATCGAGCAGTGCTGGGAATATCCTGGATGGATCCCAGCTGTGGAACATCCGACACGGAAACACGCCAGGAGGAAACACAAGGTGCAGAGAGATAAGACGACCCCCTCTATTGACAAATGCGAATCTGTCAGCGATAACTAATGTTGGAGCTGTCACTGGATAGACAAATTTCGATCTCTGTCACACAAACTGGGCGTAGACGTCGTGCTTCTGCCATCCCTGCACCCGCAACTCTCCAGGCATTTACGCCCAATAAGAACAATCCGTGAAGCGATTAAAATAATAACACGTCTCAAATATAAACCAGGTAGACTCACAGGCCCTCTTTTTTATAAACGTCATCTCTGAGAGATAGTAAGTTGACGCTCTTAGAGGAAAGCCGGTGGTTGTTCGTCGCCAGATTTGATACATGGAGAAATGGGCAGGTGGAGTATTTTCGGCTGTGTCTCGGAGAATGGCCAGATGAAACTAGGGAAGTGGTTGTATTTCACCTGGAACCAGCTTTTGATGGCCGTTGGATGCTAATATGGGACTTTCTAACTCCGCACTAGATGCGAGAATACCCTGTGAGTCAATGCACTTTTAATCTATTTAAGGGCTTCCACGATCGATAGTGATAGACGATTTTTACAACTAGTGAAAGAGTTGTTTAGTTCCAAGTTATCTATCAAGTCTAGTTATAGGTTGAGTATTACTTTCAAAAGTCTTCTGTGACTCCTCCGCCCGGGAGGCGAATGAGGATAAGATGTCAGGACAAGATTCCATCAGGCTTCCATCCGGATGATGGAACCACCGTTTGTATAACTAAATCCTGCATTGCAAAACAGTGACAAGGGATTTCCAAAGCTTGGTATAACCGCCCATCTAGCTCTTCGCTGGCTGTTGGCTGGTCATAATCCATCCAAACAAAGTCCCAATATTCTGGATACCACCCCGACCGCTCCCAATTGACAGCTGCGTATGTACGGCTAGTGTTTTCATCAACTAAAATGTTCCTGAGGGCTAGATCGGCATGGGCAAAATGAATACCATGGTCGTTACCCAAGTCATCCGGCTCACCTTTGACTAAGCATGGTGGAACTCTTTCACAGTCTCGAATGGCCTCAGGAAGCGCTTATCCTAGTTATGCAAACGCTTACAATATGGTAATAACTAGAGCAAAGGGAAATACATTAACACTATTCCAGCCATCCTTTAAAGGGACAGTAGTTATCGATGCAGGTAACATTGCACTACGGTTTTATTCAAGTGAGCGTTCGGAGTGGTAAATTAAATCTCGAACGGACGGCGCCTCAAACACCGCATAGATTATTATCGCGGCCGAAACATCCCCGTCATTGTTTGCATAACTATCTGAATAACTCCTTAGTTCGTCGGTTAACTAACTGCCTAGATAAACAACAAACTGGTTAAATGTTGAAGCCAGTGCCTAGCCAATGCCTCCTCACTTCTGTGCCTAGGGGCTGCAGCTACTTGTTCCCCCATGCTGATTCCATTCAGCTCTCTTTAAGCTAGTCAACATGAGAATATAACTAGTTATACAACTAGCCCAGTGATCCTCTACGGGTCAGCCTGAACACGTAGGCGGTTTCCTTGACACCCAATATCACCTGCTGCGATTTCCAACAAATTCTCCCTGCCCAGTGAGTTTTGGGTATACCGGGCGTTATACTTAACCACTTTCTTGACCGCGTTGAAAGTTACCACATCTATGGAGAGAGGCGCAGTACTAATATACCAGGAAACCTTGTTGCTGCACGGTGGAGTTGTGAGTGAACCAGTGTAGGTGTACATATCGTTCTTGTGTAAGGTATCGACTACACTAGAGAAATCTAGTTGTCGTATTTTGGTTACCGATCCAGGAGTTGTAATCTTATGCAGATTTGCAAAGACCTGGGACAACAACGGGGTGGAACGTCCGTAAGGCGACAGCTCAATGAGGAATCCAATCACGGCAATGGACTTTTCTTCCACTGCTACCATGTTAGTCACAAATCACATGTAGAGGACAAAGGGGGTTAGCCTTTGGCTTGTATTATATAGATACCTACCCCTTTGAAACACAAAATGAACTTCCATAGGAGCGTATTCCTCGTCGACTCGATGCTCGCTGGGAGTGTGGAAATGGAATTGCACAAGCTTGTAGCTCTTGCCCTTGATTTCGAGCTTTCCACTGGCAGGTACCTCGACGGTGGAACCTAGATTCTCAAAGAGTGACATCCTGGCGGCTGGGATATCCATCTTCACTGAGCCTTTGGCCGCATATTTGATAGTCTGCGAGTCGATAGCAATTGGAGACTGTGTATAATCGTAGCCACATTCCCAATTGGCAGTGGGATTCAGCCCGACCCAATGAAGGGGGCCACCTTCGCCAGTATAGTTGAACGAAGATACCGGGACATGTCCCTCGCTTGTAACAGAGTAGGGGTCCAAAAACGTTCTAAATGAACATGAAGCCGAGACAGACGTAATAAGGGCAGCAAAAGCTGCAACTTGGCGAGATAAAATCATGGGTCGGACTGCGGTTTCTTGACTAGCTATAGATGCTTAACAAGATGCTAAAGCAGAGGGACTCTGGTGTCCGGAGGAGTCAGTCCTATTTCTATAATAAGTTGAGCTCCTCGGACATCTACTTTTGAGTTCTGGTCTGATTTTTGGGCCAATTCACGACAGGACTAGATCTTCTATGCAAAACCGGTTGTAAGAGTAACACTGAAAATGGCCGTCCAATAAGCACCGTTAAAGAGTAAATTGTGGCTTTTCGAGAAGTTGAATCCTCAGATAGTTAGAACAGTGGAGCTAAAAGACAAGCTTAGCTTACGCTAAACTAGTTACCCGGGCGGGGGCTACTAACTTGATTAGTTCGCTGGACGGAAGTATATTGAGGCGTGGCTCTGCAGAGATTAGCTAGGATGGCTTCCTTCAAGTAAGGAGTCCAGCCCTTAAACATACCGCGTTTCTCAAGTAGTTAATGGCAAATATCAGGGAGTAATACACAGTAATCTATGATAATAGCAACCTTATATAGAAATACAAAAAGGCTCCTTATTTCCAAGGTCGAAGATCTATCCACAAGAAACCTTCGCTGATTGGGTGCTATTGAAGATTGCCTGCGGAAACCTTGTAATAATAAACAGCCACTATGATGTATTGGCAGTGATCCTCCGACGCCTCTTACAGCCCTATTAGAGGGCTTATATTCAGCAATGCCTAATATAGATATTGAATTCCCATCTGAACTAGAACTGGCGATCTTCCGAGTCAGTGAGAGCAACATAGAGGTATTGCCCCCGGGGTTTAGGCAAGGAAATATAACGTGACTATATGGCAAAGATAACTCTTCTACGTTTACAGAGTGCGCTTTCCCCATCACTTCTCCGTCAAGCTTCGCTACTCTATATAAGGTTATATTGGCGATATGTTCTTTAATAAATGCCGGAAATATCTTCAGCTACTGGCGAAATGATTATATAGTTATATTGACACCCTTATCTTATATAAGAAGCAACCCGCCATGCGCGCTCCAAAAGTCCATCCCCCTCGATACGTTTCGCACTATTTCCACTTCGCTAATTTAGCTCTGCTGATTATGATGGAAACGCTGGATCCGTGTCATTCTGCCATATATTAAGGGTAACGAGAACAAACCACAGCCACATATATTTAAAGACTCATACTCTGTCGGGAACCGTGTAGGGCTAGATTCGCTGTTAATTTAGGAATAGATAAATAGATTTGTCTTCGATGTGCTTATGGAACTCCAGAAGTATAGGAAGTCTCAAAGCATTACAAAATCATACCCAGGCATATTGAAGATGTGATAGGCAAATCAAATAAATGCCATCTAGAAAGGACCGCAGTTTTACGTCCCATCTACCTATGATATTACTAACATGACGTAAGAGGAGAAAGAAAGATATTACCCACGGGGGAATTGGTAAGACCAATGTTGGGGTAGTATATTTTCTTGAGGACAAATGAAGAGACCATAATTTCACATATTTTCATATATGTTAGCGAGAATTCTTTCTAATCTTGCCGGCAGTGTTCAATACATCAAAGCTTGAAAGGTAGGTAACCCCGGCAAAGTATATGGTACTAACACCTAACAAAATTTAGTCATTTAACCATTGTAGCAGTAGGTGGGAGTGTTATGATATATAGAGTGGAAAACAAGTCTCTTTACGCTATGACTACAGATAGCACTCGTCGGCTGTATATATAATAGGGGCATGGTCAAAGATGCCTCCATACCCACACAAGGTAATAGTCTACATCGGGAAAAACTGGCGCCGCAACCAGCCTATATGGATATAGCAACCTTCCTGGGATTGCAGGATACCCATAATAGCTAAATCTATTATTGCAATTGAAAGATTAAACAAATTCAGTGAACGATGACCTAATCGGGGACCCCTGAGCAATACATGAATATATTGTGTCCTGTGTAAGGATTGCGATCTAGGTGGCTCAACTCCTGTGAGTACAACTCCATAATTATGTTCGCTTGCATCGCGTGAAACGTGTAGAAAGTCAATAATAAAACGACATCTTCGATATGCTCCCCGATTTAGCCGCCTTAATCCCTGTCATCCTCAGATTCTTGAGTCGGCTCATAATTGGCAAAATGGGGCGCTATACTCTTTCCGAATAGCCAAGGTTCATGCACGTGATTTAAGCGCTACAAAACAGTCGACATCGTCGCTAAGTGCGGCTGATGCAGACTTCAAGCTTTTTCTTGCCTCAATGTGGGCATTTAACATCGTCCCACCAAGCATTGATGCGGCCCCATTCTCTAGCGAAATGGCATATTTGATAACCAGTTCAGCTATTTCGCGTTGATGCTGACGGGGGTAAGGTTTACTAGTCTTGGGTACAAATATCACGTTCTTGACTTCTAGCATAGACAGTTGATCGCATCGGCTGGTGACAATTTCTTCAACAGTCTTGTCAGCCCATATGGGCAACCTGCTACGGGGCCAGCCATATAACGTATTGTTGTTTTGCTTTGACCTGTGCATACCAGTTCCTCCTTTTCCTTGATATCCAAAGACCTCCAGATAGGCAAATCAGCTTTGCGTTGGGAGTGGCTCGATTCACCAATGATGCCAACCTCCATGTGGAATAAAGGGGGGGTTCTGTTTATTTGTGCGCTAAGAAGCTTTGTCTGCTATGTCATCATTATGAATCCCTTCTACCGATGGGCCTCTTGTCCTGCACCTTTCCTGATTAAAGTGCTATCAACTAAGATATCTTAGTCGGCACCAGCAATGCCTTCTGCTCTGGCTGAAGCTATATAGCCCTCTACTCCTACATTAGCTCAATGCTAATATGGCCGGTCGGGCTATGGGCCGCCATCGCTATGCTATTACTCGCGTTTTTGACTCAAACGAACAGAGAAATAGCGTCAAGGCGGATAAAGATGAATGAGAAAGCCAATGAACGGAATACTTTGCCCATTCCTGGGCAGTGTGGGATTTCGCCGTCGCTCATGCATTCTTCGTTTGCTTCTATCATCTAAGGTGCCCTAGAGTTGGTAGCTGCCGCCTCTAACTTGTGTCCATCTAATTCTATACCACGTCTAGCTGAAGCTCCTTCGTATGCCCGACTTTGTTGGCTTACTATTTACCTATAGAGTGGCGCAAACAAAATGCGTCTAGTATACTGCGCATGTTTGACCCAAGTACGATTTGTTTATCATCTGATTGATGGATCTAGGGATTAATCTAAACGTGCCACCTCATGATATCCCATTAACATTTGCTTTTCAGAGTAGTGGGTACCCTGTTATTATTGATGAAACATGAGCTTGATGAATCGATATATGGCTCTATCCACAGTACATATTGATTTCTCTGTTGTGTATTGCTTATTTGGGGATTATATACTCAAGGAAGTAGTTCTTGATACCAATCATAGGGAGGAGTATTATGACCACCTCCAGGCCGCGCTTTCTTAATACCCGATCTTGCTCCTACCCCATTTACTGTTATTGTTATTTACTTATTCTTCTTCGTCTTCATATTCGTCCACTTTCTCTTCTTTTACATCTTCTTCGTCTATGTCTCGCATGTGCTCCAGCAACGCTGTCGAAGCGATTATTTCAATAGTATGTAACCCCCATATTCTTGTCAAAATGGCTGACAGTTCTACCAATATGCAGGAGAGCAGTGTTGCTGCCAGGGTATCTCCAGTTTCCGAGAGATCTGCGATCTCGACAATCAAGCGCCAGCTGGATGGCGGTGGTGACACAATAACTCTTTCGAGAGACGAGGCTCTGGCTTTAGTCCAGAGGCAAGCCAGGCCCGACGCCGAGATGGTGCAAAAACTGGAAGAGGCCAGCAGTGAACTGTGTGAGGTTGAGTATAAGTCCCAACTTGGAGACTATGCCGGGAGGGTTGTTGACTGGGTTATGAAGTCGACAGCCAAGAAAAATGATCTACCATCAACGGTCTCAAAGCTGAAGGAAGCGCTGATGAAGGAGATCTCCACAAATCCCGAGAGGGATGGCAAGGTGTGCACGGCACTGGAGGATGCCATCAGGGCCCTTTCATCTTGCGGTCTTTCAGTCGACTTTGACATGGTTCAGCTCGCGATTAACGCTTACGATGAACGCAACGCTGCCTTTCATTCCAAGCTGAGGGCGGTGGCTGATGACTCGGTCGGCTAGGCCAACCGAGTCAAAAAGGACCAAGACCGTCTCCTCAGGCTTCTCCACAATGAAGAGCGCCGCAGTCACGTAGAATCATGGCGAAAGATCATAGATTTCTACCCCCAGAGCCAGGAACTCGCCTTTATCGATGATACCCGGAGGAAACTCCGAGTTGCCCCCATAGAGGATGTTCGACAGCTTGCGTCGACCGATCGGATTACTGCCTTCGACAACGGGAAATTCCGCCAAAATCTCGTGCTGGAACCCGACGTCGCTAAAATTCGACAGCGAACCAATTCCGACCCGATTTCAGAGAGCGTGCCGATCAGGAAAAGGAGAACCTCTGGTTCTCTGGGTCCTGACAGCACCGAAAGCGCTGGCCACGGTCGCGGGAGGGCACGAAGGAAATTGACCAAGAGCGAAGCGAAGTTCGTGATGGAGTCGGATACATTAGTGAACCGAATCCATGATTGGCACGACAAGAACCCGCGCCCGGCACTCAAGTGGGTACAGAAAGCCAACCGTCAGTTGGAGGAGGATGGAAAGTAGTGCACCTGCCACTTGGCGCCGGTCTTCGAAACGATTTCTGCCGCTAGATGATACCATGACGAAGAGACAAATTTCTGATCAAGAGGAATGGAGCACATTGGGTAAGTATATATGGGTAGGTATGGTAAGTATAGCCCCCCCTCCAATGTTGGTTTACCTCTTCGCGGTATTGGAGACTAGTAACCACAACTGTGGTGAAGCTAACAAACCATTTCCCATTCCTATTCATATATTATTTATTGTCTTTTGCTAGAATTTCCCTTTCTAGGCGTTGAAAGAGGTCCATAGCCGTCTATGCATTCTTCTTGTTATGATATTAATCAAATAAAAGGGAGATATCATTGCAGGCTTGATACACTCATAAAGTTATACACCAACTATTTCTCCACACTTCTCACATATACAGCTATCGTAACCAGTCCTTAGCGAATAATAGCAGTAGATACCTTCATTGGCTTGTCGATGATAGAGTTGAAGGTTTGATCATCCCACTCAATCTGGAAGAAGGTTACAACTTTGCTTTCACATACATGTCCCCAAAACATCCAGTCATGAATATAACTCCAATGTTCAACAATCTGTAAGTGGAGCTCCTCTTTATCACGATGAAATTCAGGGGAATCATGGCCTTCAATCCTTCTAGACAATATACTCTGAGCAAACGAGATATTTGTCCGCAGCCGCAACTTCTTGCCCTCCAGCAGCCAAATAGTTATGGGCGGGAGCACTGAGCCTTCAAGCATCTCAAGCGTTCTAACGACATTCCTCCATCGCCAAAAGAGCCCAGCTGGATCTTCCGGGCCAGAGATGTGGATATCGATAGCAGCCAGCTTGTGGAAAGGGAAATGGTCGAAGTCGGAGTTGCTATATTCCCACTCGCTTCTAAGCGTCCATACTCCTCCGTCGCAGAGGGTATCTTTTCTCACACGCCGCTGAAGGCGTATATCACACCAGAAGTTCTCCCCGGCGCCTGGAGGTGGCGAGAGGTCGATACACATGTTTGTTTTTGAGAAGAGAACATCTGATATCTCGTGGTACAGCGCTCTGCTAGCTTTAAGGATGCTGAGCTCCGCGGCGGGTTCATCTTCATGAGGTACAGGGAAGAATTCGAGCCAGATGAGTTCGCGGAGCTCGTAAGGCAGCTTAGAAAAGTTCCCTAGGCCAGGGGATAAGTCCATGGCTGGCTGGTTATTGTTTGCTTCTGTCCTTTTGTATGTTGGACAATATGTCTAGATTGAGTATAGACAAGGTGATATAGGGTATAATACGGGAGTTATATGGTATAACAGGGAGCAGATAAATTGAGCAATTTATTAATACCTGAACTTGAATACTGCAAATGACTATGTCGGTGATGGGGGATCAACTTGGGGCTCTATATGATTTTATTCTAGATGATGTCATTGATTGAGACTCGTCCGGAAATAATAGTTATTATATCTAGCTAATTAACTAAGTGATAACAGCAGGCAAACTCTTATGAGTAATTAATTAATTAAAAATTCATTACTAACTGCAGCTGTGGATGTCATAAGTGGTTACCCCTATTTAATTATGTGGGTTAAAGTATTTCGTCTGCAGCCAACTCTACCCCTTAAGAGCGGAAATATCGCTGACTTTGGAACAGTTTCAGGCCCCCTGAGCTCACCAGCCAACGAGAATGCAGCATAAAGCAGCCATCAGGCCCCTTGTCGGGCGCTGTGGGAACAAAGAACCCTTATCCAGGCCCAGGGATTCCGGTGATACGAGGTAGTCCACGAAGTTACGCATCGCGCTGCCATGCACGCCGTGTCAATCTGGAGTTACACCCCTCGATGCGAAGGCGAGGCCGACGAGGCTGGTCGATGCCGCTTGTGTCCCACTACGAGACCAGCAGCAGAGACAGAGGGCGAGGATGAAAGCGCATTCGGGCCCTTCGCCGTTTCTCTGTGCCGGAGTAACTGGCGAAAGAGCTGATCACTTGGGACCTTGGAAGGGCCCTATAAATACCCTCGACTCTGCCCCCCACGAGAACAAAGCAGACCAAAAGGCTGTCTACTTGACTCTTATGCCCTCCGAAAAGAAGTCCTGTCTACTTAGCTAGTTACCCGTCTGCATCTTTACTACTGTCGACGTCTTTGCCGGCACCATGGACTCTGCTACTGTCCTCATATCCAAGCTCCAGCATCTGGCGTCGAGGCTCAGCAGCGAGGATGACCGTGAAGCAAGAAAGGAGTGCTTGCAGATCAGCAAGGCCCTCACGGCGCAGCTTGAGGAACCAGAGAATGTGGCCGTTGACATGATCTTCTCTGTATGTACCTGATGCTTCCCATTAGCTGTATACACTCACGACTAACCCCATATTTGATAGCCTATGGTTGCCGTCAGTGCTCGCATTGCAGTTGATTTGAATCTCTTCGCTCTCATTGCAAAGGAAGAGCCCGTTACCTCTGCCAGGCTCGCTGAGCTGGCTGGTGCAGAAGAGCTGCTGATAAGTATGGATCTATGGTGCTGCAAGTATAGGGGCTGTTGATATCTGACCATCTCTCGTGTAGTACGTATCTTACGGCCTCTATCTGCTATTCAGTTTGTCGAAGAAGTTGCCCCAAAGACATGGAAGGCGACTCGTATCACCAAGGCCATGGCTATCGAAGGAATAGCTGCTGGTCACCGAATGATGTGGGTTATTATATGCCATGGGCGAAGGGACACCCCCAGCTAACTATCGGGGCTCATATAGTTCACGTTTTGTCGTTATCTCGATGCAAAGTGCCCCGGCCTACCTAAAGAAACATGGCTATGCCTGTCCAACCGACCCCAACGACGGCTTAATGCAATACGCCTTTAACTCCAAGAAAAGCGCGTTCGAGCGAGTTACATCCGATCCAGACTTGCTTAGAGACTTCAATACCTTCATGGGCAGCACAATGGGTGCCCGGAGTACTGGGTGGACTGGTACCCCGTTCAGAGCCGAATTATCGATGGAGCATCTTCCGATAAGGCTTTGCTTGTTGATGTCGGTGCAGGCAGAGGCCATGACCTGCTTGCGTTCAAAGAGAAGTTCCCCAACACGGGCAAATTGGTTCTGGAAGACCTTTCAGCGGTAACTGAGACTCTAAACGATTTGGATCCAGCAATTGAGAAAGTCCCATATGACTTTTACACCGATCAGCCTGTTATAGGTAAGCTGCTCCTTCAACTTCCGTTCGTATTTATTTGATATATAGTCACTACACGATCGTCTACTAAACCCTATATAGGTGCAAGAGCCTACTTCTACCACCATATACTCCATGACTGGTCGGATGTCTGCTGTCTGAAGATTCTCGAGAAGGTGGCCGCAGCTATGACTCCAGGATACTCCAAGCTACTCCTACATGAGATGCTCGTCCTCGACCAGGGAGCCCCTCTATTCCAGGCAGAGCTGGACATGACCATGATGGCCTTCAATGGAGGAATGGAACGTACAAAAGATCAGTGGACCGCGCTGCTCGAGAAGGCCGGTCTCAAGGTAGTCCAATTCTGGGACCCAGTTGACGAGGGAGGCGATGGCATTGTCGAAGCCATGAAGGCATAATCAGGCTCTCCATAGCTATCTCTCCTAGTCTCAGCGACTTTTAGACAATACAGTTGCATTGAACTTGTTTTGATATCTCAACTGTTGGAGTGAACTATACTAAATAACTAACGCTGAATTGGAACACCCTTCCCCTTCAGCTTAAACTCTTCTCTGGCCTGTCCAGCAAGTCCACTTTAAACAGATCAAACATTCGCTCTCCAGCCCACCCGTCAAGGTGCTCCCAGTTTGCACAATAGTGCATATCCTTATCAAAATTCGTTGGATAAAACTCCGTCGGATCTTTATGCTGAGCCGTGTTGTTGATCCAGCGGAAAGTGACCAAAGAAAGGTCCGGTTGACACATAAGGGATTCCCGAATATATTCCACGCAGTGGTCGGCGTGTTTTATCTCGCGTGCCATAGACACTTCGTCTTTGTCGGCGTAATAATGTTCTTTGAACATCATGCGCTTGACCTTTTTCTACAACATGGATGATTCAGTCAGTATCGGCATACCTCTAACCATTATTTATTTACACAAATGTCCACGTACCAGGCAATGCAAGGAGTGATACACACTCAGGGATGCGATCCCCTCAGAGTGGTCTTTGGTATATACTGAAGTCAAGTTCTTCTCCTTCAGATAACTGATGGGAACACGGATGTTATCGTCTACTCGCCGTTAGAAGACATCAATCAGCCTATGTCTGCATGCCTTCAAATCAGATAGTATACGTACTTCGCAGGAAAGAATGCCATGCATTCTCCATTTCTTCGCGAGGGGGCCCGGCAAAGGGATTGTTCACGATATTCGTTGGGAACTGACGGTACTCCCATTTTAGGGCTTGTCTATCTGGTACTATCTTCAAGTCAGTAAACGACCACTTGAGAGGATAAACACGAACTTACGTGGCAGATGTGGGTGATTCTCTTTGTCTGCTTCTTGTAGAACATGCCTCTGGAGTTTGGGTAGGATAACAGCAAAAATAACCAGCGAGTATACGACTATTATCGAGCTATGCAGCAGCCATGGAAATATCCTCCTCCATATCCGCCTCTTCGGCTTCTGATCAAACCTCGAAAACTCGTCTTTGAACTCTTCTTCCGAAGAGCAGTTCAGAGACTCATCGCCTCTAAGCAGCGGCTGGATCGCATGCTCTCTTGCTTCCTTTTGCTCCATCCTTCTCACTTGGTGAGTTTGAACATCTATGGTTGCGGTACAAACCCCCAGTAACGTCTGTTTACTCTAGTTCTTTAAAACGTTGGAGGAAATACCAGTTCTACTAAGTATATCGGCCCACTTACCCAAGGCGTCGCCCGAGACAGGGTTATCCAGGAGAATTCATACAGCACATTACAGCCGCTGTACTACTTTGTGGTGAACCCGGTCCGGCTGTGGGCTGTTCAAGGTTGGGATTTTTCTTATTTTACTCTGACAATCAAACTCTCAAAGCTTTACCAGAGGTGCTGTCATCCAAATCCTTCTCCATACATTGTGAATACAGGTATTATACTTTCTATCCAATGAGGCTTGGTAAATCCTTCGAAGGATTTCCCGCTCTCACCCGGCCTGTCCATTTGGAAGACCCAGGCTTGCATCAAGTCTGAAAACTCAAAAGGTGTGGTAGCAAATACAGCCCAATTAACAAACGGCTGCATAAAAGATTGGCGGCCCCAAGGTCTCCCAAAGATCTCCATCTTCTGGCCGGAGGATTTATGTGTCTTCATTAACTCTCTATGCCGCCCGGTTCAACAATCCACAGCTGCAACTTCCCGGATCATGGATTTGTTCAATTTCAAACCCCAGTATCGGCCTTTGGCTGGTAACAATTCCCCGCGACCGGGAGCTCTGTCCTGCCTGAGGCAGTACTCGCTAGCCAGCTACATATTTTTACTCGCTATCATCGCGGTATCTGCTGGGATAGGAGCCTTGATTGGAAGGTCGTCTCTTGGCTCTGGTAGCTGTGGTCGGTACTCAAACCGTAAGTATACAACACTGGGCCCTACCCTCCATCAAGATTGTACATGTCGCAAAAAGCTCATCCTTCTCTGGCAGCTGAAATCCCGCTGGGCACTGTCAGGGAGATCTTTACCTATAATCGCACATTTGGTGACGACCCGCGAATGGACCACGGCACGCTGGCTGCCTGGGACTCCCTTGTCCCAAGTAAGTAAATTTCTGACGTCCCAAATATCCGTCAACTCAAGGAAGATGCACTAATTGGACATGGTGTATCTCCGAGATAACCAGTTGGCCAAGGCACAGTACGTTATCCCGCAGGGAGCAAGAAGATCTATACCTTGTCTGCCGTGCACCAACTACATTGCCTGGTACGTGCGAATGCCGTTGGCTCTGAAATTGACTCGGAAGAACGAGGATGCAGAAAACATACTAACCGAGGATGCTGGGCAAAAGTGGTCCATCCACCAAAGCTACTATGGGGCCTTGCAGTCGCGCCGTCGCGGCGAGGCGCACCACCACGACTACTCCGGCCCCCATATGCGGCACTGCTTCGATTACTTGCGTCAGGGGCTGATGTGTGCCGCCGATTCAACCTTGGAGCCTGTAGATACGAGGCTAGGTGGAGTGACAGGATGGGGAGACGAACGGGTCTGCCGAGACTATGCTGCTCTGAAGGATTGGGCCGAGAAACGACGAGTGAGTAACAGCAAGGGCTTCTCCGACTAGCGACTGCCAGCCATGTTAATTACTATAACTATTGATTGTTCTCGTTAAAGAAAAGCTTGTCGATATGCATGTCCAGGTGAATCAACCGAATACCTTAATAGAGCAAGCCAGCACTTTTCGATATAACCACAATCTATGTACACCGCAAGAGCCAGGGAACATAAATATAGAACAAGCACTACGAGGGTGGTACGATTGAGCGCTGCTTGTGGCCGCCCTGCAGCGTCCCTTGGTGACCGGCGAGACACCCCGGCCCCCTCCTTCCCGTCGGCAAATCGCAAGTCAAGCCCTGCGTCACCCATTCATCCGATGTCACGTCTCTGCGCCGCGCTGCGCTGCCTTGTCCCATGTCCCTCCGTGTCGTTCCCCGGCTGGCAGTTTTGCTGGCCAGCCAATGCCAGGGCCACAGAGCGACCCACGGTGTCTCCACTGATCCCCGCGCCCCATCTGAGCTTAAAACCAAGAAATGAGCAAAAAAATTAGAAAAGGGTAAACGATCGGCAAGCACTTAGGCGCTCTCACTGACCCAGCCAATTAAATGCCGTTATATGTTCAGTGGCCTTGGATCTCTGAATTTCTATTGGTTCCTGGCTTGTGGGTTGCATCCAGCGAGGCCCGCAAGTTCGGGCCGCGGGGGCCAGCGATCTCCACTGCCAAGATCCACCACAGATTGATAAAACATCTTGCGTTATTGTTGTCGATATGTATCAGCGGCCGTGGCGGAGTCGAAGCAGACTTAACGGAGCATTTTATCTTGTTTGAGCGGAGAGTCAATATTACGCCGTACGCCCTGCTGTTCGACCAACAATTATATACAGTACTCCAGGATCCATCTCGCTACAAGGCTGCTAGAAGTAGAGAGAACCCTGATGCTTCGACTACTCTTGCATCCTTTTTTCATGTAGGACATGGTGTGACAGAACCGCTTATGCTGCCAGAGAATAGGCATCTTGCATCATTCATATGCAAGGATGGCTGGAACATCTGTTGCACATGACATTATATGTATGTATATATCACCCTGGGATAACGGTATTCCGTTACAAATATAGAACGTAATTTAAATCCTACCCAACGGGTAGGGGTCTTTGTATGCAAGGCAAACCTGGATTGCTGCTGTTGGCCGCTACATGGCTAAGCGGTCAACTACCAGTACAGGCACGGAGTATTTGAAAGATGTGATAGTCCATCCTCTTCGACGTCTTTTTTATTCCTTTTTATATCAAGTCGTCCGAGTGCTGTTTCTATAGTAGCAAGATCACAAGCTACCCTCACCTTCAACACAATCAAAGATGAAGTTCCAAATCATCCTCCTTTTGGCTGCTGTTGCCACCGCTGCCCCTCTCGCCAGTGGTATGATGATACTTCTTGCTGGCTTGTTATCCCGTTCGCCAGCCCGAATGCTAACTTTGTGAATAGGTAAAGTAGCTGACGCCGACGAGGCCGTTGTCTACCCAGCCCAGGTTGACATGTCCTGGGTTGATGCCGATGTGGCAGCCCGTGAGTATCTATTCTAGATGCCTTTTGAGGACCGCCTTTCTAATCTTGACCTAGGATCTGTACAAGACGCAGATGAAGCCGTTGTCTACCCTGCCAAAGTCGATGAGTCCTGGGTTGATGCAGATGAGGCTTAAAAACTTTCATGTTCCTACGTGTAAACGTTATCCATGGACTTTACCAAATTTTAGTCCAAAGTGGCACGGTTTTATGAATATTTGATATCCGTTATGTCCTACACCAGAGATTCTTTTCATTCCCTAGCAAATATAGATTGGTCTGCCTTTTCGGTGATCTTGAGTAATATCTACATCTTTCGTATGCCCACAAAATAGCCCATTAATGTTAAAAGAACAAGGCTATATTTCTCGGAATTGTTACATGGATGCCGGTAAACCGATGCACAAGGTATAATGTTAACACGAAACATATAAGTGCGGCCAATCCCCATCTCACAGCTTGCTTCTGCATACAAACTACTCCCCGACAATTTCTCCAGACATATGCTTTATAGGCAAAAAATGTCAAACAATGACAAGAGCTATCACCCGCTGAGACGGGATTCAACAGAGAATGAGCATGATGGACGGCTGATGGAGTTCAAGAGTCCCAACAGCCAGAGACCGGTAGTCTTGATACTATCGGCCATAATCGCTGGATTGGTCTTTCTGAACGCTGTTCTCAGCTTGTACCTCTACAACCAGAGCAGACCATCAGCCTCAAATTGCGACTGTGGTTCCTATTATGGTACTACATTACTCTCAATCCCTGCCTTTCCCTCTTATTACGTGTTACTGACCTTTGTTTTTTCAGCCGGCCTAGAGAGAAATATCCCTATCCAAATCTACCAGTCCACCGAGTTCGTCGCCGAAAATGCGAGTGATGTTGCACACCTCTGGGAAGAGTTAAGCGGTGATCCAGGAGTTGTTGCTCTTCCGCAAAAATATGTGTCTGAGAAAGGCCTACCGCATGCCATGCGTTTCCCATGGGACAATGATAAAGGCGTGTATCTGTTGCAAGGATATCACAACTTGCATTGCCTGGTAAGTCAAAAATATGCTTGCCGTCCCCCACAGAAACCCATTGTCTAATACGTATTCCATCTCTAGAGAACCCTCTTCCGCTACACCTGGAACGCTGATCGCGGTATCCCTCAGCGAGTTGCCTTCAGCCATATCCAGCACTGCCTAGACCAGTTACGCCAGGACGTTATATGCAATGCAGACGATACACCTAGATATGCCGGTTTCCAGGACCCACCAGGAACAGGAGCAGGCCAGGTCAGGATGTGTAAAGACTGGAAGAAACTGGAAAAATGGGCTAGGGAGCGAACAGCCTGTTTCAAGCACGAGGACGAAGTGCCGGGAAGAATGATAGATCGATTCAAGTTTTGTCCGGATGGAAAGGTGCTGTGGCCGACGGATAAGTCTAACCGATGAGCGAGAATTATGCCATGTTGTGTATCCTTATTTCCTTGTTATAGTTAACTAATGAATAGACGTTTTATGTCCGATATGGACGGAATATTATCAAAACGGAGTATTAATAGTTATTATATTGCTCGTCTGAGGCCAAAACCAACTTTGGACACCCTGCTAGCAGCCATACTAATAACTGAAGCCGTAAGTAAAGCACCACACCAGCAAATAAGTCCAACCCAGCCTCCGCGTCCATTGAGAATGGCGCCGGCAATAGGATTTCCTACGAGGACTCCGCATCCTACGACAGCCAAGGTCATCCCCAGCCGGGTACCTATCTTGCTCTTGTCTGCAGAAAGATTCACGACTCCTGCAGCAGGTAATCCCATAAACGCACCAGCAGAAAATCCGTAGATGACACAGAAAACCACCAGTCCGGCTGCACTCTTGATTGCGATCAGGCAGAACGTCAGCAGGGCGCTGATAAATGCAACGATCGTCTGCACGTTGATAGATCCTATCCTGTCAGCATAGAATCCGGGTATTAATCGCCCTGCTAAAGAGCTCCCGTTGATTATCACCAGAAGGTATGAATCGAGGACATGTGAGACATGGCTTTCCTGAAGAGCGTATAGCTGGATATAGTAGAAGATAATGTACAGGCCGGTGAAGCCGAAGATGAGACCAAGATTGAGCAGCATGTAGGGACTGTCTCTGAACGCGGTCTTATCTACCACGCTATACTTTGCTCTTTTGGTTGGGATAGACCTGGGTTTCATCAGCAAGACAGGTAGCAGCTGGGTTGCCAGTATGATGAACCCGATGACCCGCGTAGCCCATGGGAAACCGATCCTGGGCTGAAGACGGCTGAAGATAATAGGATATATTATTCCACCTGAGTCAAACCTCATAGTTAGATACTGTTCTTAACTATCGGTGTTATAGAAACCTCCACGTACCGATGGCACTCCCTGCTGAAGACGCGCCCATGGCCAGCGCAGTGCTCTTGTTGAAGTACTGCGACACGACGGCTGGGGCCGGAACGTAGAGACAGCCAAACCCCAGGCCCATCGTGATCGCTTGCGCGAGGAAGACCTGCCAGTACTGCGTGCACAGGCTGGTCATGAACATCCCCAGCGCCGTGAGCAGCGATCCGAGTCCCAGCAGCGTCTTCACGTAGCCAGCATCCACGATCGGCCCGACGACCATCGAGATGATGAACATGAGGAACGCCTGGGTCGAGCCAATCCAGGAAATGTCCGACGGGGACTTTGACGAGAGCAGCTCAAGCTCATAGAAGGTCTGATATACCCCAAACGCGTTCATGAGGCCCCTGGGAGTCAACGTCAGTTACTTAACTACGCCCTAACTTCATAGTTTATTGCTAAATAGCACCTACCATGTATTCAGATTGAGGCAGAACGCGCCCAGGACCTGGAGCCAGGCGAACCAGTCCTCGTCAGGTTGCGACGGCGACGAGCTCTCGACATCCTGCTGCCCTCGGTCGCGTTGCTGCTGCTGCGATGGTGTGTCTTCCTGAGAATCGGACGGCGGTTTATCATCCATGGCGCGGGCTTGGGCAAAACATCGACTAATTAAAGCTCCCTCTCTCAAGGCCCGTTTAAGCGAAGAAAACGCTCCGTCCAGAGGTCGAGACACTGCAGGATGAAGCAGTTTAAGAGTTGCCGCGACCTTTTTGATCCCTCCGGGACGGCTTTCGTCCCCTCTCTGTGCGTGGTTTGCATGGTTGATATCAAAATATTACGTACAAAAAGCGCATCCCAGGCCACCCAAGAAGGCTCCGGAAGCCCGGCGTCTCCTCTCGGTCTGCTCGCTCCCTCTGGATATGCATCCTGCCGGTGGGATTATTCCATCGTTTGGTCCTTACGTGCTAATTAGCTATCATTAACTGTCTATGTAGGGTTAACGACCGAGTTACGGTTGCTGATCTCCCTTGCATGGCCCGTCTGCGCCACCAACTTCCTCTCCAGAATTCTCTGCAACACTCAGTCCGTATGGGGAATTGAGGACCGGCTTGTTCGACCTCGGCCATGCTGTGCATGCTGTTAATGCAAGGATCTCTCGCCGTTCCATGTCTTGTCTGATCCCTCAGGTTGCACGAAACCACACAAGGCCTGCAGTGCAGCACGCTGGAGGAGGAGAAGGAGCTGAAAAACAGAAAAAAGAAAAAGAAAGCAAGAGGCAGCAGTGGAACGTTTGTCCAGCCAGGTTGATCTTGCGTGCCAGCGTGAGAGACGAGGAGAAACGCACAAAAGACGGTCGTACTTTTCTGTATATTCTTCGCTGTATCACCCTGCCTGGCTGCTGTATAAATATAACTCTGCAATATGGACCCTGCTGGGAGAGTCGGCAAGATATTCTTCACAATTCACCGTCCCCCTGGATACAACGAATAAGATAGGGACCTATACGAGTGGCATGCTCTCCCCCCTGGCCGTCCGGACTCGATCGTCAGGCCACTGAGCAGGTTGTATCTGGACACTTGACATGGATGGATCTTGCAGTGTGGTATGTCATGCTCACTCCTCCCGTAGTGATATCCCTTCCCTTGTGCGCCCTTTTTGGGCCTTTCAGGAGCGGAAGCTTACTTCGGACAATGCCTCCATGCGGATGCGCCAGCCTGATCTAAAATGTTACCTTGTGCATAGTGTCAGCGCTATATAGGTATTCCTGCGTCGCTGGAACCTGGGGAAGCGCTTCCAGGCTGACCATTCATGCAATAACTAACTAGCTGCTTTTGTTTCTCTCGAGATTACTGATATAACTATTTCGAGCCGATTCATTCCATTTGATTTGATCGGAGTCTTTCTTTTTCGCTCTCGTTCATCAAGAGCTGTTGATAGCCGCCCAAGATGGCCATGTCTGGGCTGGATTACTTGGGGACAACCGTTCTGGTTGTTGCTTGGGTCTTTGCTGCCCTCGCTTCTATCGTCGTTGGTACCCGATACTATGTGCGCTGGAGGATCATAGGGAAATTTACTATAGATGACGCCCTCATCTTCATTGCCTACGTGAGTCCACAGCGACCGCCTCAAAATCCGCGCACTACTAACCAAACACAAGGCCCTTGGAATAGGAAATTCTGTTTTTTTGACCATATCTACTCACTGGGGTTTGGGAACCCACATGGCAGAGTTATCACCCCAAGGGATCATGAACTCCGTCAAATGGGTGTATCTCTGCGAGTTCTTCTCTATCATGTCGCCAGGCATAGGTCGGATAGCCTATGCATCTTTACTTCTGGGTCTTCTTCCTCCCATCAAATGGCGCAGTCGCATGCTCTGGAGTCTGATATGGATCCAGTTCGTCGTCGATGTCGCGACTGTGATCATCAGTTTCTCACAGTGCCGCCCTATCAGTAAATTTTGGAACAATAGCATACCAGGTAGCTGTTGGTCTCCTAAAGTCCAGCAGAACACGGGCTACTTTCAGGGAGGTAAGTACACTCTGATATGCTGCTGTAAAGCATAATACTTACAACTATGACAGCGGTATGTTCGGCGGTTGACCTTGCTCTTGCGGCCTTTCCTGCCAGTATGTTCTGGAATCTGAACATGGAGTGGAAGAAGAAAGTATCTCTTTCATGTCTTATGGGACTGGGTGTTTTGTATGTCCGGGACCATTCCCATCCATTGCGAACAAAGAGATGAACAGAAATGAAAAACATACTAACGGTTCTAGTGCGATGATTGCGTCAATTATTAAGACCGTCCAGCTGAGAGCAATTACCGCAAAGGCCGATATTACCTATGCCATGGCCCAGCTCGCCATCTGGTGGACGCTAGAGGCATACCTGGTCATCATCGCAACATCGATACCCACTCTCAGGCCGATAATGACGCCCAACCGGTCCAGCAACAGACAGCGAGGAAGCTCGATCAAAAGATCGACCATGATCCACTCCCATCAATCCAGTTGCGGTCATAGCAGACAGTTTGAACGAATAGAAGACTCCCAGCTGCTGGAGAGTGATTCACGAATAAGCACCCCCTATGCGGGCGATGCTTATATTATGGAAGAGGGACGCAGCATGGATCGCAATAATCTGGAAAGAATGGAGGGGATCGAGAAGACAACCACCATCGGCGTCACGTATGCTGAAGCCACCAAGCCGGATCCTCGGCTGAGGCTAGGGGCCGATTTTCGATGAGGCACTCCTACCCGTCGGGTAGTTGGTTAACTTTGGTTAACTGCTAGCCCGAAGCAAATGATAATAAGGAGAGACGGATGTATTGGCTTCGGATTCTGTGCTACTTTGCCACGCATTGAGCTCTACACCTGACCCGCCTGGCGCCCAATGTCGATTGCAGCACTGTTCTAGGCCACAAAGGAGCTAGATGCTCTAGTTTGAACCTCTAAATCGGGCACTTACTGATATCTCCACTATAAACGAGATATATAAAATCTAATAGGTTAGTCCGCACCTCTGCTTCATTCATTATGGCATCATGGAGATCCAACTAACGCAACACCTATCGTTAGAATTTGATTTTACCCTCCCTGCTTTGATACCCCTACTAATACTCAGAGAGGAAATAATACCCAATAATAACATCAGCGCTGGACGTACAGCCCAGACATAAAATCGAGCTCGGGCGTGATATACAATCCAAAAAAACCGTGGTTCATGTTTCCACCAACAGACACAAACTTCATGTACATTACCTCTACAATAATGACAACGGCTACATCATCAGTTACCGGTAGTTCCTCTCAAGAATTAACACAGGCAGCTGGTGGGAATATATGCCTACTGATTTTTGCTGAATTGTCGCGAAACAGTAACGCTATAATCTTATATTCCGAAATATAGATTAAGTCAACGTGATTACTTTTATTCATACAGGTGTCCATTAACTACTACTTACGGCAACCTGGGGTTAGCACCTAGCTGCAAGGTAGCGCCCGCCGACCTCAAACCTTATGGCTTTTTCTCTTTTTATCTATATGGTGAGGGATGAATTCCTCTTTATAGACCTTGAAAAAATCAGATAGCTCCTGGGGATGAGATCCTGTGATATCATGGAATGCTGTTGTCGAAATATAGTTCGTTTTTCCTTCACGAACCAAGGAATAGTATTCTAGAAGATATTGCAGCTCGGATTCATCACTCTCTGACTGCGAGTGAAGCACCTTCTTAGCTTCAGCCCTATTTCTTTATCAGTAACGTATATACCAAACAATTTCGGTCGAAATAGTCGTTGGCCTACTCAGAGATATCATCAAACTCCAGATTTGCTATCCCTGCACTACTGGCTGCTTCAGCCAGCTCATCGCCAGTAGCAAGCATTGGTCCTAGTAGGTCAAATGGTTCAGCGTGTACACCTGCTTTTAACAATCCTTGGGTTTTACATACCAGTAAGGACAATCAATTGGCCGCGATGGGCATCGCTGAAGCCATGCTTTCCCTTACCCGTCAATACATGGGCTACAACTTGAGCCACATCCTAGTTGGTTATACCAGCCGGTGTTAGCTATTTTCCAATTCGTAATAGATATATCTTCTTAAGATGACCTACCCCTAAAGCGATTGGTGCAAACTTATGCATTGTGCCAATAGGTATAGGCAGCCTGCCCTCCTCTTTAGCTTGAGGGGCGTAGAGTAGGAGGTTCTCCGCATAGAATCCGGCTCTACAAACGGATGACTAGTGGTCAGAATATTCAGTTCTGGCAGTTGATATAACAAAAATCTTACCGAATTACCACTGGACTATGCCCGGTTGAAGTTGATGGATCCCCCTTGGACGAGAGAAAGAGACATTCAAGGTCGATGAACTCGCGAAGTCTCGGTTGCTTGTCTCTCTCTGCGAGATCTGCTCCTGCAGAGCTAATGAAACAGACATTTGGCACGTTCGCCTTTTTAGCAGCATTGATCAACTCGACCGTAATATCAAACTTATCCTTGTGCGCCGGGGGGATGAGGCAGAGTGTATCAGCTTCTGTTTGTTGCAGCGTATTCACCATCTCTCTCAATCGTCCCGGTTTGTGCGAGACAATCTGCGCTCCGAGTTTCTGCAGTTCCTTACAACGTTCTGCATGTGGATGCAGCGTGAGCGCGACCACAGAATCAAACTGCTTTTTGAAGTTTGGATCCGTAAGAAGGAGCTCTGTGATGAGATGGCCGGTATGGCCGTCAGCAGCAGTGATGCATATTTTTCGTGCCATTATCACTGGGTAGTTTCTTCCATGCAACAGGATCAGGTCAACCCAATCCGCAATCTTCAAGTTTCATTCGACTACATCCACCGCTATATATATATAGCGAACTATACAGTCTGTAGTTATACAGATCAACTTCAATTCAGGGTAAGTGACGTCACTTCAGCTTCCGGCTAGTTAACCAGAACTGATAAAGCATGATTTGAATTCACATAGTTAGCTAGCTAACTGCACGCTCGTCGCCCCTAAAACTGTCTGCTATTAGGAGAACCCGGAGGACCAGAATCTCGTTTTCCTTCTCCAAAGGCCGTGGTACATTTGCCTTGGTTTGGGTAGAAACTTCATGACGCACGCATGACCTCATCTCTGCCTATTCCTAAGCCATTGATTCCCCTTTGATATCATGCTTTGTTTACTCGCTCTATAATCACACTCTAGATACTTGGTAAAATCAAGATGACCATTGGTTCTCCACAGTTGGCAGCTCTTGTTATGAAGTTGAATCTCAAACCTTTAATCGGGCGAGGCCAGTCTCAATCGGTATATATGACGTTGGTATCAGATACATTCCCTCTATAGGGAATGTATATTCGAACGTAGCACTCTGTCGCTGTTTATAAAAATCCTCGCTCCTAACAAATTATTGGAGCATTAGAAACACCCCTAACGCCCTACTTATCATACCAAATCTAAGTACGTTGCACTCTCCCACCATAATTTATAGATATAGAAATACAGATCTGACTCTACACACGCATAGTTATAGCATTAGTTTGAGACATACACGACGCAGCCTTCTATACCCAAGCATTGCCGCAACGCCATCTCCACCGTCCACTTGATCCAACATGGCGAAAATATCCGATACTATAAAATCAGACCATCGAGCAATCGAAGAATGTTACGACAAGATTGTCAACTCGTCTGACTACGAGCAGCAGGTGCGATACCAAAACCAATTCACCTGGGAATTGGCCCGCCACTCCATTGGAGAGGAGCTCGTCGTTTACCCTGCGTTTGAGAAACATCTCGAGAATGGAAAGGCGATGGCTGATAAAGATCGCCAGGAGCATCAAGTTGTACGTTTCTACAGACATTGATTACCAGACAACTAGGGATTGAGTCTAATCTAGTCCCACAGGTAAAAGAAAAGCTCAAAGTCTTTCAAGGCATGAAGCCTTCTGATGAGAAGTTCCAATCTACTATCAAAGGCCTGATGGACGATCTCTCCCAGCATATCCGTGAGGAAGAGGAAGAGGATCTGGTCAAACTCGAGAGTGCTCTTGCGCACGATAAGAGCGAAGCGCTCGCCACCTCTTTTGATAGAACTAAGGCGTTTGTTCCTAGCCGGTCCCATCCAAGTGCACCGGACAAGCCTCCATTTGAAACTGCAGTTGGTCTCCTGGCTGCTCCAATCGACCACCTGGCTGATATTTTCCGTAAATTCCCTGATCAAAAAGTCAGCCCTAATCCGTCGACTCAGTGATGGAATAGCTATTTAACTAGTCACTCAAAGAGTTTGGTGTATCTCGTTTGTTATTTGATGGTCATCTAGCATGCTACTAGCATATTCTAGTTATTTGATTATACAAGCGCCTTCAGAGCTGTATCAACAATGATTGAAGAGCTAGAATATAGGTAAAATCCAACAACAATGAACCAAGATGAAGTCGAAGATATGTAAATTCGTGAAGAGCTATATACAGAAGCATTCCTAAACTATGTACATTGAAGGATAAGAGAATGCATTTAGCAGCCTGGTGGGAGCTGGTTGCTGCCAGTGCGGTTGCGCGAGTCGTACTTGGCACCGTAGCCGAGGCCACGCTTAGCGAAGGCCTTCCAGATGGTGCACTTGTTGGCGCTGTTGGTGAGAGCACGGTCGGCATCGATGATGGCATCACGGGCCTGGACGAAGTTGGGGTTGCATGGCTGGCTATAAGGATATGTTAGCCGATGTGTGATGCATAAGACGACTGAGTAGTTGAACTTACAGGGCCATTCCATCCATGACGAGCTTCATGGCAAGATGGCGGCCGTCCTGTGGAACGCCGTTGCGGAAGACTGGGTTGGCGGAGTAGGTGTTGCCGTGGGCCTCAATGAGAGCCCACATGAGCTCGTAGAGCATGGAGGCCCAGACGGTACCGATCTGGTGGACCTCACGGAGGCTGTTGACGGAGGTGTACATGTAGGGGTTGGTCTGGAGGCTGGTGGAGTAAAGGTAGGCACGGATACCCTTGGGGTTGTTGGCAGCCCAGGCACCCATGGAGTAGTTGGTGTTCTTGGTGTCACGGGGCTTTAGACGGATGGCAGTGGCATAGAAGTCACCCCAGCCCTCACCCATACCACCGGACTCGAGAGCGTTCAAGCAAGCACTGTTGGCGGGACCACCGCAGAGACGGTTGGAGACTGGATTGCAGTATGTATGTCAGCCTTGTACATTTATAGGAGTTATGGAAGTTGACGGAGTTCAGTAGAAAGACGGGTATAAGAAAAGTTCTGGTTCAGGGGGTTGGGTTACTTACGACCGTGAGCGTACTCGTGGATGACGATACCGGCTTCAAGGCAACCATCACGGTTGGGGCGAGCGGTAGTCCAGTTGTACATTCTCATACGGCCAGGCTGGCCATCTGGGGGAGTAGCAAAGTTGGCGTTGTTGGTGCCAGAGCCATCCTGAGCATTAACAATGGCGAAATCGTTGCCGCGGCCACCCTTGTTGCCGTTGTTGACCTGGAAGTTACCAGCAGCCTCGTTGAAGCCGAAGGAGTAGAGGAGATCGTGGAAGCGGTTGGTGGTGTAGAAGAGCTGGGTGATGGAGAAGTCCTTGTAGGAGGATGGGGGAGTGGCAGTTGCGCTCCATGGGTAGCTGAAGATGAGGTTGGGGCTCTGTGGGCGGTAGTTGTTGAGGTACTGGCTTCCACCGGTTGGGTTGTCCTGAGCAATGGCGTTGTTACCACGGGTGGTTGGGTACTTGGTGTTGCCATCAGAGTTCCAGGTGTAGGGAGAGGCGTCAGTCCATGGGTCACGGATGGAAGTTGGGTTTCCCTCAGTTGGGTCGTTAAGGCCCCAGGCGCTATCAACATGTCAGTACTCGCCACTCTCAATCGATGTATATATGAAGAGAGGTAGATACTTACAAGACCTTGTATTCAGCAGAGGCAACGTAGTCAACGACGTTGTGGACAGTCTCGCTGTTGTTGGCATCGACGTAAGACAGGAGCCAGTTCTCACCGACGTCGGTCTCGACTCTCCAGGTCAAGGCAAGGGTGCCGTCATCCTTCTGGAGGTAGACGAGCTTGGCCTTGGGGGCAGAGAGAGCACCAGAGGTTCCCATGAACTCAACGGTCTCCTTTCCGGCAACGTTCTTAGCCTTAGCGTTGTCAGACTTGACTGGAAGGCTCAGGGCCTTGACGGCACCCTTGAGAGCCTTGACTGGGTCAGAGAATGCACGCTTGACCATTGGGTTCTCCTTGGGGATCTCTCCGGTGAAGAAAGAGTTTCCGAAGGAGAAGACCTTGCCATCGCGGTCGATCTAGATACACGTTAGCCGGGACCATCCGGAAGACAAGCCTAGAAAAAGATATGCAACAGGTAAGGAAAAGGGGACATACGTTGACGTTGAAGTCGGAGTTGTCAATGTCGAGGCCGTGGGCGGTCTGCTTGAAGTGAACATGGCCAATTCCGTTGGTGCCAATGTAGTGGTCATCAACGACACGGAATGTGGACTTGGGGAATGTGCTCTTGACAAGCTTGGTGGCGGTCGAGACGTAGTCGTCGTCCTTGGTGAAGGACAGGGCCTGGATCTTCTCGGCGGCAGCCTCGTTGTCCATGTACTTGGCCTTCAATGGCAGACGGAAGGAGTCAATGTCGACGCCACGGCGGCTGAGGACATTGCTGGCGTGGTGCTCAGCAGGGTGCGCGAGCACATTCATGGGGAGGGCCAAAAGGCCGGCAAGCAACAGTCCGTGCATGATGAATCACCAGCAAACAGTAAAGGGGGCAGAAGAAAGGATAGGATGGGATCAGAGAACGGTGCTGTTCGTCTGAGGAGCTCTGCTTGAGACTTCTGGATATCTTGAGGCGGGCATCCAGAGGGCTTTTATAGAAGAGAACCGTCCCTGGCTCGTCTCTGTCTTCACCCCATGCCAGCGCTAAAAGTCTTATCATTCGGACCTTTGAATAACTTCATGCCCTTGCTCTTGTCGTCCTTGGTCGTCTCGTGAGGAGCAGAGCCCGCCGGGAACATGCAAGCATTGGTCCCCATGCTTTTGTCCTGATATCTGGCTGAGTGGTTCTCCTCCTGCTCCTCCGCCTCCTCCTCCACCACCAGCAGTGAAATTTTCGGGCCGTGTCAAGCCTCATTAAACTGGCCCTTCCTGCCAAGCAAGTAGCATCATATCATGTCACTCTAAATGCTATACGGGGTATTTCCTAGAGCTTCAGCAGATCCGGGTCACGCCCATGGGACGGCGGCCTCTCTGTACGCCCACACCAGGCACGCTCTCAACGAGGCAGCGGACGCCGTCGACGAGCTCGAGACGTGATCACGACGTCCACCCGGTGTAACAGGCAAGCTCGAAGCTCTCTCCAGCAGCTCATCGTCGCCCGTCCAGGCCCGAGTCAGCCAGCGGTGACGTGCCATGCCTAATTGCCGTGGTCCAGTGGCCATCCTGCGGCGGTTTTGTTAGGTCGTTGACAAGCAGTCAGGGGGCAACGGCTGAGGCAGAAGAGGGACCCAAAAACAAATAACTAAAGGCAAAAAGAAATAAAAACAAGCGTCGCCAGATAAGACCTTGGACAGGGGAGTCCCTGATAGAGATCGAAAGCCCGCCACGGCTGGACTCGGTCAAGCATCAGTTCGTCCCTCAAGTCGCCGCCGCCAGAAGAGGCGAAGAAGCTGGAGAAGCAGAGACAAGAGACAAGAGACAGACAGAGACAGCGAGAGTGCGGGATGATCACACGCCAGGCAGGGCGAGCAAGGGGGCGGACGGCTATTAGCAATCCCAGCCCGCGATAAACAAAAAAGACATGCACATATCTCATGCTCTCCACGATGATTATTATTAAATGATATTAGCTGTGGGCACATCTCACTGCCTGCGACTACCGAGATATCAGCGCCGGCAGCGGGTTTCGGTGCGCATGCCAGTTTTACCACCAGAACGAGAGGGCCCAACCTCGGCCGTCTCACGTTGTTTTGCTAGTTGACTCGCGAGCCTCGACTCCGTAACCACGAGCTCGACAAGCTGCAGAAAGTCTTATATCGCCGTCTCACGCTACACACCACCACGCCAGGGCAGAGTTGGCTGCGCTGTGGGGGATGCTGCGGGGGGATTCATGCAGTGCCAGGCTGGTTGTCTATCGAGCAGTTCGTTTGGGCGAACAGTCTGGGGAAGTCTGGCAGAGATCGTCCACAGGCGGACGTGGTTGGCGCTACCCCTGAATCCCTGCCCGCCGGTCTATATAAACTGAACTTATTGAGCTAGCTGCTCCACTAGCGGTCTCAGGGCTCGCTGGCCGATACGAGACTCTAAAACTCTTCCTGGACCGTGTCTGGAGGAAACAAGATCATATGTGGCATCGCGGACGGACGGTGGGACATTCGATAGGGGAAACCCGCCACCTGTTCCGGTTGCAACCCTCATCAAACAACATTCGCTCTGCTGCAAGAGGACTCCGCTGGCGGCAGCTAAAGCTAGCCGTCTTGTTGACTAGTCGGCCCATCATATTGGCTGCCTGTATTAATGCTTAATCTATTCTGGAATTCCGCTTTCTCTCGGGTTTATATCAATTTCCGAAGCACCCCAGGTTTTCCTGTCCTTGGCTTCATTCAAGCCATGTCTGCCGCGGGAAGCTGAAGGCCTGTTTCCCGCGTGCTGCATGAGTAGGGGTGGGCGATATACCCTGAGCTGGACATTCCCTGAGCAGGATATACTCCAGGCAAATGGCCCCATTCTTCAGCAACGCTGGCGGTTAAGCATCACTATCGACCGAAAGGGAAGGTCATGACACAGTGTATACCCAGGCTAAGCATTCGGAAACACCCGATTTTCCCTTGGAAAACCTGGGGATTGCGTTTCATGCATGTAGAGCCAGACAAACTCGGATGGCTGATGGTCTTCCCCTTCTCACACGGCATCCCTCCGTTCGCCTGTCATATCCCCAAAAATAGAATGATACAGGACTTTCATTTCGCCATCTAGAACAGTCATTCTATGAACGTGCTGATGTTGTCGCAAGGGTGCTGGCTCTGAAATTACACAGTGCCACTTCGCTTTACTTTGTTCCCGGATACTTGGGCAGTCACTAAACATTGTCTCGAAGCTGGCCAGAATGCCCCAGAAAGTGGCTCTGACGTGGCGATCATTTTAAGACCAGTGGACCACTGGCAATTTCAAGGACCACGGATATTAGATATTAGCCAAATCAGGTTAAGCCTCGGTACCACGACAGACTGGACGCTGGCTAGCAGGAGGGCTCGATATCCATGCTGTGTTTTGCTCCTCCTGGCTACGGAATCCTCTATCAAAGCTGCTCCTTAACGTGCAAATACCCAGCAGGATCGCGGAGAACATGCTAAGCTCTGTCATGCATGTCAGAAGACCACGGCCTTTTTTCCAGAAGTTGATCGCCGACCTACGATCAGGTACGAAGCACACACACTAAAGGATCTACTCCGCACGGCTCCCTTAATTCTCGTATAAAAAACGGCCCCAATTTCACCACATCACGCTGCCACCCATGCCTCCCGTCGCCAGCCATGGTACCTGTGCCCGGCGAATATACTTATGCTATTCTTATTAATATTATCCGTAATCATAGACAGACAGGTGGCAAACCAAACGGATGATGCTGCTATCAAAGATAAAGATACATATATACTCCATACAACATTAGATAGAAAACCTTCCACGGCTTCCCCGCGTTCTCAGCTGCAGGATATGCCATTCGATATATGAAGGGGTCCGTATTATCATTCCCATAACCGTCTCCCTCTAGCGAGACACTTACTAGTAAAATGATGTAAGAGTCGGGCGATGTTACTCTACTGTCTTCTCGTTATGCAATCAAGCGAAAGTATAACATATCATCATCTCGAGTCGTGCGAAAGCCGGGAATAGCCCCTGGCATTTTTAGCCATCTAGTGAACTGGTGACTTCAGAAGCCATAACATCAGTCTATCGCATCATCATTCTCAAGTACTCTCTGGCTCGTTTCAGATATCACCGTCCAAGATATCTCTGCGCCCTTTCCGGCTCTAAACAGCGCTTGGTAGGTTGCCAAATACCCCCTTTTCCCCTGAGTAACCGCATAGGCTACTTCGCGCCACCAGCCTTTGCCGCTCCTCTGGTTATTATCTGGAGATTTCACTAACAAAGCTCTTGTAGCATCATCATCCTCTCCTCTGATCTATATCTCGATAAACGATGGACGTCGAAATATGCTGATGGTGATCAACCTGATCAGCACGATCAACACAATTGAGTCAGGGTTCATAAACGCGACGATGATCGATGATGGTCGATCGGTTTATCTCCCGCGCACCGTCGCAATGGCTCATACAGCGGCTCCACGGGTGTTTAGAAGCTTGTCGGCACCTGTGGCGATGAAGGTGTCTCGTTCCAGCGAGCTGATCTGACTACCCTATACATCCTGAGACTAATGTGAAACACGCACAAGTCGGTGTTTTGCCACAACTACTTGGAACTGTTTGCTGAGATTACTTGCAGAGGCTCCAATGGTGTTAATCTCAAGCTCTAGCGCAGGATGAACCACTCAATTTTCATTAGCAGATCTAGTATTTACCAAGTAAATACTGCATACACTCTCCATGCTACAGTCTCATTGCCATCTGCCCGCTTAGAGTTTATTATTGTGTAACTTTACCAGAGTCTCATGATAGTCATCAGTCTACTTTCGTTTCCGAAAGGATGCCCGTTGTTCAGACACTGATACAAGGATGTCTTATTCCTAATATAAAGATTAGAATGCAGCCATGTAACCAGGACATTTTCAAAAGTCGCATTTATATCCCGGAATTACACCTGCATCTTCCGTATTCGGCAGATTTCTAGATCTTATGCAGGTAGCTAACTAAGCGCTCTCCTCCCTGGATGCTACGCGGACTAAGGGATGCCTACCTAGTCCTATCGCCAAGCGGGCGGCAATTAACTAACTAGTTATGCAGAATATGCCTTGGAGAAAGCCACAATTTCAATCTCGCCGGCAGCCCTAATTATGGAGCAGAAAGCCATTTTGCTACGGCTATAGCAACCTTTATTCCGGATCTTGTGTCTTATTATACCCTGTTTTATCTGTGGGGCGATAGGGGCGGTTTTGTTTCTTATACTTGGACCATTATACATCGGTTATTGAGAAGTCTAAGTGTTAGTTTGCTAACCAGTTAGGTAACATACCAATCCACAACTAGATGGGTACATCACTACCTAGTAGGTATCTGAGAGCATTTACATGTATCACACCGGAGGTGTCAGTTCTTATATATATACCCACCACCGCGGAGAAAGGTGACTGGAACTCCCTGTGTTCGGTCGTTGATTTTGTTATATCCGTTAGTTACTTGGCTGCATGAACGGTTAACGTGCGCCAGTTAACAACCAGGAGTTAAGGTTAAATAACGGATGGGCGGCTGGCTCTTGATCTAAGCTTAAATTGACGTTTACCAAATGGAGCGATATTTTGACAGCAACCTTGGTGGTTATAAGTTTACATGGGCTTAATTCAGTGTGCTGGGCTCCTTTTCTAAACATAGATTTCAATTGGAGGTCTATAAATAAAGATGATTAGCGCCGATGGCCTCGGAAACATTCCATCAGGCATTGGAATAACTAACAGATATGCATACCTCTGTCCATTTTGAGTGTGATGACACTCTACTCCCGGCGTCCAAGGATAGAATAACATTAAGCCGAAGATGATAATGATAAATAGCAGCTGGGGAATTAATGAATTGTTGTCCACTTGCGATTGAAGGGATCTCATCGACATCAGAGTTTCATATAAGGTATCAAAACTATAGCACATCTATCGCCTTGTTAACGTTACATATGAGTATTTTCTCAGGGCTATTCATAGAGTCATAAAGGTCCCCATCAATACTACAATTGCCATAATCAGCCAACTGCCTATCAGACTTGTCGCTTTATTCTCTGGGCGACCCGGCTCCACGTCATACTTCTGGATAGTAATGACCTTCAAGCAGGTCATCTGAGAAGAGGTACGGTCAACTAGGCTGTTGTTCCCGCCAACGAATACAGTCAATACCGGAGTGATCTTGTATGCCTCTTCAGTATAATCAGCATAAGTATTTGTTTCGTTTCTCTGCGCAGGAAGGGCTGGTTAGACACGATGTCAAGAAAATAATAAGTAGGTAGGTATACTTACATAAGATGTCACCTTCCCAATCTCTAACAGCCGGTCCGATTTCTTCTTTGTGGGCCAGCAATCCGATGAGTTTTTCACTGTGATGAGGGCGTCAAGGGACTTGACGGTGAAATTCCCAAGAGAGCTGCCTTGGCCGCCAAAACTCGTGCATTCATCAAAGTTCTTTTTCATCTCCCGCTCAAGTTTCTCGCATGTATTGCTATTGCCCTCGCCGGCCACGTCACTAGCCTTTTGCAGAATCTTATCAATACAACTCTGTTCGATAACCTCTGAGCACATTCCTGCTGCAGCGCGGCTATCTGTCATATTAACGATCACCGAAGTACCGCTTATTTTGCCTTCCCTCATGGGGTATTTAAACTTTTTGAAAGGAGGGTCGTTGAAGAGGATAGCACATCCGTGGAGGCTTGCGAGATCCGTCGTTTCTGGGGTAGATAGGTAGTATAGCGACTTGAACGGAAGCCCGGGGTCATCATTGGCCTTATTCGAAACATTGACTCCCTTCACGAGAGAAAATCCTTCCAAGGCAAAAGGTGCATTTTGGATTTGCGAAATTCCCACGCCAATATGGGTTATATCGCCAACTGTACAGCGGTCAGAGCCATCGACTGTAGGGCAGCTGACAGCATTGCATCCGACCAGATCACTCTCCCCAGCAGCAAGAGTAAAAGGGAAAAAAGGTAGAAAAAAGGCAAGGGCCGATAGCTTGAGGTAACGCATTGTTGTTTTAGGAATAACAGAAATAGACGGTTCAGATCACGAATGATGCCTGTGGAGTGAAAGTCAGGACAGCATATCTGTGATCAGAAGACTTCAGCTTTATAACCTAGTAAATTTGCCATCAATTAAGAGCTGCCATATTGCATCATATATAGCTCCTGTCTTATTGTTGTGGAGTGTTTTGTTGCCTTGTGCAGCGGACCGCAACCTTGGCTGTTGCTTTTCACGTCATAATGCATGAACCGGAGTAAAGCTATGGGTCATTGAGTGGTCTTCTCGTGTTGATGCATATGTCGCTGTTCGGCACCCGAGCGGTAGTTCGTAGATATGATCAACAGAGCCCCTTACGGTACGTGTGGCATCAATGGTATTAGATGTCCTGGAGCATGCATGAATCATGACTCTCAGCTGCCATTACGCAGCTGCATCCTTTTGCCACAATGTTATCCTCCAAGCTCCATGATAACCAAGTCACCAGCGCCAACTAACTGACAGTTCAGGGAGTTATGCAAGTCTTTGCTCCTTTAACCAGTTGACGATACTTAGTTAGTTACCTCACAAGAGGGTCATAGCTAACATGCCGTGAATGCTCAGAAACAGGATAACACCGCTTATCTTGCACTGCTGAATGGTGAGCATCTTCTTCGGGATAGAAACCGACGTTGAGCTCAATTCAATGAACACTCCAGAAGGATGAAACGATCGTACTAGCGTATATTACGGTCTGTGTCCGCCGGATTATCCGGTATACCAGATTAGGAAATATAAATTACTAGTTTCCGTAACACATGCGTTTTAGCCGTTTGAGCCTCTTCTCTGTACGCGACGGCTATTACTAAGCAAACTAGCTGCAAATTTTATTTAGAGAAAGTCGATTCGTGGGATGATGTATTCTTATTCCATGCATCCTACGGAATACCACAGCGTACATAACTATTGGATGTTGATATTGTTTATTGCTTTCATTTCATTCTGGCCACTACGAAGACGAAGAGAAAGCGCCTTACTGTTGGACCTTTATATCCATGTCTCTGAAGGAATGAAATCATATTAATGAAACAGTCTGTCAGTGCCTCGACAACAAACGACACACAAGATAGGGAAGATGCTTCCCTCGTCGGCAACGATTAATTGGAGAGGCAGTCACAGCATCAGATCATTTTGACAATGATAGATGGGCATTGCTATCCGATAACCCGATGGAGGGTTGTGTCTATAAACAGCTCCCCCAACCGCTACAGATAGATTCTCAAGGTACAACCACATATGAACCATCGTGACTACACCAGCCCGTTCCTGTTTGCTGTCTTCATCTTCATAAGTTTGCATGCCTCGTACCTCACTTTTGCAAACATGGCGATCGTGAACATGCTTGGTACTATTGCTGGTGAGCCCTTGCACTCTAGCTCGATCAAAGCCGCTGTTGTTATCAATGAGCCTCAAGTGTCCAATTCTGTAGGTGGCCTTCCTAATGTGTATGGTTTTATTGATACGTGGCCCTGGCTAATCCGTGGAAAGTTATAGCTAACCTTCAAGTAGGCGCATCTGGAATGAAGTTGGGGGTTTGTTTATATTACTGTCGACCTCGGAAGAGTACAAGCAGGCAATATTGGTGAAATCAAAGTCGAGCATGACAATCAAGGGGTATAGTCCGTACAGGTTTTTCCCAGGACACGATGATGATATATGTATTGCCTGGGTGTCGACCACATGGACGGATGACTGCGGCGGCAACAAGAATGCAGTCACAGGCGACTTCATCGAGTCCTACAGTGGTGTTCGGTTCCCAAGAAGCCTATACATCAGCGATAAGGTGGACCATCACCCCAATCGCTTCTGGCTTAATAAGAATGGGTCAGCCGAAAACTTGACTCCAAGTGCATTGGCCTGGATACTCCGAAAATCAGTTTGAGGAGAACAACAAGAACTCAAAGAGACTCTGCAATAATATTAACTTCGGGCTACGCGAGAAAGATTACCCTATCTCAATCAGCTACTATACCAAGGAAAAAACGAGATGAATATCCCCAGGCATGTCGTTCTACCATTCGCCGCCCTGGGTGGGTCAGCCCTGAGCTTTTTACTGTATTAGAGCAGCCATGGATCCTTAAGCAGCTGTTTTGCCGTGCTGCGTTCCTCCGGCAGCCACTTGAGCATCGATCTCATAAATCGAATAAACGATTCTTTCTCTTGTCCTGATAGTCGCCTTTCTAGGCTCTCCAGGGAGACCAATGGTATAGATGCATCTTCATGAGCAATCCAGTCACCTATTTCCGTGTCAGCACTGACTCTCTGGTAAGGCTTTGAAATATTCGGGGAGAAGGCAGTGCTTACCACTTAGGTCAAAACACTGCTCGGTTGTCTCACTACGTCTGACAAATTCGCTTGATGGTGGCCCGATCAACGCAACTATGAGTGCCAAATGCTTGAAGGGATCGTGACCACCTTTAGCGTCAAATATGGCTCCAAATAGATGCTCTCCTTCAAAGAGGTCCCATATCTACTAACGAGCAATAAGCAGGGCAGTACAATACGACAGTCACAAAAGCGCAGTACGTACCAAGCCCGCCAGGTTCCAAATATCAACAGCACTCCCCCACGGCATTTCCAGTATGATCTCCTGTGCTCTATAAATATTCGGTTGGACGATTGGGCCGGACTCATGTCGTTTTCCAATTCGTGCCTCGCCAAAGTCACACAGAACTGAAGACCATAACCTTTTCCTCCAAAAGGTGGCAGAAATTTGCGGCTCTTGTACACGGTACGTGACTCATCAATCTTCTTCCGCGGACTGGGATTCTTAGCTTCTGCTTTCGCAAATTCTCTCGGTGTGGTGGTGTCCTCCAGACCGAGCATCAGATTATCGGTCTTCAAATCTAGTTCTGGTTAGTAACTAGCCAGTGATATAACAAAGAATGGCTGAGTACCGCAATGAATTATCTCGGCTTCTGTGTGCAAAAAGTCAAGAGCGGACAAAAGTCGTTTGACTGTCATTTTCAGGAGAGGCAGATCAAATGACTGTGAATTAAGTCCCATCATTTCAAGAAGTGACATGCGCATTGGCTGTAGTACTAGGCAGCAATGTTTGCCAATAGGTCCTTGAAGATCAAACGAATCATACAACTCCCGGATCAGCGATTGACCTGGATGGGCAGAATTGATATTTGTAAGATGTTTGTAGATCTTTATCTCACGATCAGTTGCTGTGGGGTATTCCGGCAGTGATGTAAATACTTTTAGTACACTGTGCTTGTTGTCTTTAAGAATGGTGATTTGTTAGGAAAAGCTTTTCAATTCGTAATGGAGGCACAAACTGAAGATCACGGCATAGCCAACTTGTCGAATACGCCCCATAGCCAAGTTTTCCTGTAATATGGTATCTAGTCTTGTATATATCTCCAATATTGACCGGGTAAATAATACTCAGGCGTATAGTGAGGCAAAGTCTCCTCCTCCACAGATATCGCTCGTGGTAGGGTATTAAATGATCGAGATTTTGCTGAGGAGGACAGGGTTTGTCGAAGTACCTTCCTCCAAACACCTAGTCGCAATGTCATGTTTGCATTACAAGGTTGAAGATGGAACCAAAAGAATACAATATGCCTTGTGAATTATAGGAGCTTGAAAATAAGATCACATGATCATGTTATTACGCATAACTATCACAGAACTCTTGACTCTTGGCAAGACTTGGCATTTAAAGGTTAAAAACCACACAAGGTTCGGCCCGGAGTAGCCCAAATAGCGCTTATCCCACAAACTGAGTCATGAAATCAGGAATTAGTGTTGTTATAATTATCATTGGCATATGCAAGGCCTATTGATTGAACGATTACCCTGAGTAGCCAAAAGAAGTTTCCATGGCTCTCTGCTAGGTCAACGGATAACTATAATAAGCATCTCCATTGCATGCATTTACGCATTATAACACTTGGGACTAATAGACTGGAATTGCAATGTTACTGACGGGTCAGCATCATCTTTTTATTATACCCTCCGACGTATTCTCTGGCTCTACCTGCCTAATGGGCATTAGTCTAGCCCTCAAGGCCCTCGCTGTTTTGGGTCACGGAAGAAGGGTTGCCCTCAACCATCTCGAACCTCTCCATCAGGTTACATGTAGACTTGGTGTGAAAGCTCATGCAGATGAGAACGCAATATGTTTGGCAGCAGGATACGATGACCTTGTCATCTTCCTTTACGAGCCAAATGATAAGGCTGAGACTCATCAGTACCCCCAAAATGTTGTGGCCTCTGATACATTGCAATTTGTTGATGCAGCACCTTGTTTTGCTTTGAAAAGGGAACGATGCGTAGGGGAGACCATGGTACTATATAAAGGTCACTTCAAGGTGTCAATATCCAGATTAGAAGAGATAAGTTAATGCGTCATAAAAGAGCTATGATCTATGATGGCCTATGATGCCTTGGACAAGATGCTCCGAGTACCACCTCTTCGTGTTATTATAATTTGCGACTACAAGGCAATTTTATACGTCGAATAGACTGAAGAACCTATTGTATACTTCTACTGAGGAAATCGGGAACATAACTCCTTACCACGCTAACGGCTAAAGAGAAGCGAAGGTCACCCAGTGCATTTCATGCAGGAAAATAATACACTCCATAAAACCTTGCGGAAATATCATTGACGCCATCTTCATCATTTCGGCAAATACCCTTGCTAGCTACCGACTTTAGTTTCATAACAGCAAATATCAAGCAGTGTGCAAGCCGTGGACCCATCATAAGCCCTTAGTTGAGCACACTGTATACAGGCACACAAGTAAAGACGGGAAGCATAGATACCTCCTTTGGTTATCGGGTTTATAGACAATCTTTCACAGGATCCCAATTTAAAACCAAAGGCTGTCTACCACTTCGTAAGTTATCGGTAGTTGGGCTAATTTAATAACTAGCAGGGAGAGCTACAGCTTCTCCTTGATGATATGTACCACGAATACATTATGCGATGTTAGACCAGGCTTTTGCTCACGCCGTAGCTTAGAAATACCCGGGCAGACTAGGCGCTTATTGAGCCCTTTAAATTCAAGAGACCTAGATATCCAAATCAGTTAGCGGACTTCAAGGGAATATGTGTTCACTTTAAACGATCCGTCAAGGTATATATTTCCGCTTTAGAAACCATTCCCTTTCTCGTCGGTCTAAAGTTGCAGAGGTGTAAAGATCAACTAATCACTTGATTTTTCCAAAATGACACAGTCAATCTTAAAATAATGTCCAGTTCGTCCGCATGCTGTTACTCATATTGAAGGTCTCATCTATAGTATGGATGCTAACGTATTCCTTCTTTATAGACGGAACTCACTACGGTTTATTTACAGGTTATTTGCCAACTTCAAAAGCACCTGTATTAAGAAATCTTCAATACGAGTAACTCGTTTGAATCCATGGTAATAATAACAAATCTTCTTCAGAGCAGCGGAGGAAAAGCAAAATCACTGTTTTCCTATTTAGAATGAGTTGGTTATATTAACAAGTGTTTACTTCGCAAGCTCAACCTTCCAGGTCTTTACGGAACCGTCAGCACCTCCTGATGCAATCTTAGATCCGTCGCCTATCCAAGTAACAACGTTGACACCTTCCTGGTGAGCGTTCTTCATCTGCAGTCTGTCACCAGGGCGAGCAAGATTCCATACAAAGATATTGGTATCGAGCGAACCGCTCACTAAATGAGTCACTTCCTTGTTCCATGAAAGAGAGGTGATACGACTGGTATGTGCTGCCCAGCGATCCGTAACTATGCTGCCATCTGCGGTCTTGTAGACCATGATTCTACCACTCGAATCACCAGCAGCTAGGATTGATGCATCGGGGGAAAATGCTAATGCAGTAATTCGGTTCCTCAACAGTTTGGTCTCGATGCTAATGTTGATGTCGGTACCATTACCGTCGAGTTTGCCAATCCAAATAGAAGCATCTTCACCACCAATAGCTACTGTTGAACCGACAGCAGCAACGGTGGTTATTTGTGATTTAGAGGCGTACTTCCCAGTGAGTTTTCCCTTGGAAAATATCTCAACACAGTCGGAACTGGCTGCGATGATAAAGTCTCCCGCGGTAGCAATGCCCTTTGGCTGTGCAGCAAGTTTGGTATCAAGCTCGGTGTAGGAGTTAGAATCCAGATCAATGGATCTTAGTTTATCGTCCCATCCAACACTGTATATATGTCCCGAGTTTCCCTCTCCAGTGGCCGAAAAGCCCGCAACATAGCTGTTGTGTCCCAACCCATTAGTTGTTTGTGCCGATCCGTCCGATAGGTTCCATTGGCAGACTCTTCCATCATAGCTACCGGTCCAAAAAGTATCACCCGGGCAGGCCTCGCGAGAGGATAAAGTGGTTATATTTTTCTGATGTCCCTCCACTCGTCTGATTGGCTTTTCAGTCCCTTCAACCAGATAATTAAGAGTTCCTGAGAGGGACAAGCTTATGGTCAACCCATCAGTTCTTCCATTAGGCCATACAACTCCGACCTGTTGGTCCGCTACACCAGCAGCACCGTCCTCCCCGAGGACCCAATTCTGAACAACCTTGCCCTGTTCAACATCCCAAAGCTTCACCGTTCGGTCAGCGCTAGCAGTGACAAATTTTCGAGAATCACTCGACCAGGAAACACCAAAAATGCTGCCCTTGTGTTCACCCTCTCCAATCTGGCCCTTGACCTCTCCAGTCTTCCCGTCGTAGATCCAAATCCTCCGGTCACCACCCACACTAACCAGGCTATCGCCGTTCGGGCTAAAGGCAACACCGTAGATGAAGTTATTGTGCTTTTCCCGAATACCAGTATTATATTTGAAGGGAGCTCCGTGGTAAAACACTAGAGTCCTATCATCTCCAGCCGTTGCAGCGCGTAACGGCCTCTGCTGCCTGATCGACACCGAGTTGATAACCTGACTATGACCCGTTATTTCACCAACTGTATTGCCGCTATCCGCCGTTATGCAGTGCCCAAATCGCTGGTTTCCTTTACCAACGGCAATTATGCGCTGCGAATCACCATCCCAGGCCAGGTCGTTGATTCTTCCGCTCACAATGGAATATTCTCCTTTCGTGACACCCTCGCCAACGCAGTCCCACACACGCACAATACCAGAAGCGTCTCCACTGGCAACGTAGTATCCGGAGGGTGAAAAGCGGGCAACAGTTGTCTCTGCAGTGTGGGCTGTGTACTGGGTTGAAACCGACGGATTGTCTATCGACCGAAGGAATATGGACCTGTTGGACTGTTGAACGCAATTCGTCAGACTATAGCTGCTCTAATGGCATGGACATGCTGAGGAGGCGCTTTTTAAAGGCATCCTTACTGCGTAGGCTAGCCGTTCGCCTTTTGGGTCAGATGAGAGCTGGGTTGGCTGGCCGCGGGTTGTTGAAGGGCAAGCAGCCCATGTGGAATCTAACAGCATGTCAGCCACTGGTAACAAAAGGAGCCCCCAAATCGGATATTACCGCTTCTAATGCTCATCGTGGGCCTAAAGATGCTGCTGCTTGTCTTTATTCGTCTTTTAAACTGAAGATGTGGTGTCTACTACGTCGAGTTGTTGTTGGAGAGAAACAAGTATCTGGGCGGGGCAGCCAGCGCGTTTGATGCTGAATAAGGCGATATAACAAGCATGATGTTATAGATGGATGCCAGACATGAAAAAAGGGCCACGCTTACTGAAACAGCCGGCTAAGAGTAGTAAGATCGTCTTTTATACAGTCGGGTAGATAGAAACAATCGAGTCTAATGCGTAGTATACATCTGGTAATCATCTCAAACACCAAAGGGTATGCGGGAAAACAGGGACTGTGTAGGCTTAGAGCTTCCTTTCAAGCATTAGAATCTCTGGATGTCTGTGGACGCTAGGCATAAGTCCCATGCTGACTGCCCTCCTGATAGCCTTGGATAGCTTCCTCTGGTTGATTCGTCGCAGGCCGGTCTCTCTCGCTGACTTGATTCGGCCCGTCTCACTAACGTATTCGGACATGACGGCAGGATTCTAATAAGTTGCAATGCAATTAGTACTGGGAATCTCTGGTTAAGCAGCGAATGGACGGGGAGAGATCGCAAATACCTTGTACATGTCCAGAGGGTTCAGCGATAGAGCGTCGAAAATATCGGTCGTAGGGTTGCGCCGTTTCTTCCATTTCTTCATTTCCGCCGGGCTCAGGTCGCGCGGAGAGTACACATCGCCGGGTTGCCAGTTCCTGGTCTGCTGCTTCTGTAGGTCGATAGCTCGCTGTTCCCGGGCTCTCTCTGCCTCAAACTGTTGGTTCTGGAGCTGTCTCCGTCTAATACCGCGGAGTCTGGCGTCTATAGATATACAGGCAGTCAGCTTCAATTAACACCCATAGAAAGTTCACAAGACACCCATTTAGATAGTAATATGACTTACCTGTCGCTGGGTTCAAGGTAACTCCCCCAAAGCCTGAGTTGGCCCGGTATGAGACCCGGGGAGTGAAGCCCGTAAGCTGGCAGAGAATCGGACGGCAGGTGGCCAATTTGGTAGCCATTGCAGGTATCGGCAATAGAGATGTTTCCGTTATATGCCCAAGTAATTGGTATTTGATGGCTTGATCTGCTGCTTCGAAACGTCTTTCAATGCCGTCCAGCACGAGATTTTTTTATATGCGTTTAGCTTGGTCAAAAAATGCCAAGCCTTGACATCCGCGCGTTTCTTTTAAAGCTTCACGAAGCATAAAAAACCACCAGCTTGACCAGACGCCTGAAGGGACCAGCAGAACATGGTTATACCGAGAATTGCACGTTCAATTAAAGATAATCGGGTGCATACTATGGTTCTGTCTCGGTAGAATGCATGTCCAGTGAGTTATACCCTACAAGCCAGCACAACCCGAATATTTCTAACCATGCTCGACGCAGCTGTGAAATCGGACAATCACACCAACTCGGCACATTAAGATGGCCGGAATGTTCAATACATTCCTCGCGAACAAGTCGTTCGTAGCGTCGAGATGCTACAGGCACTTTCTTTCTTCCGCGAAGCCCCGCGCTCGCACCTTTCGCCCGATCCTCCCCAGCCAGAGGAGACATATATTCAGCTTCCCAACTATTCGACGGGTGACCGAAACCAACACTGGGAAGCAAAATGACACTTCAGAATATGGATCGAAGGCTATGGTACAGCTGGTACATGCCCTGGAACAACAATCGCGGCCTCCACCTCCTTTCATTCTCGCGACGGGATTCATGCGGTTTATAGACAAAAGGCTCGGTCAAGATACGTTGACTCGTTATCAAGCGGAGCTCCTTTTGCGCACCTTTCAGCACCTTTTAAGTGTCCCTTCAAAAGATCCCCAAGGCTCTCTACGAGAATTTTTAGAGCTCGAAAACTTTGAATATACCTTGGAAGCACTGGCGCGAGCAGACTTCACTCCAGATGCCGCCGAGCTGGTTAATGACTTGGCAAGAAATGTCATGGGACAGATACGTCGAATACGTGCGAGGACTCCAGAGGTAACTCCGGAGCCTAGTCTCGAAGCCTTCACGTCGTACATCACCGTTCTCTCTTCCACTGGATTTTCCGCCGATGCATTAAAGCTGACCATTTCCTATTGGAAATCTACGCCAGACCTGAACAATGAATTATCACCTTGGGCTAGTATCATAAAAGGATTTGCCAAAGAAGGCAGACGTCTAGGGGCCGAACAAAATACCCCGTCGAAGACCACAATGGTGCTGAGGAAGATGGAAGAATGCGGTGTTACATTGAATATGGAGCGCCAGGAAAAATTGATCTCCATGCTAGTCGATGGAAATTATTTCCACGCAATCAAAACCGTGGCGGAGCTTCCTATCGAAAAGTCAACAGCCACAAATGTACATCTACTCAAGTTCGCGCTTCGGCATGCTATGTACTCGTGGGCTGCAACAATAGTCAGTTCATTTCCAACACACCCAACTCCAGAAACTAGAGATGCACTGCTTCTCTTTTCCTTTTTGCGGGGACGTTCTTCAGGCTCAATTTGTAAACAGCTGGATGAAATGGCCGCAAACAATCCAGAAATACGAACTACAATGACAATTGACACGGTCAACATGATAATCGAATATGCGAACCTACACAAGGAAGCAGAAATTGCCCAACAGGCTATACAAGTGGCACAGGCATTGGGTCTAACTCCTAACGCTAGAACGGCTGTGCTACAGATACATTCACTGGTCCACTCGGGACAAATTAAGGAGGCCGCGGAATTGTTCCAATCACTCGGCCCGGAAGTGGAATTTGACTTATCCAACGTTGAGTTCTTGAACGACTTCATCAAGAAACTCTGTATAGTGGAAAATTCGTCAATCGATTTTGATACCGTTAACACTCTTGTGGATATTTTGCAAGACGTGGGTGGCCGATTTGACTCGATGACCCTCAGCACTCTTTGCAAAGCTTTACTACACCGAGGCGATTTAGAGGGTGTATCTACTTTACTCCGGCCAATTATCGACACTTTCGACCCGTCAGAACTTCAAAAGATCAGGTTGCCTTTCCTTGATTATATCAAAGATACCGATCAAACAGTCGACAGCGCATGGGAGGTGTACGAGCTTTTGAACTTGGCTATACCTACAACCCCTGTTTCAACTAGGACGATGATCATGAACGTGTTTTTTGACCGTCAGAGATCCGATCTTGCCTGCTTAGTTTTCGGTCATATGCGGCAAAAGGGCGACCCTAATATCCGACCAACATCTTATACCTATGCTCGCTGTTTCCAAGGGATTGCAAAGTGTGCGGACCCAGACAGTTTGCAATTGGTCCACAATATGCTAAAACTTGACCTTCAAGTTGCTCCAACCACCAAGATTCGCAATAGCTTAATGCTGGCCTATGCCGCCTGCGGGTTAGCGGATCAAGCGATGAGAATTTTCAGAGACATACTTCACTCAGAAGAAGGCCCTTCTGAACGAACGCTAGTTGTGTTTTTTAGAGTCTGTGAATCTTACGGCAACGGCCGGGAAGAGGCGATTAAAATGATGGAGAAGCTGAAATCCATGGATATACTTATCAATAATGACGTCTATAATGCATATATTGGCGCTCTTGGAGGGCATTGTGAGCTGGAACTCGCAGTCCAAGCTATCAAGCAAATGGAGTCACAAACCGGCTCCACACCAACTACGCTCACGTATGCTAAGTACCTTCACTGTCAGACATACTCTACTTTTACTAACTACCAACGTTCACAGGCTTGTAAACCTCTACAACTCAATACCGTACCAATTCTGGAAAGATCAGGCCGAAGAATGGGCACAAGTCGCGTATCCTGAACTATGGAACACAATAAAACGGTCCGGGCGAACGACAGACGAGGACGGTATACAACATCTGAATATAGATAGGTCGGTTAAGGCTTAGCCGTGTATTATTAAATCCAACCAGTTATTCAGTTCACTTGCAGTCTTCCCTTGCACCTAAAGCAACAACTACATTCACAGCCAAATGGATCAACCACATAGAGGCCCGGCCATCCTGTCACAAAAGAATAGCGATATTGGTGCTCCCACCAACATTCAAAACCTGGAACCCGGGTCTTTCCTCTTGTGAGAGTCAGGCAGATATCTCTTATTCGTTGGCTACACGGCGATAATGCAATCTCCCAGAGGCGCCTGCAAGCACACTATGAAAGATATGGCCGAGTTGAGGTCTCAAGAGCTAACATTATAAATATAAGCAGATAAAAAGAACACCCCAAGAGAAAGCTCTACCATTTCCACTATCCTAGGTCTATATACACCCTTCGTTGATTAAAAGAGGCCATGGTGAAGCTCTTGAATAACCTTCAACGATTGAAATTCCCATATTCCCCCCAAAGAAACTCCGATTTTCATTGCTATATACCCTTTGTATAGCCGCTGTCTATAAAGTCAATAAAGTCGTGTGATCAGAAAACCTAATGTGGTCGTATCGTGGCCCCATTGTAGGAATGTTGGTGCTGTGTTCCATGTCTGGATATCCCATTACCCCGGTGTGGAGGAGAGACAACATATCGTTGGAAGTCCATGGGTCATAGCCAAAATTGCCATTAAGTGGCGGATCTGTAAATGAAGGCGCACACATCTCTGCCTGCGATGATGTGACGGCGTAATATGAATAAGGCGATATACTTGTTGGCTCACAAGGACGGATTGGATCAATCAAAGGAGTGTGCGGAATCGGTACCGGACTCGGTGAGCTCGTGAGACTTGGGACCTGTTGATAGGAAGGGACCGCAGCCAAAGGCGAGTGGACATCGTTGGTTGGCCATACCTCGGGGACCGTGACTTTTGACGGAGCTGGTAGCCGGGCTGGCTGGCTCTGAGTATGATCTGGGACATGCCAAAGGAGCTTTGGCATGATCGTCTGACAAACACTTCGATTTTCCTCAACCCGCGGCACAGGGCTGGCGGCCGGTTTCACCATCGGGGCTTTCTTCCTGGCAACACTTCCGGAAGCCTTCGGTACTGTTCCATCGGCTTTATTACTGCCAAAGCGCTGGGTATATCTAACAATCGGAGACACATTAGGAAGGGGGACTTCATTTAAACAGGCACTGGACCATTGCAGCGACAGTATGCAACATACCTATTTTTCGCGGCAATCGGCGTTCGATTGGGAAAATATCTATCCACGATCTCGGTCCATCTTCGACCATATATCTCAACGGCCTCCCTCAAAATCTCGTCTTCCAGAAGTGACCATCTGTCATTATTTATTTCTGGGTTCAAAGATTCATGCCACCGCCTTGAACACTCTGCTCAAAAGAAAAGTTAATGATTGGCATCCTATGGTTGCGGGTGTAAGCTCAACTTACGATCTGGCTGTCTGGATCCGACAACTTGTGAAACGAGTGCCCAGCTGGAAGAAAGAGATGTGTTAGAACACGTTAATGGCCCAGAGGTGAGATAGGAGGGCCAATAATCTGCTTACCGGAAACCGTGTTTCTGGATGCCTTGCAGCAGCTTTTCATCCTCGGTTTTATTCCACGCTCCCTTGTTCAAGGAAGGTGCCAGAATATAGACCCATCGTTTCCTGCAGTCCTTGTTGTTTCGATCTGGGATGTTCGAGGCTATGCGATGCCAGTTGATGTCACCACCTCGAGCCACTAGAGAAAGAGTTGGTCAGCTCCCGCCGAATCCACCAGTTTTCATCATAGTAACCTACTGCTTTCATTGACCGCTTTTCTGAGGAGGGCATCCTCCTCCTTCGTCCAAAGCCGTCGTGCTCTTACTTTCAGCATCGTGGGATCTGACCAAAAAGTGTTCGGGCCGGGAGAAAGGGTATCAGCAAAGCAAGGTGCGCACCGCTGGGAAGTATAAGAAGAGGGAGCGATGCTCGTCTGTCAGTGATAAAGGCTAACGTTTTCCAAACCAGAGAGAATGGAGAAAATAAGGAATGCGGCAGTTGATAAAAGAATCAAAAGACGAGGCATGAGTGGTCGCGGTACTGCTGGGTATAAATCTTATCTCTGAGGGGGGACAATCGGCTTCTTTTCTGTGTTCCAGCGCATCCGACAGGCGTCAAGTATACGACAGGCGCCAAGTGGACTTCCCAGAGAAGAAGATGGTATAAACAAGCAAGGTTTGTGAGCCCAGCCTGATGTCCCAATCTGGTGCCATATATGGCCCATGTATAGCATGTACCACATCTCATGTACGATGGCGGAGCGCAATTTTGATCTGCAAGGCTCATGCATGGGTGGACCGTATACTAACTTATGCATATAAGCTTTGCCTTGTTTGCAAATACTACGTCGGCAGTCATATTCGTGCATGGAACTGTTGAAATACCGGATTTGGCCTAGGTCAAGCGGAAAGAAAAAGCCCTTTGACGCCTTTCAACTGCTTGTGTTGCATAACTTGAACGCGATACCATACGAAGATACAATCTTCTACCCGCGGCCCGGTTACTCGGTTACTTTCAAACACCGTTCCCAGCGACACCTAGAGCTTATTTCTCTCGCACGAAATGGAGAATTATGGCAAAGAAAAAGGAACTGTTCGGTATCAGGTCCCTGAAACTCCCGCTGATGGCAATACAACATTTAAAGAAACACAGCTACACGCTATTGGCTGAATCGGGTGTGCTATTCTTCCCCCCAGCAAACTCACAGTGAACTGGCATCTATAAGATTGATACATATATACTATATGTATGCAACTACAAGGAAATATATGGCGATACAGTTTCAAAAAAGCGGGAATTCATAGGTCGATTAGCGCTATTATTCATCTTCGGCAGCGAGTTGCATCGACGTAAGTCACTCGAGCACCTCAATCTATACGACACCCTGGCAAAGGCAGGCAAGGTCGTATTCAAGGTCTACACGTGGGATGGGATCTCCTCGAAAGCAGTTCCCTGTCACGGTAAAAGAAAAGAAGCAAGTGGCGGGCGGGCACATCTATATCTTATTTCATGCTGGCCTGCCTTGATAACGGGACACCGTCCTCCAATAATCGGCGCTATCTCAACACATTGGCCGCCATGATTCGAGGGCAAATGTCAAGCTCATTTCCATGGCGCCCCGGTACTTCTTGTTCGCAGATGTTCAGGCACCTTTTCAAAAATCTTCGCTATGGCTTTTGATCGTTTTTAGGTTCCCTTTTCCTCCGTATTCTGATTCTTCTTCCCTGATCACTCCAGCCAAGAGATGGCCCTGGTTGACTTCGAGTTCTGCCTTACACGCCAAAATCTTCTTCCTCCGCACCAGAGGAACCCCTGCACTGAATCCCATGGGCCTCGCGAAGGGCTAGAAAGACGTTTGTCTTGCAGAATCGTCAAAACGCCTCGCCATGCAAAACCGAGCATTAAGGTTGTCAATCAGCATGCTACCTTCGGCAAATAAACCCATTTATTTTCCTATTTACCGGGGTTTCCGCTGTCAACACTCTTTCTCTTTTTACCCTCCCCTATTGTAAGGGAGGTGCTGTCAGTCTTGATGCTGCTAGTCGTCCTAACCATGTTCACAGCAGCAAAGAGCCGTTGTTTCTACGAACTCCTTCATTTCCACGGCTAAATTCCACGATCTTCTCCCCTCGCGTGCATAGTACTCCATATACCGTGTGGGGGGAGGCGGATGGACAAGACTGAGTGGAGACGACGTCTAGGGGTGCTGGCTCGCTCAAAGAGATGCCTGCCCTTGGTACTACTTAAGACGTCCAAATATATTTATGATTTGGCCATGCATTCGCTGCCGGCAACCCCTAGAAGGAGTACTATACATCCTTATTCCTCTAGTCTTAGTCAACACATGCACACACCCGCCGGCTTATGCGAATAATATATATTAGGCTCCTTCCCTCGTTAGCATTTACTCAAGATGCAAAGGATTCGCTCACCGTTGCGTATATCATGTCTGTTAGCCTTGCGCGGCTGAAACATCCGAAGAACTCACAAGAAATGATCTCCAGAGACCAAAACAAGCGGCCTATGGTCTATCACCAAATGAGGTACCATAGCATTTCCCCCAAATCAAGTACTCTTGCGTTTAAGAAGCTTCTCTTACAGAATAGTTAACACTACTCGGTTCCGTTTCTTTTCTATTTTTGTTTCTCGAAACTATCCAGCCAATACGAAGGTTTATTTCGGCGGGTTCTCTGATGCGCCAGTGGGTTTATACGGGCTTCAACTACGAAGTGGTGCCCGTATTTATCTTTTTTTATCAAGCAGCTAGGAGAAATTCACGGCGGCCTCCATTCTGCTGACATGTTTTCACCCTTCTCGCGCCCCTATCACCCAGCTCTTGCCACGTCGGTGGAGAATGTTAAAGTATGCATGTAGCGTGTGCGTGCAGTGTAGCATGAAGCATGTTGCAGCAAACGCCATCAAGCACACGAATTATCCTCCCGAACTTGCGCATGGTTTTGACTGGCTTCGCTTGTTTAATCCTTGTTCTGATCCCCTACGTGCGTTGGGGCTGGAGGATAGTCAGTGGGAGCCAGCAAACCAAAAGCGAGCGTATCGAGTGGCTTGATATGGCTAACTTGGCTAACTTGTCCACCCCCCCCCCCCTTCCCCTTCCCAATCCTCCGTATCGACGTTCTCCTCTAAGGCCAAAGAAATGCAGAAAAGAAAGAAAAAGAAACCCAGAATTTGAGCATTCCAGCCATGTGGTTGTTTCATTTGTTACGGCTTTATATTCACGACTAGTCAAACGGTTAAGCATAGCTCCCAATTCCTGTCTCGAGTCATGCAGTCACTGGATCGCCGTCGTCTTTGATGAGCTTCCACGATATTATTATTCATGCAGAAAATCTCGACAACTCGATGGATGTGAGCTCTCGCTCTCCCTTGGCCATTAGGATTTGATGCCGGCCCAGCACCGGGAGACATGGGTTTCTATTCGTCCAGAATGAAAGAATTTAACTTTCAAAGAGCCGAGAGGGCCTAGTTATAGATGGAAGGTCAAAAAAGAAGTAGAAGCCCTGTCTCCGTTGTCTCTCCCCTGGCTCGCTGCACTCCAACCTTTTCCCTCACCATCTGCATCTTTCTGACTCTTCTTAGTACGGATACAACTCGACTCGTCTCTCCCGCTGCTATTAATAATAATAATAGTAGTAGCTTTCATCTCCCCCAGCCAAGGACGAGTGGAGGCTGCGTACGCCACGAGGAAGCGGGTAGAGTTCCCCCTGACCCGCTACTTGTTGCTCCCGAACCTTAAGCAGTTTAAAAATCAAGTCAACAATTGAGCAGAACTTAGTGGTAACCAGCAAGAAATCTCTCCTAAACCGCCAACTGAAGTTGTTGCTTGAAGCAAGATAGCACCAACACTCCGGGCGTCATGGCTCGATGCCTCCGAACTTCTCCTTCAAAGGAATTTCCAGGAAACGATATATTACAACAATACTCCGTATGTTAACTCAGTCTCCATACTCCGTAACTGCTTCGTGCAGAGGGATTGGTGAGTGGAGCTGAAGTGAGTGTAACCCCTGGCTAGCCCTCTGCGTCAAAGCTAAACACGGCTCTTTGATGCTATTATTACAACCACGTTGCCTCGCCCAGGCAAAATTTTACTTGTGGCCTGCGGATCGGAAATACGGGTGGTGCTCCATACTTATACTTGATACTGGACAGACACCTTTTGCAAGGTGGTTCTGCTATCTATAGGCAGGTCTCGCCCTGAAGCTCTTCTTCGTCAAAGCTCTGGTTTGATGGTGATTTCTAGAGGTGAAGCTCAATAATACAGACACTCGGACAGCCGGCCCGGCAATTGCATCTCGTACCAATACAGCATACTCCGTACAGCTACAGATCAATGTCCTTTGACAACAATGCCCTTACAAACCACTCAAAACATATGATTGCATATACACATCAGATGTGTACATATACTGGCATTAATGGACGCCCTATTTAGGCATCCTGCTTAGGATCTACCCCACGACGAAACACTACGGCGACAGCCTCTCAGATAACCCCTGCGGTCTACTCATCAACAGGAAGGTTTCCTAAGGCCACAATACATGGGTTTACCCAAGTCATTTTGTCTTGTTTCCACAAGGAAGACTCCTAATTCTTGGGAAATCCCGCACTCTTCCCCACGTTAACCCCGAGGGTGCCATGTGGAGGCGCGATATCTTGCCAACTTCAAATCAGACACGCCGGGAAACAATTGGAACACAAATTGGGATCATCGAAGCCTAATTACATAAAGGAAACGTGAGACCTATATAAGTATTGCCTACAAGGATGGACGGGAAAGTACGTAAACTGTGACTTCACCCTGTCCCGCTCCCCATAATGATGCGTTCTATAGCACGGGGCATCAAACAGATACGACGACGGACAGGAACACTAACTGCAGGCAAACCTGATTCTGATATTCAAAAGGCACTATCATCTTTTAGGTAACTACAACGACAGTGGAGCCAAGAATGAAATTATATGAGGAGATTTTAGGATATCACTATCCAACTTCTAAGACGGAGTTTGTACGGAGTGCGCCGTAGTCTCGGCCAGTCCCAAATCACGACCATGGCTGACTTTGATAATGTAATTCTAGGGGTTGGCAGAAGAAAAGAGTATCAAAAGAATGATATCCATTATGACAGCAAATAAACTAGGGAAGAGAATTTGATAGTTCCTTCGTAAGGCTTGCGGCAACTTCAGTCATCAGCAGCATTATCCAAGAAGAGGCAAACATCAACAAGGCCTAAATATAAATATAGCAGACTAACGTGCGAAAAAATTACCTTGGTATTCCTTCTCAAGATCATTTATTGCTGTCAGCTCGCGCCCTTTTGAGCTTCAAAAGAGCAAAAGCTCGTCTTGATGGCTTGTGGCATCAGCCTGGACTCACTGTTCTATTAGCTCTGGATTAGCAATCTACAGCGGTGGCTGAATCCGTTGTATCGTCAAGCAGCAACAGTGTTCAAGTTGCCAGAACTGCACCTATTCGAACCAACATGCTATAAAGTAGGTACATAGCACTGAGAGGCCGACTATCTAACTACTGGTTAGCGTCCGACCGGTAACTGGTATAAACCTGCACAATTATTCAGCAGTGCTGTTGCTACTCATCGAGATTTTGAACATCTCGCAGCCTGCATGGGCTGCTAAAGCCGCGCTTACCGCCCGCTCAAGGCAGCATGCCTCTAGGGTATCACTGATAGTGGTCCCACTGCGATGCATTCCAACACTGCGAATGGCCAGTGAGTGGACAGCTACCTTTACGATGGCCCCTCGCGCGCCACCCTTGCCTGTGCCAATGGCACGGCCCTCGGCGAAGGCGTGCATGCTGTCTCCCACGGCCTTTGCTGCGCTCAATAGCCCTCACACAGTAATGGGAGCCACCGAGCTGCTGGCCGCTAACTAAAGGGAAAGATTTTCTCCCGGCGCTGTTTCAGGCGGCCTCATACAGAGTACATGGTCGTAGGAGAAGAAGCACGGGCTACTCCGATACCCACCCATGCTGAGTCTGACGTTATTGTGTCAGGCTTGAGTGTCGCGGATGCAGAGGTGATAGGACCTAGCACGATCCTGTACCTGCTCTGACATCACATCCCAGTGTTGGATGTATTGTGCGCAATTCCAGTAAATGCTCATAAGTTGAATCCTCCTGACCTTCAGGCCGCAAATGGGGTATCTCCCAGCGCTATCCTACCGTCAAAGGAATGCATTTCTATTAAACCTGGTTCCATGAACCATCTCACAAATTCGTGTGACTTGTCGACCACTTACCCAAGGGTCCAAATGGCTCCTCTTCTTTCTGACCTAAACCCCGTGGAGCCTTTGGATGCTTTGACGATTTCTCTTTCAAGCTCTGCATCCTCCACTTGCATTGCATCGCTAGTGGTAATATTGCCCTACTGCTCTATCAATAAAATCTCACATATCCTCCACGGAACCTATGCCGGGGAATCGGCCCGTTATACCGGTAATGACAAAAAAGCCTCTAGTTATGCACCTGTGATACATCAACAACAGGTGAATGCGAGTACTATCTATCAACAGCGCTTCTCGAGAAGGACGAGACCAAGTCGGCCCGCATCATAACGACAACTGTGCCATCCCAGCTGCTTGTCTGTATATTGTTTGCTTATATACTCTAACCATATCCAATGCACGGCATTCCAGGCCCAGGATATTGAGCCCTAGGTTTATTTAAGTACTTATGGCCACAGGATTTAATCTAATGGCTCTAGAAGATACGCATCATCTTCACCTGACGGGTTCGTTTAATAACTCGATCCACATATCTAATTGTCTGTCCAACATATGACCAACAACAGCTTTTCGTCGGAAACAATCTGGTCTCAACCTTGTCATTCTGATACCCATCACAAGTTGCTTAAAGATAAGTAAGGCTTTGGAAGCTAGGTCATTTTAATATATTGCTTGTACCCCAGATAATATCCTACGAGCTCCTGGTTTACAGTTACTACAATACTATCCTTACCAACAGCGGTCTGATGAACGCCAAGGCCACTGCATGTAAACCATGGATAGTGATGATATTCCTAGGCTATTTCGCCGCTATGCTTGATTCTGGGTGAAAGTATTCATTTAACTGAGATGTAACCGTGAATACCCCACTGAATGTAGCATAGCGGGTGTGGAAATCCCTGTCATTATTACTATGATGCCGACC